AGTCGTTCAAAAGAGGAACCTTCCTAGCAGACAGTGGGTAACATTACCATCATGTAGTGGTCAATAGAGTATTGCATTTTGTGTGTTAAGTGAATTTAGTAATACGTAAGTTGATTTTACAAAATGTTTTCTTCCACTGTCATAAATTAAATTTCCAGGAAAACTGACACATTTCCCAGGATTTCTACATTTGTTATTAAAATGTATTTATACCTGTGTATAAATGTGCATGTGCGAAAAGTATACAGCGCAGGAGCGCGAGATGCATATTAGGCATTCCATTGAGACAGAAATGGGAGAACTTGGAATTGAGGAAATACGCAAGTAAAAAGAACAGCATTTAAGTGTTAAGAAAAGAAGTCGCCTTAGGCAAGTCACGTAGCTAGAGGAGATGATGGCCAGTGTTGAGACTAACAGGAGTGACAGCCAAAGAACAGAACAAGATCTAAGAGGGCGTCTGCTGAGATGGAGCGATTATAATCGAACCCGGTTGCTAGATCAGGGCTCGGCAACCTGCGGCTCCGGAACCACGTGTGGCTCTTTGGCGTCCACCTTGCGAGCAGTCGTTAAAAAAATAAAAGTATTTTTACGTAAAGATAATTGATTGAATATGGCAAGCAGTGGGTCACTTATGGAATGTCTTGGTGACTACAACATTAACATAATAGAGTTTTTTTGGGTGAGATTGCGTAAATATAAATGTGTCGTTAAACCCGCCACCACCGGACAGCTCACTAGTAAGGTTTGTCACGTAAACAGAACATGCCACTTCGTTACTATTACAGCACAACCGGTGTGTTGGAGATTACGACGTTTCGCCAGTAATTACAACTAGCATCATCAGGCGACAGCCAGATTTGTGGAGAAATCCTCCAGTTTCGTTCTTAAATAGAGGGATAGATGTGATGTCGTCACTTGTGAACCCTTCACGTTGCAAAGGCCCAGCGGGGTTGGGAGGTTAATGAATGCATAGAAATTATAATGGGTATCCATTACCGGTTGGGTTTTTTACTGTATAAAATGTACAGCAAAACTGTGTTGTGAAAGAATAACTAAGTTGTAAATAAACCAAATAGACACCGTTTATTCCACCATTTATTTTGTTTATTTAAGTCAGAATTTATTTGTCATTTGCTGTATACCTGCTGCTGTGTTTGTGTACAAGCCGATCTGCATGTGATGCGCTCTGGGAACTATTTTGGTCAAAGACAAAAATAAAAGATGGCTCTTTGAAGGGTTGCCGATCCCTGTGCGAGGTGGACTGTTGCATTACAGAAATGTAAGGGAAGTGGTTCGCTTGATGAGGCCTTCATCCAGCATTGGATTGATCATAGCTTGTGATGGATTGCGTAACTAGTATTGGCGCAGTGCCCAGAAGGAATGGGGGCAATATTGACTGGTCAATATAAACAACATTTATTATCGGGTTAATATTATTTTTTGTCAGCAAGTTTGGTTTTTTTACTTGTTGACATCATCTGGTTGTATATGCTTGTTGAACTTCTTTCGCACCGTACGCATCGGAGGTGCGTGGAGTGACGGACAACAAACTAAACAAAAATAACTGATTTCCAGCTTTGACAGAATACTGTAAAATAACATGCTGAATGTTGAACATGTTTCTAGATGTAGTTTTCTGGTAGCCGCTGCAGTACAATAAAAGAAAATTCCTCGATTATTTGTAGGCTCCTCCTCAAGGTTACCGTGAAAATTTTAAAGACTTAACATAAGATGCATCTTGTGTGACAGCACATGGCCTCAGTCCGTGCACCTGAATTTATTAAATACGGATGCAGGACATTTGCGTGTCTACTTCCGCATGCTCGTGTGTCGTGTAGTATATTAAAACGGTGTCTTTTGAACGTATCCCTGTAGAAGGAGACATTCAAAAAATTATGACCGAGCGAAAAGAAAAGTTCTGAAGTTGATTTGCACTGCATACCCGAACAGCCAATTGCAACTGCAGCCGTTTTTTAGTTGGTACAGGGACTGCTCAAATGCAGATTAAATACGGAGATGAATGACAGTTGCGAGGTGAAGTATTGGTTTTAATGGGCGAGGATCAATTCTCTGTTTCATAAACATTTTTTTATTTGTCACGGCTATAACCAGTAACAACATTTAACTACAGTTGTGTAATGTCTGTAGGATATCGAAGGTGAATGTACGGTAGTATCCCACCTCGAACAGTGGTGGTTGTTCTACCTGTGCTGTATACCGCATGTGAACCTTATGGCGTTACCCCCGGGGTACCATAGTGTGCCCCGGCTCTCGCGTAATGTCCGTGATGCAGTCATCTTTAGTCTGTTGATGGTCGGCGATGCGGCAATCGACTCCTCTTCACGAGCTGTGCACGATGCACTCTTTAAAGTTTTAAATTTTTCGATAACGGATTTTTTATGCTAATGTTCGGCGTTTCGACATCACGGAGTGTGGCACTGATTTCGGATCGATTGGTGCCCCAGTGGTGGAGTTCAGTTACACCCCTGGAAAAAAAAGTGTCCCAGATATAAAATATTTAATTGCCTGGGCCATTTTTTATTATTTGGTACATTGGGGTACCGCCATAAGGATAATTTGTTAGTCGTCTTATAATGTAAGTTACGTGTAGTGGCATTGGTCCATGCAAATGATTCAAGAATGGCATCTGTGCAGAGTTTAACATTCCTTTCCTTATTTGCCACATGTTCTTAAGCTGACGACTCAATCGAGGTCCATTACAATTTATTTAACACTGGATTATTTAACTCGTTTTTGAATATTAGTTTTACGAGACTTTGAATAATAGTGGACGTATTTATGTGGTTTGAATAAAAAAAAATTGAAAAAAACACTGCACTGTAGTAGAAAACATTACAGTATACTGTGGTAAATGTGTTTTATGTTTGAGAAATACCTGCAGTTTTGGATCAAACAAAATATATGTTGATTAACATTCTGATGTGCTGTTAAAATAAGTTAAGAGTTTACATGTTAAAGATGAGTGTTCTTATCTCAAAGGATATCTTCATCTAGGTTTTTTTGTGTGCTGCTAATTTTCACATTACTTCAGCCTTGCAAACTCCAGACTCTATTATTCTGTCTTGGTTTACCTCTGAGACAACCCATGGAGAGCTTAGATTTACCCGCCGTGATGTTAGCGGTAAAACAATACATTTCTAGCGGTCTTCCAATTTACACGACATGCCATTTCTTAGTTGTCTGAATAATAACTATTTATTAAATCAGTTTGTTTTCCTCTCTGTGCCTTCATAATGAGTATAGATTCAATAGCCTCGTCTCATTTCGCAAATGCAGTGTTGGCTGCGTTTGTTTTGTTTTTAGAAGCCACTTATTGATGCAGACAAAGCTTAGGCTTGAGGCACTCTACCAGAGGTGTGGACTCGAGTCATGTGACTTGGACTCGAGTCAGACTCGAGTCATGAATTTGATGACTTCAGACTCGACTTGGACTTGCATAACAATGACTTTGTCCCACCTCTGCACTCTACTGTACGCTACGTAAGGCACATTACGCAGTACTGACATTCTTCTTTGGTTACGTTTTGCGCACTTCAAAATGTTTTTACAGGGGTTTCAACCATTCCAAACACCACCGAGATGTTACACTTGAGATGCGTACACGTCGTTGTTGCGAACCAAACAAAGTTTAAATTTCGATTTAAAGCTCTCGTGACTGCAGGGATTCATCTGCTTGGTTCTTTCGGTAAAGTCACGTAGAAGGGAAAGGCGCCGTCTTTCCGACAGACATGTTCTTCACCTGAGGACGGCTGCTTGCGTTGTGGCCGAAACGTCGTGAGCATTATTTTATTATGTTTTATTTTTATTATTGTATTACTTCCCTTCTACGTGACTTTACCGAAAGAACCAAGACATTGACAAACAAACTCTGTTGTTTTAATGCAGGTTAAGTTGACAGAGTGCGGAAATGTTCAAGAACCAAACAATTGATGGCATTCGAGCCCTGTGTTTAAGATACCGGGGGGGGGGGAGGTTGGCGGCGGCGGGGGGGGATGGTGATGGCATCTTCCTCATTTATATTGCAGTGGCGTTCCCGTGATTAATACAGTTTCGTCTGAAAGCCCCGCAAAAGTCTTCCGCATTCTAGGCATTTGGCCACTTCCGTTGTTGTTGTGCAGATTGCAGTCGGGAGGCCGCTTGCAGCCCCCCCCTCCCCATTAGGTTGCGAGTTATTGTGAATGTGGAAATGTGTTTGTGTCAGGGGGTGGGGGGCAGGGGAGGCCTCCCTAGCATGAATTGGCACCTCTGCTCTTCTTGTACGACGTGAGGAAACTATAGTTCGTACATTTGCCCCCCCCTCCCCCCCGTTTGCATTGACGTTTGTCATTAAGGATGCCCTCGCTTGGGGCACTCCGCTAGGCCTTGCCCGCTTAGTTGGTGAATTGCTCAACGCACTGTACCGTTTCGCAATGGTTTCGTGATGAATCATGTTTCGTTATTTTTAGCCTCTTTATTGTTAGCCGAGCAAACCTCGCGTCTACTTTTGTTTTGGAGTACTGTATTTAAAATGTTTTTTTAAAACGTTCTATGCTCTTTTTTTATATGGATTGTTATAATGTGTGCATCTGGTGCTTTTGTTGGAGTAGCCTTTTGGAACGATGATTTATACGTTGTTTACAAAGAGATGTGCCTGGCTCGTGAATATAAAATGTAAGCAGGGCAGGCGACTATTGTGAATTTTGGGAGACTGCTGTTTTAAAGAATCTCACTTTGCTAGAACGTAATGGTTCTTATGTTTTTACGTGGAATTCACAAAAAACAAGTTATGTTTTGATTTGTCTTGGTTAACTTTAATGTATGTGCTCTGCATTGATGATTTTTGTTTGTTTTATGTATTTCTCTAAGATGAAATTTGAAAATCACGAACTCTAAAAAATATGATAAAACTCTTGTTTTCCAAGGGTAATGTAGACTTTATTTAAATGAATGTTAGCTGTAAGTGGAGGTTTCTTGACTAATTGTCACCATTGTGCCTGCAGGTGTACTTAAAATTTGGAAATCTGGAGATACACCCAAGATCTCAAGACGAGCCCAGTGACGACCCATCTTGAACAGACAACATTTATGCAGACAATGGTATGAAACGCCTTAAGACTTCCTTTCACTCCACACTTCATGAGGACTTCTTACTTAAGCCACCGACGGCTCAAATTTTGTAGTAATGAAAAACCCCACATTGGATCTGTTGAATCTTCTGCATCTGCAAAGCTTGGGTCAATTTAAAAATGGCCTTGCTTAAAATGGTAGTTATCACTGAAGAACTGGTCTGCCTCTGAAAATTGAGAATGTACATCCATACTCTTTGGTTCTTTCGGTAAAGTCACGTAGGTATAAAATAAAAGAAATCACCGACATGACTTTACCGAAAGAACTAAAGAGTGTGGATTCCTGCAGTCACGAAAGCTTCACATGTACATCTACTCTGTGATGAACGGCATTTATCATGGTTTGTGATGAACCACGGTGAATGCAATGGTTACGGATGTTTTCGTTAATGAGCCTCGTGCACACTGAGGAATTTCCTTCCACAAATGCCAGTGGCGTGTTTACATAGGGAACATGCTCCTAAAACTCCTTGGGTCGATGCACTTAAGGTGAAATCTTCAACAGTTCTTCTCAGATTCTTGGTTCTTTCGGTAAAGTCCGTATAAGGGAATGCTTAATTATTATTTTATTATTTCCCTTATATGTGACTTTACAGAAAGAACCAAGAATATGAATCCCTGCAGTCACGAAAGCTTTAAATAAAAAAGTTATTCTCAGATTAACATAATCCATTGTTTTATTTATATCACTGCATTAACCCCCCTCTGGTCTTCGCACCTGATAGGATCACAGCGATGACGTCACCTTTACTCTAATTTAAGACCGAAGCAGGAAGACTTCTTCTCAATTCTGCCAAATCGCCTGATGAAGCCGGTTGTAATCACCAGCAAATCGTCGTATTCAAATTAACACATTCCTGCGGAGGGAGCTGGTAGGAACGTTGGGTTGCTCGGTCAATGGCGGCGTGGTGTATTCCGCAAATATGCCCGACTGAGGGCGGGCACAAGCTGGCGTGAGTAGGTTAAACGTTGAGTTTTATAAGGGCACCACGGGGTGACCAGCCCCTCCCCACCCAGCCTCACCCCTCCCACCCCCACCCAGCCCCTCCCCACCCAGCCCCTCCCCACCCAGCCCTTCCCTGCACGACGGGCACAATAATCTCCTGTGTGCTGGTGTAACCAGGAGGTTACTACCAGTATAAATGTTGTGGGCTTACTCTCCAACGCACTGGTGTGCTGAAGTAGTAACTAATTGCCACTATTTGTTTACTTGACAAACCTTGCTAATTGGCTATGTTGGGTGGTGGTGGGTTAACGACACATTTATATTTCTGCGGTCTAACCCAAAAAAACCTTTATGCATAATATTGGTCGCGAAAGCATCCATGTTAAACTTCAACAATTGTGTGTTTGCGCTGACCAATCAATATAGTGTTTGGTAATATTTTATTTGGTAATAGGTTATTTATCTTGCTCCCAAATATTTAATAAAAAAACTATTGAGTAGTGATGCATTGTGTGAATGTATCAGATGCTTTTTCTACTCCGCATCAGTAATAACCACTCCACTCACAAGAATACGCACCTTATTATTTGATCAGACCAAACAGTTCTCGTTGAAACCTTCTGCAGCCAGGCCACCAAGATTATACGGCTTGCCAAAGATACATAAAGAAGATACACCTCTTCGTCCCATTGTCTCTACTATCAACTCCCCCACCTATAAATTGGCTCGTTTTTTGTCTGAAATCCTACGGCCTTTCACTGGAAAAACCACCTCTGCGGTACTAAACTCTACTGACCTGGTATCGACAATCAAGGGGATTGCCCTGTCCCCAGACGACCTGCTTGTCAGTTTTGATGTGGTTTCCTTATTCACCAAGGTTCCTGTACCTGACACCATCGCAATCATTGAAGACTTGGTTCATCATGGACTGAATGCTGGGGTACCCCCCCTGGTGAGACACTGCTTAACCAATACATACTTCACCTGGAATGAAACTTTCTACAAGCAAACTGAGGGCACCCCAATGGGCTCCCCCCCTATCTCCGGTTGTAGCCAACATCTTCATGGAGAAGTTTGAGACGGACGCCATCCAGACTGCCACTCTACGCCCGACCTTATGGAAGAGGTACGTAGACGACACTTTTGTCATCTGGCCACATGGCCGTGCTGCTCTAGACCAATTTCTCGACCACATCAACTCCATACACCCAGCCATCAGATTCACCATGGAAGTCGAAAAAGATGGCAAGCTACCCTTTTTGGATGTCCTAATCAAAAGGAGACCTGATGGTTCAATGAGCCACTCTGTCTACAGGAAAGCCACCCATACGGATGCTTATCTAAAACCGGATTCCCACCACCATCCATCCCAGAAGAATTCCCTCATCAAGGCTCTATATCATAGAGCCCAATGCATCTCCGACCATGAACACATTGCCAGTGAACTCAAACACGTACGCCAAGCTCTTAAGGCTAATGGTTACTCCGACTACACAATTCGCAAAGCCATCACTCCAACCATCAAAAAGGATCCTGTTGAGGAGCCTTTCAAGACCATCACCTTACCCTACATTGCTGGGGTCACAAAAAAGATCTCCAAAATCCTGATTAAACACAAGATCCAGGTCCGATTCAACACAGTACATAAAATCCGTGATCTGGTACCGTCTGTAAAAGATGTGGTTCCAGACATACAGTACCCTGGCGTCTACAAACTAAGTTTCCTCTGTGGTAGCAGTTACATTGGGGAAACCAAACGACATGTCTCGGACCGCATCCGTAAACATAAAGCTGACCTGAAACACGGTAGGACAAACACCTCAGCCGTGGCAGATCACTGTTACAACTCAGTGGGCTCACATGATATTGACTTCTCCAAGACAGAGGTTCTCTGCAAGCCATCTGGCTATCATGAGAGATTCGTTCATGAGGCGATCCACATATACAAACACAGAGACAATTTTAACCGAGAAGATGGATTCTGGCTTAGCAATCATTGGAAGGACGTAATAAACCATTTCGATACACATTAGGGTGTGTAGAATAATACATAGTATTATATTAAAATGTATAAGGTATAGGTTGGTTTACAGCAATACAGTATATAATTTAATGTTGGGTGTATCTATGGCAGTATATAGTACGGTATATGCGCGTGTGATGTAAGAGAATAAAGTTTAGATGGAAGCATATTATAGAATTTTTACGACGTAGAATTGTAATGTATTACTTTCTGTTAGTAACTCAGCTTATTGTAGAGTATAGTAAGTATACTGATGGTGCTATGCAGTTTATACTTTAGTTTTTTATGTAGTTTATACTTTAGTTTTCTACGTGGTTGTTGAGTAACTGCAGCTACATATCATTAACATTCCTTTCCTTTGTTACTGCTAATCCCTGCACCCCCCCTTGGTGCTGCTGATCCTGCATAATGCATGGGCATAATATGACTTTGAAACCCCCCCGTCCAACGCCTACGCATTTTCCATGAATATGCTAAATTCCTCTTCATATGCACATTCTTTTTGTTAAGGCGCTCTTCCATCTCCAACGCAGCTTATATATAAGCTCCTAGTTTGGTAGTGTCTCATTCTTCACCTGAAGACGGCTGCTTGCGTTGTAGCCGAAACGTCGTGAGAATTATTTTATTTTATTATGTTTTATTTTTATTATTTTATTACTTCCCTTCTACGTGACTTTACCGAAAGAACCAAGAAGATGAATCCCTGCAGTCACGAAAGCTTTAAATCGAAAAATGAACACAATATGACCTTTCTGGGGTTTTAATTAACTTAATAAAGTAGACGGCTAACTTGATGTAAGTATATACATGAAGTGGCATGTATCGCTTACAGTGAAAATTCTGTAACTATATATCTCTCTGGATTATTAACAGTATTTTCTTACGTAATTATGGATGGAGTAATTATGGATGGAGTAATTATAGATGGAGTGGTGGCGCAAGTCTAACATGGTAATATTAACCTGGCAACCTTAGTTCGATTCCTGTCCAATGCTAACATCAGTGGCGTGCGATATCTGAACTAGTTGTGGTGAAGTATGCTGAAAAAAACGTCTTTGAACAACAGGCCTCTTTTCAGCAGTAATTTTGTCAAACTCTGAACGTGATTTATTAATTCACGATAACCGGCATATGATGTTGGTAAATTAAATGGTGTCCTTCCAGTTTATTTAATTCATGAGCAGTGCAGTGAATGTTGCCTGCCCACAATTTTCCAGGCTGAAGTTTCCATCTTTGAATTGGCCTCTGTATACACCGAGGGCCCTCCTCCCATGGGTCGACTCGACCTGAAATGAGTGCATAGTGTTTTTTTGTGGCATTTTGGAAAGAAAAATGCAGCCTTCTCACTGTTCCCATGCCCATCACGTGGTGTGTGTGTGTGTGTGATAAGGAACACATCTACAGTAGATTCCAAGTGCGTTTATGGTCACTGAAGTCAGAATGTGTACTGTTCACAGCAGAAAAACTGGATCATCGGTTTGTGTTTTCGTGAACCATGGCAAACGGCACGGTTATGTTCAAGGAAGTTTTATCGCATCCCATTGTAGATCTAGTTTAGGTAGATTTGTCCATTTCGAATTTTGCGTTCGATTTCAATCATTTAATTTAATTACTTGTTAATGCCCATCAGCCAAACTCCTAGAGCCATCTCCTCAATTCCCATTCGTTACCTCAAGGACTCTCCAGGTGAATTGCCATGAGCTTTAATCAGCTGTTGGGTTTATTGAACAAAATGTAATACCATTCCATTAGAAAACACTGTTAAGTCACTCCAACTCATTTTAACACCCTAACAAACCGCAGACCAGTCTTTAAGATGCAAATGTAATACACAAACTAGAAACTGCTTTCACATGCAAGCCTCAACATTGAAGCTTTTCTCTTGGATCTAAAAACTAAATATGAATTGGTTGCTGTGTGTTAAACGAATGTACCTCATCAAGAGCATATGTGGAGTATCTGAAATGGCACATTTAATGATTAATGATGGATGTTAACAAAGATAACATTGAGTTGACTAGGGTTATACATGTGCATGTACATTATTTGCCAGTCTACTGCTGTATGAGAGCCCTCCCCACCCTTTGTGGGGGTTATTCGACCGTACTTCACCATGCTGGTCAGTGCAAATTGGTGAAGGTGGGGAGAATGTGGTTGAATAGAAGTACAGAATAGTGTAATGGATTTTCATGCACAGCCCCCTCGGCCTGTCCACGCTCAGCTCTGCTTAGTTTCGGAGATGTAATGGAGTTCAGATGCATTCGAGGTGATTGGGTTATAAGAAAATATATTGAAAAACTTAAGTATACAGACGCGGTCTTCTGAGTCAACTCATTTGTCTTGGCATAGTTTTCATTTAGCTTCTCAGGATTAAGAGCTCTGGTTCGTTTTCTGAAAACAAAGGCACATTGCATGCATATTTGCATTATGCAATTAATTGGTAGACTTGCTATTCATTGTTTGCCCCATGTTAAGCACTCTAATTATACAATTCAAGCAGGGGTTTATAGAGCTTTGTCTTTGCCAAACTCTATAGACATCCAGTGATATTTGCAGTAGCTCAGGTTTCACAAAAAGATGTCTGATAATTATTATTGCTCCCACTCAAGGTTACTGGCCCAGACTCAGGGTTTTTAGGATGGCATAAAAAGAGACGGCAAACAGTGAGGTAATCGTCCTGTGGGAAGATTCCTCAACTGAGTACACATCGCCCGTGTAACTTGTTCAGTCCAGTATCTTAATTGTGAATGTTGAAATGCTCTTTTTCTGATGCGACAATTTGACACTTGTAGACTGGGTTTAATGGTTACGATGTGGTTGTTATGTATCCTGGAAGACTAGCTGATTGTGATGTTTGGAGGCAGAATTTTATTTACATTTTTCCTGTTATAATGAAGCATAGTTATCTGTGCATACAAAATATAAACTTGGAGAATTTAAAGAAAAAAAATATTCTTAACCGCAACAAATCTAAAATAAACCAATTTGTATACATTGCCTGGAGGTAAAAGTAATTTTACTTCATTTCGTTTAAGGTATGGTAAGAGCTCATCTTGAAGTTGCCAATATAATTGTAACAGTTTAATTGATACATAACATGAAAGTACATACATTCTGGCTAGAGTATAGCAATCTAATAATGCGTCTGTGTTTAATACCCATGGTCTTGAGACCTGTGTGTGGTGAGATAATCAGCAATAAAAAAAGATAATAATTTACAAACCTTTGGAAATCCACTGCTGGATTAAGGCCTCTCCATGCTGCGGTGCTCATTGATATTGTTTTACCATACTTCAATACACCGGTTAGTTTGGGTTGGTAAAGAAGGCCTAGGCCGGTTCGGATATCACGAACCAATGATGCGAGCCACAGCTGGGAATTGAACCGAGATCACTGGGTTCAGGGCGTGGTTCATGAACTCAGTGCGTCATCGCTCTTTGCGAGTTTATTACAAAACGCTCAGTACTTGCCTATGTATTATTTCGTTCAACTGAAAGTCATGTAACTCCAATATTGTTGGGAAGAGTATTAGCCTAGTACTGTCCTAAGTCGCCTGACCCACCAGCTGGTAGTGATAATGAGCATGACCAGATGAGCAGTGCTGAAGAATGTTACTTCGGGTTGGTGGTTTGCCCTCGTCGACAATACGTTGTTGCCAATTTGGACTGGAGCCACTCCACTGCACCAGTTTTGGCTCGTGCCTTCATTTGGCTTTGCCTTCTGCCGGTGACGTAAGCACTGGTGGTGTTATGGCCTTTATATATTCCGATTTTAATGCATTCATACGTTGTATTGTCTCAGCAGGTAAAGATTTTTCCAGGCCTTTTGCTAATCGGTTATATACACATTTGCATTCATCGAGTTTGGGTTCATTATTTATTGCCGCATTGTTCAACATTACATCCTGATTCATGCGTGGAATTTTGCAAACAACATTTGTTGAATTCCTTAAACGGTTTTTACAACATTCCTAACATTCAAAGTGTGAATTTCAACTTGCAACGCTCGCACACTGTCGAAGAGAGGCTGACACAGAGGTGCAGGGCACCAAATTTCCCCCCCTCTCCCCCCAGCTCTGCAGCTCCCTATATGAATGATGATGTGTACACTTTAGAATGTGGAAATGAGTGCAAGCCTGAAACGAATTAATATATTAAATCGTTTGAATTTTCTTTTATCTTAAACGATGTTTATGACTTTTCTTTAAAGATCTTTCGCAGCATGACAAGAGAGAAATACACTGTAATACTTATGCCACGTCAAAGTGTGCTCACGCTATAGCCATTTAATAAAATGCCTTGAATGTCATCGGCACATTTAGAACTTCTGGAACATGAAGTATTGCTGTTTGTATAATCTAATAATAAAGTAAGACACCTCTGTCAATCTAGTCCAAATGAAGGAACTCCCCTATGGCCGTGTAGGTTATGGGAGTTGTTTGACCACGTTGGGCCTGTGAGTCGATGCAGGGGGGCTCTGGACTGTTTCTGACATCACACGCCGCTGATGCCCTTTCAAAGTTTAAGCTAAGGTTGCAGGGTTCACAGAGCGGTTTCCAGTCGACTGTGCCACTGCTCCACCCATTTTCATATAAATAATCATCAACCAGCACTGATCTCTAAAAGTAGATGAGATGTGATTCACATGTTGACTTTCCTCTTCACAATTTCATTTCCCCTTGCAAATGACTAACTTGGACATAAACAGAGAAGTTTGATTAATGTACTGATAACTAAAGAGCCTTTAGAATGTAATTGGTATTGCCAACAGCTACGTAGCTGACCTCCGTCAAACTATATTGCATTTCCCACGGTTGCTTACTGTGTATTCCTACAGTCGCAAGAAGAGAACAAGATGGATGGCGTGGACAACAACACTGCTGCTCCCAAGGAGAGTCCGGTTGAGCAAAGTGCTGGTGGGGAGGAGGAGTGCTTGAAGGTAACCAGCTGATAAGACCGTCAATACAAAAGTGATTTCTTCCTCAATAGTATTGAGGCGCTACCCATAACCCTTACTCTTTGGTTCTTTCGGTAAAGTCACGTAGGTATAAAAATAAATAAGTGTCCGTCATCAGACGTGACTTTACCGAAAGAACCAAAGAGTATGGATTCCTGCAGTCACGAAAGCTTCAGCTCAAGATTACCCATAACCTCTTAATGGTCCGGAGCCAGTAGCATAAATTTAATTCTTATGGTGGTTGTTGGGCTATCCATAGGATCAAACACTGTTATTGTGTTTTCCAACAAATCCATTTGTGGGAAAGATATTTAGATATTATTGGTGAGGAGAAACTATAATTTGTGTCGATTTTTCTAAAAGTCAACTCAGCTGGAATAGTTGAGGGGTTTTTTGTTTGTTTTTAAAGCAAAATGTCAATCGATAGTGGGGGGTTGCCTCCGATATGGGGCCATCCATTTAGTACGTACGCAAAAAAAATCTGTCAACTTGACCCCCCCCCCCCTCCTTGTACGCACGCGTACTTTTTACCCCCCCCCAACCTGCGTACGTACGCTTGACGCACCCCCTCGAATCCTATAGAACAGCCGATATTTAATCCACGCAGAAACGATTAATAATATGAACGTGTTTAAGCAAACAGTCTACCGCCGGCTGCATTAAAGAATTAAGTTGCGTACCTTGGCTACTTATTTTGCATAGCCAGCCATCAGGGTACGGTGTACACACAAGTGACACCTCGCCCCCAGTTCTACTTTTCCCGGTAGTACTTGTCTGATAGCTGAAGAAACTGAACTGTGGCTCATTTGAAGGCAACAAGTAGACAAATTATTATCGAGATCCACACCCCCCCCCCCCCGTATCCTATGCATACGTACATTGTCAGTATACCCCCCCATATGCAAGCGTACACATTTGGGTTAACCTCCCCTTCATGCGTACGTACTAAATGGATGGTCCCTATGGAATTACACCAAACTGCCACCCCACCAGCTACAAGCCACGGTGTGTGTAACAGGTATTTGTGTGATGCCGCTGATGTGTGTATGTGTCTGCCCACAGGTCCGCTTTGCGGTGCTGAGTGGAGAACATGTGCAGCATGTGCAGCGGGCGGCCGATTCGGTGCTGACACTCACAAATTACCGCCTCCACATCGTCCGTGGCCGTCACTCCACCAACGTGAGTGCATGCCCGTCACGTGCGCACTTGTCCATCTAATAGAGAACCGTCACAGTGGAGACTACCTTTAGGGGGTGCAGAGATACGTGTGGACAAAGTATCTGCTTTTACATGCAAACCTCAACATTGAAGCTTTTCACTTGGATCTTAAAACGAAATGTGGATTGGTTGTTGTGTGCGTTAAACGAATGTGCCTCATCAAGAGCATATGCGGAGTATCTGAAATGGCACATGTACTGATCAATGATGGATGTTAACAAAGATAACATTGAGTTTACTCTAGGGTTATGCATATACCATCACAAGCATACTCTTAGTTTTTTTCGGTAAAGTCACGTAGGTAAAATAATTATAAAATAAAATAATATTAAATGAAAATAACTAAATTAAATCACGACGTTTCGGAGGCAACACAAGTCTCCGTCTTCAGATGGGACTGTCACATCCAAATTTTACTGTCCCCCCCTCCCCTTAACCAGTGTATATAAGATCTTGTCTCTTGGATTTCCCTTCATTTGATACAGTAAAATTTGGCTGTGACGGTCCCACCTGAAGACGGAGACTTGTGTTGCCTCCGAAACGTCGTGATTTAATTTAGTTATTTTCATTTATTATTATTTAAAAATAGTTTTTTTACCTACGTGACTTTATCGAAAAAACATAAGAATATGAATCCTTGCAGTCACAAAAGCTTCAAATCTAGAACCATCACAAGCAATTGTATAATGGGTATATTTGTCATTTGTTTCCAGTTGTAGTTAAAGGGCAGTGCGGCACAATCTGTTGTTCTGTGCTCTCCTCACCTTCGCCATCTAGCACTGACCAGCTTGGTAGAGTATGGTCAAAGAGTGCTCACTCCCAACACGATGTGGAGAGGACCTTGTCCAGCAGTGGATTGACAAAACGGACTGTATGCACACATGTTGCAGTTATCATTTTAAATGTGCAATATACACAAGGCAGAGTAGTTTTATCTAAAAAAAAAGAATGCTTGTCTGAAATGGTGTAGAAATATGCATCCCTTGGGAATATAGGTGTGCCATCGGCATTACACGGTGCCGAATATTTAAGACATGCGTGCTGCAGTGCTGTGGAATGTTGCGTGAACCAAGGTTTATGAATACATGACAAAATGTGGGTGAGACATAAAAAACAAACTATCTTAATTCGTCCACCACAACTTGTGTTTTTTGTCTTCTATTTGAAGGCTGTTTATACATAAAAATACTGCAAATACAATTCTAAACAAATAAGAGGGGAAAAGGCACTGCTAAGGTTATTGTTCTTGACCAACTGGTGGAATGTACACAGTTCAAAGATAAACACAGTGTGGGGGGGAGGCTGGATAGCTTAGGAGGCTAATACATGTCAGAGCACTGAACCAGCACTGCTTTCATCCCAAGCTTGGATCCACACCTGTCATCAAGCAGGCTTCTTGTGCCGCACTGAGATGAATTGTCTCACCACAATAACTGCACACCAAAAAAATATCTTACAGTTTGCATGCATTCTAGATTTGAAGTTTTCGTGACTGCAAGGATCCAGTAATTTTGCTGGAGCAGTCACACCTGATGACGGAGGCTTGTGTTGGCTTTGAAACGTCGTGATTTTTATTTTATTTTATCTTTTACCTACGTGGCTTTACCGAAAAAAACAGAGTATAGGTTGCATGCAATTTGGCATATTCCAGTTGTTAATAGTTAAATCGGTTTGATTGAACTTCTTTACACATGAAAGCAATGCGTGCTTCCTCTTGACGTCAGAAGTAGTTCTTTTACGGAATCTTCCAGAGTAATTCCCTCGCACAGACTTACACGACTGGTTATGAGATTGAACGTGAGTCTTTGTCTCATGGCATGATACTGAAATAGAATTAGGGGGAGAAGCAAACATGCGTTTATCTCCATGTATATAAAAGGGAAATTTGTTCACACGTGTGTCTGTTCAAAATGTTTAGCGTGCTTCCCGACATGCAACAAACTGCCATGTGGGTACTTTCCAGACTGTACACCATGCAAAAATTATAAAAATACACTTTTGTATTTTTTTGGGGATGGTGCAATAATGCATATATTTTGCATGGCAAGTGAGCTGTGACGTCACATCTGTGATGTCACCCGCATGCGGCAGCGTCACGCAGTGTGCCTGCTGACGTCACCCCCCCCCCACCCTTCGCGTAGTGTGTTAATCCAAGAAAAGAATCCCAAGTCCCGGGCGAAGCTGGGTAGTAAAGCTAGTATAAATATATATAAAACATAGTTTGATGTGCTTCTAACCAAAAATGCCCCATTGTTCCTTGCAGATTCCATTGCGATTAATTGACAGTGTGGAGAGCCGAGACATGTTTCAGTTGCAGATCACCTGCAAGGATGGCCGTGTTTACATGTACGTATTCCTACCAAAGTAACTACATTTAAAATTAAGCTTTTTCTAAGCTGAGTAAAATATTGTTAAGCCATTGCAATGTTTTGATGTAGTTTTAGAGGAGTACATATTTTCTTCCATACAATGTGACATTCTTGTATCTTCGACTGATAGATAATGTTTCAAAGGTTTCTTTCTTTTGTTATTTACATAATTGCATAACCTTGTCAAAAACATGATTGACGCCTGCTAACGTAAAATTGCATTCATTTATTCTTGAAATCATTGGAGCAAGTGAACAGCTTTTAGAAAACAAGACTGCAAAGTAAAAAAACGAGCTTTCAGGTCTGCTGCATTCAATAAGGTAAAGTATCTAAAAAACAATCAATTGACTGATCTTTTAACAAATTGCATATCTGTGGTTGGGTTGGACTGCTGTGTTGCAGGTGCAGCTTGCAGACATTTGAGGAGTGTCAGAGTTTGTGCAAGCGGCTGTCCAATATGGCACTGCTGCCACCTGGCTTAGATGGCCTCTTTGCATTTGCTCACCACGCCACGTGTCAGGACGGGGGTTCAGGTGATGGGCAGGCCACGCTGTGTCAGCCCGGTAAGAGGGCCACTGTTGCCTCCCATTACAGAAGTGTGTTGCGTTTAACAAAAATAAGTTTATATTACAAAACGGAGGGTGGGGGGGGGGAACAGACACTCGGCGAACAGTGACCCGATTTAGGTGGGACGGCCTGAATGAAGGGGGAACATTGGGCTCATTGCCCCACCCAGGTGGGGATCACGTGCGGGTGCATTACAGTTTACAAGCACCAAATAGATACGAAAAATAAGAATAGATGTAACCCTTTCTGGCACTAAAACAGGTGTTAATATGTTGAACCACCAAATGGACACCTTTTTTGCAAGGCATCAAGTCCACACATACTTTTGGCAAAACATGCAAACAAACATGCTTGATACTGGCAAAAAAAGTTCCCATGGATATGAAGTTTTATATGGGGAGGGGTAAGGGGGAAGGTAACTAAAATACTGGGGAAAGGAAAGGGACGGGTGGACTGGGGAACCGGTGGGAGGGGAAGGGGGAAGCATGTAAAAAAAAAACACTTGCAAATAAAATAATATACACACGACATATAAACATGAGTACTAACGTCCCACATAGCAGTTCTCCGCTTCCACCCGTTCTCGCCCGAGGGGCACGATCCCCCCCCCCCATACACCCATCCCCCCACCTCCCGACTTCCTCGCCCTCGCACCTCATTTTACGTTACATAAGAAGAAGAACAGCAGTGCATGTTTGACTTGACACAGTAAATCTAACTTCAGCCTTAAAATCACACATGCGCCATTTATATTCGGGCATTGGCTGAGGAAGTGAGTCATTAATTTACCAAATGTTTGAGCAAAGGCTAATTTTTCTGTTTGTTGATGGAGAACAATTGCAATATTTCTACACTACTGCTGTCCTTGTGTTGGATACCTGTTGCATCTTGAATGAGCAGATCTGACGTTAGTTCTGGTAGCTATAAACTGCTTTCATATGAAATGATGGATCGCCTTTGTGTGTTACACTTGGGCTTTTTACAGGCGAACACATTGTGGAAAGGTTTCAGAATGAGGTGGAGCGAATGGGCTACGACCTTGAAAATGCTTGGAGGACAAGCGAGGTGAACACCAGCTACCGTCTGTGCGCTAGCTACCCCCAGCAGCTTCTTGTGCCCGCCTGGATCACTGACAAGGAGCTGGAGAGAGTGGCCTCCTTCCGCTCGGGCAAGCGAATCCCTGTAGTCGTCTACCGGTAAGAGCCTTGGATGTTGCAAGATGACTTTTGTTGCCCTATTGAGAGCGAGAAGTGTCTGAATATATTTATTATCATGTTGGTAATGAAATGTCTTACTACAGTGTGAAATTGTATTTTTTTGTCAAATTGTATACTGATACGAATAGTTGCATTGGTTAGAGTAAGGTCACTATTTTTGGGTCGGTCATTTTTCAGAAAAGAAATTTGATTACTGCAATTTAAATGTCCGGAGTTGTAATTTCAATGATTGATACTTTTACTCTGCTGGTGAATTTATCTGTAGCGGTTACACTACTGTGTATGATAAAATGAAGTGTTTGGTTCCATTAAATTTACTGACTTGACACGGTATAATGTGCTCATTTTATTTTCTTTGCACGTGCTCGCGTGTGTGCAGGCATCAGCACAATGGGGCTGTGATAGCACGCAGTAGCCAGCCAGAGGTGAGCTGGTGGGGCTGGCGGAGCCCAGAGGATGAGCACCTCATCCAGTCAATGGCACGCGCATGCGCCCTTAATAAATGGGAGCCAGGGGGCGGTGGCACTGGCAGCAATGGCTATGGCGCTGAATTCAGCTCTCTTCAGAGTGAATATGGTGAGTGTTGTAGTCCGAACAGGAGCCGTTTGGCATATAGTATGATGTTTCAGATAAAGCGTCCTGTCATTTTAACAAATTACATCCATTGTAAAACTTTTAATTCATCTAGATTGTCTGTTTTTATTTTTGTGAGCTATTTTGACATCACTCGTTTCAATAAGTCATCTATTGAGCAGCCTTGTCCTTTAATGCAACTATAATTAAGTTCCTGTTTGTGGCTGTGAAAAGCTTTGCAATAGTACTGTGAATGTTATGTTGCAGAATTGTGTTATTTGAATCGATGTTAATTTTACTTGTACATGGTATTTAAATCTTAAATTACCAATTGGGAGCTTTTTTTCAGGATATCCACTACCATGTGCTATGGGAACCAGAGGATCTATTGTCAATTATTATCCTGGCGTCAATGTTCAGGGCATATGAGGATAACTCATTCAGAGTTACATTGCAGCTGCAAATTTTACTGAATGATGATCGATGTCCTCAAATGGCATTTGTGGTTGAGAGCATCCAGTTGACAAAGATGGCATTCAGTTTCGAGGACAACTTTGGATACTTATGGATTTATGTTATGACATTTTCTGGGCCTAGTTCACGTGGATATTTGTACATTCCTTCAGCACGGGGTGCTTTGTGCTATTGCGAACTGGGAAAGGCATAGGTTAATCCTTGGAGAATGGCATAAGCCGAGGCTTTTAAATAGTTAGATGTGTACTTTTCATTCCTTGGCTCCTGCTCCTAGATGGTATGCTTTTCTCATTGCCCAAAACAGAAACATCCCAGGTGCCAGCCGCCCAGTCGCTGCTCATCATGGATGCCCGCTCCTACCCAGCGGCCGTGGCCAACAGAGCCAAGGGGGGTGGCTGCGAGTGCCCAGGTGCGGACACATTTGTAGGATGCACAACGTTTGTGGAATGGAAACATTATCTGTGCTGTCTATAACTTTATGCTTATTATGGTGCTGGCTACTTTGTGTGTTTTGAGCATGTTCAATTGTGGATGAGTGTCGTGCGGTTGTTTTTTTTACGTTCTTGTGTTCAAATTTGAGAAAACAATCTGCAGCTGCGAATGTGACATTAATTTGGCATTCTTGCATATCCTGCAGAGTACTACCCAAACTGCGAAATTACTTTCATGTCCATGGCGAACATCCACTACATTCGCAAGAGCTTTCAGAGCCTACGCACCCTCTGTTCCCAACCGCCAGATCCCAACAGGTGAGAAAGACCTATTTCCTCCTGCACCAGGAACTTGTGTATGACATTGAATAATAGCTTTTTTTATGTACAGACACTCATTTGTATGTTTCTGTAAATATTACTATGCCAATAAGGCTATGTATTCATACACGGGCACATTTGAAATATATTTTCTTGCATAGGTGCATCGTTGTCCTGTGTGTGTCAAGTTTATTTTTTAAAAATAATATACATGTATGATGTATTCAGCTGGCTGTCGGCCCTGGAGAACACACGCTGGCTTCAGCACCTGTCCCTGCTGCTCAAGGCTGGCTGTGCTGTAGCTGGCGCGGTGGCCGGGGAGGGACGTCCCGTGCTTGTTCACTGCTCCGATGGCTGGGACCGTACTCCGCAGATTGTGGCACTGGCCAAGTTACTTCTTGATCCCTACTACCGTACTATCCAGGCACGTACAATGCAAAACGCTCCAGGCCCATTGCATTCAGACTTGTCTTCTCGTGTTTGCGTGAGCGTAGATAAATCCTGGGCATGAAAATCCAGCCGCTTGAGTTGGGGACCATGTGGTCTTTTTTAACATTGATCGAGTCGGTCCCTTTTACCCTCGCATACTTGAGATTCTTTGACTACGTTGACGTGAAACTTACCGAAGAGCAACTAGTTAAGTATAAGTCATTTTCGTATTGCTGGTTTTCAGATGACTGAGCAATTCTTAGCTAAACTTACATGTATATTTATCCAGTGCTTTAGTCCAAGGTGCTTTAAAATAATGATACAGTTGTACATAAGATTATAGTGGTTAAAATAAAGAGTGGGGTTATTAAAAGTGGAGGTGTAGTTATGGAGACAGGTGGTGGAAGTGGTTAAGGAGGGGTTGGGGTAGGCCTATCAGTAGCTGGGGGGTGGGGGCAGGGAGTAGAGATGGGTTGTTTTAAGGGAGGAACGGAAGCTGCTCTGCGAAAATGATTGTTTTAAATGCCCGTGGCAGTTTGTTCAAGTGAAAGGGAGCAAGAAGGGAAAACGAAAGAGCGTGACTGGGTGTAAGGCGGGGGGGGGGGGGGGCACAGGGAGGGACGGTAGAGATTGGGAGCGTAGAGGTTGGGATGGGAAATAGTAAGATATGACAGAAACAAGATAAGGTGGGGAAAGACCATAGAGAGATTTATAGACTGGAGAGAAACATTTAAACAGACAGCAATAGTCGACAGTGGAGTCAGGAAAGTAGAGGAAAAGTGTGGGAATTGTGGAGTAGGTTAATAATGATCTGGGGTGTGAGGCCTTTAACATCTGTTGGAGAAGGAGGGAAGACTTAGTAGGCAGGAAGGCCGAGAAGAAGATGGTGGCAATTAACCTTGCATAGGGATCTCTGGTGATTAACATTGTGCCACTTGTACGCTGTGCAGGGGTTTCAAGTGCTGGTGGAGATGGAGTGGTTGGACTTCGGGCACAAGTTTGCGGACCGATGTGGGCACGGAGATGGCTCCGAGGATGCCAGCGAGCGCTGCCCCGTCTTTTTGCAGTGGCTCGACTGCGTTCACCAGCTGCAGCGCCAGTTCCCATGCTCCTTTGAGTTTAACGAGGCTTTCCTTGTGAGTTTTTGCCAAGCCACACAACATCATTCCACCTTGGCTTCCCTTTTTAAACCCCCCACACATCCTTAAGAATTCTTGTCGGTGGAAATGAACGCACGGTGATTTTACACGTGAAGGGTAATTTATAGAATGTTTATTGCTGCGATGTTGTCAAGTAACTCTATCCAAGTGGGTAAATTTAACGATAATGTTCTCTGCCTATATGTAGCACCAGCAAGCGACTTGCCTAAACTCGTTTAATAAGCTACCAACCACAAGCACTGCTATAGAACACACCCCTGCACGCAACTGACTTGCCATCAAACATTTTGGCTTAGCCGTCGAACAAAGACGGCCCCACTGCATTGTGCGCTTTCAGATGCACTGCTTCTATGGCCATCCGGAATGCTCTTCCGATATTAGGAAGCCGCTGGAGCTATGCACTTTTAAATCTAAATTGAAAACGAATTCATTTAGAACTGCTTTTTTAAAGTGGTGTTATCCTTACCCCGCACCTCCGATTAGCATTGTTGGCTACGTATGGTGCGAAAGAAGTTCAACTTATACGTACATACAACTGTCATTACCAAGCTAAAGATCATTACATTTTTACCAAATGTTCTGTTGCATTAATATATAAAGTAACAGTAAATTTAGCTGTTTTTTTAATATATCGAAATATATACATTTTTTATGTGTTTATTGCCTGGTGAATTTCTATATATATTTATACTGTACTACTAAATTAAACTAAATATAGTTGACACTTAAGGGAAATATGAAAGTGTCTTCATTTTCCGTCTACAAAAATATTGCTTTGCATTGGCCAGAATTCTCGCATGAACAATGATGTATGTACACACGTCTGACACGCATCCCATGTCCCTGTGCCGGCCTACAGGTGAAGCTGGTGCAGCACACGTATTCGTGCCTCTATGGCACGTTTCTGTGTAACAGCACACGCGAGCGAGCAGAGCGCAGCATAGCCAACCGCTGCTGCTCCGTGTGGTTGCTCCTGCGGCCTGCTAACAAGGCATTCACGAACTTGCTGTACACCCCGGGCTCTGACACGGTATTTATCATTGTCACTTAATATTTTTACCACGCCTCCGCATACAGTAAATCTCGAGGCACCCTGTAGCAGGGGATCCATTGTGACTGTATTCAGCTTGATTAAGGTGAAATGCAGCACTGGCCAGCAATTGGGAAGAATGCACTTTTCGAGCAATGAGTCAAGGAGTGTGGACATCAGATCCAGATAATGGGTTATGACAAGTACTAAATAAAAGTCCATTGTGTGTATACAGTGCCATCTGCTTCCTCTGCCACTTCAACATTTATGATTGCTCCACCACCGTCATGCCCTCTGCGATGTACAGGTGCTGCGGCCTGTCTACCATGTGCGGAGTCTGCTGCTGTGGTCAGGAGTGTACCTCCCAGAGCCCTTTTCTGCCGGGCCTCCTCCACGAGACCTTCCACCGGCGCCCCCTCCCACCTTCCCACTACCGAACCCCAAAGCTGAAGAGGGGCCGCACCCGAGGTGTGTAGATTTCTACCTCGCACCGTTATCTCAGATTGCTGTTTTTATTGTAAAGCCTGTACTATATTTCCGAATCTTTCCACTCTGTAAAGGAGTATCAGATTGTACTACTCTAATTACAACAAGGTTTGTATGTTCTGACATTTTTGTTTGCCTATGGCCCCTTTCCCTTCAAATATAATTGGTACTCGTATCACGACAAACCCAGACCATGCTTCACACTGGTCAGCGTCATATACGCTGGTAGTTTGTATGCAGCTGAGCCCGGCCTCGCATTTATCGGCCGCTTGCAGGTTGTCCAAGACGCGCTCGTTTGAGGACCTGCCATCAGCGACCGAGGGGGTGGCTCAGGCGGGTGGCCCAGGTGGGGGGCGACGCCTCAGCGACCCGAGCCTGCAGGGCCTGGGCCTGCGCATCGACCGGCGCGGCTCCATGGAAATCATCAGCTGCGTGTCGGACACCCCAACCGAAGATGGCCTCCTGGCGCAAAGTGAAACGTTCACATGCGCCCCCTCGCGCGACTCGGGCCTCGAGGCCTCGGACCCTGACTGCGCGCCAATATGCAGCGGTCACGAGGTGGACCACCATAGGAGAGAGCGCATGGCCGCCTCAGATATGCACGACCACAAGCCCTTGGTGAACAAGGTTGGATTTGAACTGGATGTAGTGGCAAAGGCTGATAGCTCTTTGGGAAACACGTGTTGGTGTGATTCTGGTGTTTCTTTGCAACCGGCAATGGGACACAATATGCACGGTAAAGTGAGAAAGCAAGCTTCACAATGTGTTCAGTCTCTTAACAGGATCAATGTCCCACATGAGTTGCTTGGAGAGTTTTCTGCAGAGCAAGCTTCTGAAAAGCTCGACTCCGCACAGACTGTTATACACAGTGCTTCATCTCCTGCTGTGATCACGTGGAGCTCTGAGACCTGTGATGCAGGAACAAGCCACCCACCAGACAAAAATGGTGATGATGACCTCGCTTGGGTCGACGCTGACATGGTAAATAGCACTGTCAACTACCGCAAAGAGAAGAATCTTTCTGGAATGAGTAATGGGCACTGTGAGAATGTCAATGGTAATTCAGATTCTGTGTCCGCTGAAAATTCTCCAGTTCAGCCCTCTGCCTCTCAGGCTGTGGAACAAGGCATGGTGCAAGAAAGGAAGTCCGTCATGGAGAGCTCAACTGAGACCATCACAGATGAAGTACAGACAGAACAAGAACTGAGCAGTGATAACATCTGCGGTCAGAACCGCCAGGGAGTGGTCATAACCCGAGATATTCGCAGTGCACAGGTCTGCTGTCTGATGCACAAGTTAAAGTCTGTCGATCTGGATGCAAAGGAGAATGTAAGGTCCTGCAAAGGCGTTAAGTCCAATGGGTTGAGAAGTGTAGAAAGACGAAAAGCCTGCCTAGCTTTGGGTACAGCTGGCAGCATGAGCAAGTCTTGTATTAATGGGGAGCATAAGCAAAAGCGAGGGCGGAGGCGAAATAACTGTGGAGCTTGCAAAGGAAAGTTTGCTCTTGACCGGGCACACAGAGCAACTGAGCAGCCCAGAAGATGCAGGGCTGGAAAGCAGTGTACTAATTGCAGTTTGACAGAAACTCAAGGTCTAGAGCAAAGTAAACAAGGCATTGAGAAAGACATTGGTACGACAGTTGCTGTTGACATGGTGCCGTTATCCTGTGGAAGGCATTTGGCAGATCTTAAAAGGAATCATGTACGTTCCAAGCCCAACGATTGTTCAGGAATGTATCCTCAGGCTAGCAGCTCTGTAGGATCAGGGCTGACTCAATGTAGCAATAGACAGAACCAAGGATATGCGGACTCGGGTTGGCCTCTAACAAATGGTGATGCAGAGCAGGAAAAGTGTACTGCATCCATTGACATGAAAAATACAAATTGCGAATCGACCATTCCTATTAACAGTGGACATCATCAGTGCACGCATCATAAAATTGGTAGCAGGTGTGTTTCTGTCAACAGTAGCATTGGGAATGACTGGATACAACTTGCGGACTATGTGCCTCACATGGGCACAGACAGAAGACACTCCAATGGCGTGTGCCACCCTTCAGCTTGCAGCTCCATTAACTCTGCCTCTGAAAATTTCGTGCACTGCGGTTGCTCCGCTCGGCAAGGTGGAGCGTTAGAAAAAAATGCTGCGCACCCAGTCCAGTATTGTGATAATGTCACGCGCTGGTCCAGAGCATCTTCAACAATGGCAGCAATGACGACGGTGGTTGCATCGGCCACGGCCACTGAATCTTGGCCTGGAGAAGAGAAGCAGGAGGCTGAAGGAGACGAGGAAGGCGAAGGAGATCCAGATGGCTTGCCCTGCGCACCAGACCCCGTGCAGCGCCGATTGCTCCAGATGGACGCTCAGCACCGCAGAGAAACGCTGCTACTTCGCCGTGCTCTGCAAGAGCTTCGGGCTCAGCTCAGCGGAAGGCAGCGGCAGCAGCATCTGCAGGCGGAGCGGCCAAAGCTGGACATGTCTGGTGGGCCGAACAGGAGGCAACCCGAGTGCCCTGAGGAGTTGGTGAGTACATTGCCACGAATGCTCGGTGCAATTATTGTGTCGGTTTTCCACACTTGTGCTGCGTAGCTCAACATTGTGTTTCGGGTTGTGTTTTGTGCTGTTTGGCATATCTAATGCTTTGCTTCATTCGCTGGGAGTCTCTTCAGGGATTTAAACCGAACTATTAAGTTCCTGAAGAAACTCCTGTCACGTGGAGTGACACGTCAGACATCGTACCCAAACAACACACGGTACACAATCCGAAGAGCTATAGAATGCTCAGTGGTACTTTTGTATTGTTAGAAATTTACGGTGCTAGCCTTGTTATTTTCAAATCGCAATGAATAACTCTCCCTCCACCCCCCAGAAAATGTTCACTTGCAACGTACAAGAATGTAGCTCATCCAGATTGCTCCCCCCCCCCCCCGGCCACCCATAGTTATAATGGAAGCAATATTAAAAATGTCACGTGAAATGTCCTGTAAAATATTTGTGCATCTGGTGTGCGTGCTGTGTGTATCAGTCTACGATTTCGGACCTGGACAGTGAGGTGGAGTCAGGTCCGCTGTCTCAGTGCAGTACTGGGATGGTGTCGGAGACCAGTTGGGAGCACATCGACACGCAGGATGGACATCAGGTGCCACCTTTGCAAAATTCGCATTTTTTTGTGATCATCTTTAAAAATATATCTGCTCTTGAACGAAATTAAGATGTACTGCTCATTATATCGTGTATTTGACGTGGCAGTTTTGTTCCATTATTTCCAGCGAGAATGTCGCGACGTTTTACGCGATTTGAATTACAGCCAACTGCAATCTTGTATATAGCGGCAATAATATTTGCACGTTGCTCTGTTTGTGTGCAATGGCAACGTAGATGGCAAAGCTGGTGCCATCCCAATGTTACAGCTGCGAGGGGCCCGTCTGGCTTCAAAGCACGGAACACTACTGCAGGTGTGCATTGCCTTTGCATTGCATTGGTCATTGCTTTGTCACGTGCTGTAAGTCATGTGGCTGACATGAGTTAACCCCACAGACATTTATGTGTGCCAGATTTGAACAGTCTGTGGAAAATAATTGAACCCAGTGTCCTGGACTTGTTGAATTGCCCGGGCAAATAGGGTACAAAGGCAACGGCTGATCAATAAGCAGTGTCCAATATGTGCTTGTAAATCTTCTCATTTTAAATATTTAGCAGTTATGGAGTTTTCTGCTTAATTGAACAGTTGAATTTTCTAATTATAGGCCATATTTAAGTGAAAATGAGATGCAATAGTATCTATTATTTGTGAACTCATGCAAAGCTTACATATTTGTGCTTTGGCATCCCAAGGGTAAAATTAATAAGGCATTTTCTCGGTCCATTGATCCAGCTTCTGTCTGTTTGCGACAGTCTTGCATGGCTTGCTTGGGTTGAAAAGCAAACTAACCTCTCATTTCCAAATTATGTAACTATGAATATGTACATTTGTTAAGCTTACCGCTTAAGCTACTACTTTGGTTAGTTTTGGTTCATTTAAATTTCAATTGACAAATAATCTAACCTTCACTTACTGTTTATTACGTGCATGAATATACTTAATTATGCCCAACAGTAAACGGAAATTTAGTTAACCGTTGTGTCCAATGGCTGTCTGGATTAGGAGTTTCTGCAACACCATTTAGTGTTCACCAATGTTTTTTTGATAACTGAAATTGCTTGCTCACCAAGGTTTCAGTAGGGCTGTTTGTGTGTGTGTGTTTATATATCCATGTCCTTGTCTCCTAACTCTGTCCTGTCTGCCTTGTCAATGTGCCCTGATTGAAACTGATAAGGCAGTGACATCAACGTTTGCACAAAACGCAACATTCGCTCATTTGGTTTCAAGTCCAAAATGCAATCCACGAAATGACATCACATAGCTACGAACAGTTTTTGTGTCTGCTCTTATGTTTCCATGTTGCAAATCTTAGCACTCCGCTTAATTTTAATTGGTCGGTGGGCCTAGGCTTCAAACACTATGCAGTGATTCATATCGCAATGATACCAAAACTTCCTCGACAATCCTCCTGAGCTGTCAATTCCCCCCACTTGCAGGGATGAGGACCTGTCTGCCCAGTCCTGGTGAGCTGTTATTCCTTCCATTTCTTCCTCTCATGCATGTGCTCCTTTTGTATTGCTTGGTTTTTTCTTTCTCTCCAAAGCTCAGCCTTGTATGTTTATGCTTTAGAATGTGTGTACAGTTGATGTGGTGTTGCAAATTTTTTTTAATCCAGCACAACCAGACCAAAGCCAGTTTTATGCTGGTGAGTTGTATGAAAGGGCACATTGGTCTGTTTACTGTATTCTTAGGGCGTGTTTTATTGACCCAAGGAGATATTTCATGCTATGTTAAATATATTTTTTAAACCAATCAATTGACAGTTTTAATACATTTGTATGTTTTAACGTAGTTGTGTTTGTATTGTCTACTCAATATTTGTTTTATTTTACAGCATCTATACATCCATCGAAGTAGTGTTATTACAAATGTATTTCGGTCAGGCAGTGTGTGCATGAGCTTCTTTAGCATATATTGAAAACAAAAAAGGGACGACAAGGTTCGTGTTTCATTATTTGCAATTTATTATTTTTTGAGAAGGGCAAAATCTGCCTCTCGCACCATTTTTTAGCTCAAGCTGGATCAAAATTCACAAAGCTGGTCAATGTTTTGGCAGCCTTAATTGTGAATGAAATATGTAGGTGTATTTAATCCTCGACTCCTCATTTCTCCAAATGTGTTTATATATTTTTTTTGGTTTGTTACTTGTCTAGGAGCTGTGGTAAGGTTTTTTGTGCGAGCTGTTGCGACGGTCGAATGTCCCCGCCGAGCAAGAAGCCCCTGGACGTGTGCGGGACGTGCCGCGATGGCGTGCGGAAAGACGGAGCTCGCGTCAACGAGTTTGAGACGCCTCAGACCGCCGCCTCCTCCAGCTGAACACGTGTAAACTCTTTTGAGTGCACACCTTGCACATTTTAATATTGCCAATAAAGTAATTGCATTTAAACTTGTAATATCTGTAGGACTAATGATAAACGTTGTTTATAATAAATGCATATTTGCTCCAGCTAAACACGTTTGCTGTTCTGCTTATTTAACTTTAAAGTGGCGCCTAATGGCACTTGCAAAGAAATAGCCGACTGTGCTTTTTTGTAACAGAAGCAGGGTGTTATTCCTCAGGCTCTGGTGAGCTTAGCAGTTTTGGAAAGAACTATCTCTATTATGATTGTCCTACTAAGTGTCCACATTGCAGCTGCCTTGCAAATGCGCACATAAAACTTTACATGTAAACTTCGAGTTTGGCCTCTCCAGAGCTACAACAATTCCCATATTCTATCTAAAAATAAATGTAACTTTTAGGGATGAAGAAATTGGTGTGGGTTAAAGATTAAAAGCTACTGTAATAAGGGTACGTCTATTGTCATGGGAATATACTTTAAAATGCCATCGGTAAATGATGGGAGAATGGCAAGAGTGTCTGAGCAAGTGGTCCGTGACCTGAAAAGAGCAAGGTTGGGGTGTATTGTTTGTGCAGAGTATGTGACATTTGTTTCCGGCCTGAGGATTAGGAATAACAGAGTTTGCGTACTCTTGCTTCGTACCTCCAGCACTCATGCTGAGAGAGAAGGCCTCTGTACAGCCTCACACTCTTTGTTTGTAAGGTGTCATTAAACAAAAACTTGTGCATCCAGCCTTAGAAACACAAGCGCAGAATGTTTTTTTGTAAATGGTGAAAATGTTTGAGTAAACGCTAAAAACCTCAGTTGTACAGTGTGGATATGATGGCAGCATATTGTGTCACATTTGCTTATTCCTAGTCCTGGGTAATACTGTGCACCAAATAGATTTTGACTTGAACGAAAGAAATGTAAATGCTGTATATGTGGCACCTATGAGGAGAAAGAAGGGGTGGGCGGGGGAAGTGGTCAGTGCCGATTGTGATAAATTGTACAGAACTGCATGTTGTGGAATTGGCAAGCGCACCAAGAATTGGAACAAAAATTCAAATTTGTAGTTGACAATGCATTGAACATCGTAGTTTGCACATACGTAAGGCCTTATTTTCATTGGCTTAAAATGCTTATAATTTATTTGACCTTTTGTTTACAATTTAGTGATATTGCAATGCTTCATTATAAAAACTGTAGTGAAATTAATAGTTGTATGTGGTTTCTGAACAATGCAAACATTTGCTGTATTCATTTTTATTGACTGTTTATTATTGCTGCACGTTAGAACAATCCTGAAACCACCCAATAGATACATAGGCTATCCAGGGGATCTAATTAGAGTTAACCTTAAAATAAATCATATTTCGTAAGGAACTTTTTTTTCCCATTTACATATAAGTTATGTAGTTGCATTCTGCAATTGAGGTACATACTGCGTTAATGGAATTTATTATAAACAATTGGTAAAACGATTCTATCCGAAAATATATTTAATGTTACAATTCATATTGGCCTATGTTGGGTATAAAGTTAATACGTATATTTGGATTTACAATTTTTTGTAAATGCTCGCTTAAAGCTTTTTATCTTTTACAATAAAACGCGTACCTATGGTTGCATTTGTTAAGGTGTACTTAGTCTCATATTTCATCGTTTTTATTGACAGTCTTCCCATATGTGGCAGAATGCAGTGTTGCTGCACCAAAATATATTTACCCAGGCAACATTCCAGTTTAAAATTGGGTTCTGTATCAAATGAAACACTCCCAGAGGTTGGCCCAACCTGAAATGAGCACCTGTGTTGATGAATTTTAAGCAATGTGGTGTGAACGACCCTTGCTGACCACTGGAATAAGTGCAAGCTACTGGCACATGTTCCGATTCTTTAACAGTAATTCAGATTATGGTAATAGCATTATTAACTAACGTAGATAGATTTTCTCTTTGTTTTCTCTCCTTTAATCTGAACCAATTTCTGTGCCACTAATGGCAGTATTCAACCCATTTTAATAAAACGGTATCTTTGGTTGTAATATGCAACTCATTGCCAGACTGGTTGAATGAAGTATGTGCACCTGTTTAACTTCTATGTAAATTACTATCCTCGTATTACTCATGAGCGCTCTTAGATTCCAGTCGAGTACAATTTCAGTTATGATTTGTGTAGCAAGTTCCTATTTATTCATTTTTAATATTCGCTTAATCAGTAAATGTGTTATTCGATAACAAAATTTTTTGCTATACTCGGAGATGATTTGGTTATAACCTAGTCTAGCCAGTATCACATACTGCGTATTGCATTTCCAGTGCATGTAATGTCAAGACCGCAAGGTTGGCTCTGCACCCACATTCTATTATTTTAAATTAAATTTACTGTCGCTCACAATTGAAAATAGTTTTTTTCCTTGCTAAATTAAAATAAGTAACTGAATGATAAAAGTAAATATTTACACTGGAAATTCTAGAACTTTAGTATTAAAAGAATGTTAATTGCAATTGAATGTGCTGTACAAGTTTAAATACTTTAACTCTAGCTAATGGTAAATTAGGTCTGCTGGCAAACAACAGTTTAGTTTGTCCTATTTGCATTTTCGTTTGTAATCAGTTGGATTCTGCTGTATACAACATTTCTCCACAATTCATAAAGTACATGGGTTGATGATTTGCTGCCGAAAATGTAGGTACATGATACATTCTGTATCCATAAACAATTTTTAAAAACAAATTTAAGCATACAAATAAAGTAATAAAATGCAGCAGCGAATCTTAAATGCCTTGGTAAAATATACTTTACATGCATTTACACTTTCTGAATGTTCTCTTGTGTTTTTTTTTGTCCCAGTGCTTTGGACACATACTCTGTTAATGGTAAATAGTTTCCTGTCTTCAGTATGGAGAAATGTGTCTTCTTTGTTTTAAAAAGACGAAAAAAATTACACGATATGAAATAAAGCCTGTATATTTTGATCCTTAGCCATGCCCCAGGCTGGTGTGTAAGAGAATGTGAAATATGAATTTTGTTTTGTAATTTGTGATTTCAGTTTGAAACAGAGTCGGTGCTCTTGTTTTGATGCTTTGGAAGTGGCTGCTATGTAAAAATAAACACAAACAGGAAAAAAAGGCTAACAATTGGAATTGAAGGTTTTGTACTACTAAATAAAAAAGGAATAAAACATCACTTTGCATATGGGTTGTGCTGTAGTGTAGTTTTTACTATTTACATGTGCTGATGAAAAACTATTAAACACTATACCAATTTTAGAAAAGGTATACTGTAATTACAATTGTGCATTCTCTCATTTCAGTGTAATGGTTAGTCATGGTTAGAAGAAATGGCTCTTCATGATTTTACACCCCTTTGTTACAACTGCCACACTACACTTTTTACTTTATTTTCCTGGACATGCTTTAATCGTTTTGTTAACCGGCAAAGACATCGTTAACTAACAGAGAGAATGTTCAGCCCGCAATGTCCCAAACAAATATTTTTTTGAAGATCCAACGAAGGAACTATCCCTGGCTTATCAAACACTGAACGATACGTAACCCTGTTCGAGCAATATATAGGAGGGGCTGCCACCACCGGAATCGAGGTATTTAAGAGTTGCCTAAATGTGACTGGTGAAATGCAATCCAGCACTCGTCACCAATAGTTTGTACATTTGTAGGATGTACAAATAATCTATGGGGGGTGGGGGGCCGTGACAGACCCCGTTAATATGCTGTTTGAAACTCGACAAACTCATCCGTTGCATTTCACATGGCATCCAAAAGAAAATGAAGACTACACTATCAATCCCCTCCTGAATCAAAGCCCTCTCTGTGCGGTGTCAGTTTTGAGTGATGTTTGGTCAGTGCTGATTGAAATGGTGGCCCAAGATCACAAGGTGTTAGTGCTTCTAATTAATTAGTGTAGGCTGACAGCACCTACAGCACGAACTATTAGGTATTATATAACTCCAGGTCATGCAGAAACTATTTACTGGACCACTCTGCCCCTAATAGTGTGGGGCTCGATTAACCACCACTTGGATCAGATTAACCATTCGAATCCTTTCAGAGATACCTCTGCCTGTACGCTGAAACTTTTCATGCCAATCGAGTTCAAGGTTCCTTTCCCTACCGAATGCCCCTTACTATCGCTGTGCAGATACTTCCTGTGCTGTCATGAAAGGGAGGGTGGAATCTCTTGGTGCTACCGAGGTAAAAATCAATTTTTAAAGATCTGAATCTATAATTTGTATAAGGTCTGGCAGCACAGTAATAACTCGGTCAATACCCTGACGCCTGAAAATTGGAATTTGCATGTTCTTCCCGTGGTCGCGTGGATTTTTCTCCCGGTCCTCCGGTTTTCCCCTCCACGTTTAGAATCAACATGCGTTTAAAGTATTTGGCTGTGAGACATGTCCACACGATGAGCCGCCACTTCGTTGCGCTATTATTGGTGACCATAGCTGCATCAATCAGGTGGGGGGAGGGGGAGCTGATAGGGCTCCCTTGGCTGACCTGCGTATAATCGTTTCGACGCATATAACCCAACCCGCTTTCATACGATTCTCCAACACTCTGCAACTGCTTTTATAGGGTTGCCCTGGCCTGGTTTAGTATCATATATCGGGGAGCTAAAATTAGAGTAATGGAGTGGCGTGTAATGTCACTGCTATTCACTTGCAGACGCAGAGAGGAGGGGGCTGTTGTGCAGGTTCGCAACATTAAATGTCAAATCCCTTCAATGAGCTCATTTATGAGTAAAGTTGCAACCTTTTCAGCAAACCAAAGGCGGACATTTTTTTTGCCTCGGTTTGCCAAGACTTTGCAGAAAACTGATAAAAGTTCAACATATAACTACCAGATCTCAGTACATCAACTTGTGTCACCTGAGCTGATTCCATTTTCAGATTTGGGTCAAACTTGAACAGGCGGCAACTCCATTGAGTAGAGGGAAAGTGAAAAGCTGCGTTACAATCAGGTTTTCATCAACATTCATAATTCTATAATTGGATTAACTTATGAATGCATCTTAACTTCCACATTTGGGAAGATTCAATTATTCCTAAACTCTTACACTTTAGTGGTGGTCGACCAAGCTTGAGGAGCCAACATCTTCCAAAGTGGGAGAAATTCCTTTGCACTGGTCGGTCATGCTGCCTTCCTCAGTTATGATTTTCCTATTCTTCCAGACTGGTTTATATGCAGTCGCGTGGTATGAATTTACACCCACCCGTCTCCACGCACCCCCACACAATTTGACCTTACAAGGCATTGGTCCGTGACTGGTTACATAATTTCACAATGCCGTGTTGGCATTTGCTGTTTGCGAGGGGCGTGCAACTAATGATGATCTGCTATCAATTAAAAAACACGCGGCGTGCTTCGAATGCAATTATATTGGTGGCATTTATCTTATGCTCGAACCTGCCAAAGCCAGGCGACAACGCCGTTTCATCGGTCGTTTGGAGGCAGCGCTTCGAGTGCACCGTTATTCACGATTATTTCATGGGACCACCTTTGCCAGTACCAAAATATGAGAATAGGTTTTCCCATTTTTTTGTGACCTAACACCGTTTTGAGACTAAGCTCAAAAGAAAGCTGTCTCTGGTGTGGACCAATTAGTTTAAAAGACAATGCCTTTATTATCACAGTACTTTTTGTTTGCAATTCTGACCACAAGTATTGTGGTTAATGCAGACATGATTCCTTGTAAAAGGTTTCAGTTTGGTGTTTTAACATCTTAACACCTGATTTAAAGCTTTCGTGACTGCAGGGATTCATATTCTTGGTTCTATCGGTAAAGTCACGTAGAAGGGAAATAATAAAAATATAAAAAATTAAATTCTCACGAAAATTTGAAAAACCGCCACTTTTTTCAAATTTTCTTGCTGTGGATTTCACACCTGATGATGATTGCTTGTGTTGCAGTCGAAACGTCGTGAGAATGTTATAGTTTTTTTATTTTCATTATTTTATTATTTCCATTCTACGTGACTTTACCGAAATAACCAAGAATATGGATATCTTAACTGTTTTGTTGCCAGAAAAAAGGGGGGAAAACCTATTCTCTTATTACGCTTATTTATTCCTCAACAAGTATACATAAATATTCTGATTCTCGTTGAGTCAGGTTAGGTGGGTGGGTCGGGGGGTGGTGAAACCCGTCGATAATGTACGACGATCGTTCACTGGCCACTCGCTGACCACATCCACCGAGTTGAGCGACGGTCACGGTGACCCCGGGTGCAATGGGAGGGTCGGCTACACGCGGATGGATCCTGGCTCGGGACGTGAACCCGTTGAGCCAGTGGCCCATGGTTGCCAGGAAGGACACACAATCGGTGGGAGTCACGACCGCCCCCCCCCTTTAGTGCCAACGAGAAGTCCCCAATGTGACGTTGTCGGTCCAGTGAAAGCTATCGCGAAATCAGCGCCCCATGAGGCCACGGTTTGGAAAGCCCCCCCCCAACCCCTCCGTCTATTGAGTTCACATTTACTGCACTGTTAATGTGGCTAAAATAATTCTACTGCATGGATTGTTGTATTTTATATATATATACAGTTCTGTGTCGAACTATGACCCATATCAGAGTGCCCTTGCCTAAAAAACATCTGGCAGTTCATCACCAGCAACTGGGCCAAGCGAGCCTCGACTACTGATGATGAGATACTGAATTTCGAAACCGGTCCAGTTTTTTGTTGTTATTGTTGCTCGTGATGCTCCTGCTGTTGTGGAGTGACTCATGCAGCCAGCTATGGCTGCAGGGTTTTGGTAGTACATGTTGTTTATGCCATTTATTGTGAAAATTCCGTCAGTTCCTATGATTGCTTTTTCATTGCCTTCATGGCTTTATTTTGGTGATTTCGAAAAGTGTATTGGTTTAGCCATGTTTGTGTTGTTGTAGTACAGAGTTAGACTGATGGCCTTAATCTAAGTTGTCTTGTGGTTGTTGTTGTTGTTTGACTTGCATCCCACTGGGATTTTTGCACACAGCGTTGGTGTACGGTGTTTTTTCTGCAATATTTTTGCTGTCTTTTCTTGGATTTTCTGTTTGCACTTAGTCACATATTCACTTTAAGATGTTTTTTTGTTCATGTTTTTGTTTTTTGTTTGTTGCGGTTGCACCCGATTCAAGAGCTGAATGGCTCACAGGGCTATACCTAATAAATGAACTTGAACTTGTGTTGATGCTGCTGAAACGATGCATTCCCAGAAGTGTGTGGCGGCTGATGGGATGTGTAAACAACACTTCTTTTAAAACACATTCCTGCGGAGGGAGCTGGTAGGAACGTTGGGTTGCTCAGTCAATTGCCAGGGTCAACGGCGTGAGTAGGTTAAATGTTGAGTTTTAGAAGGGCACGACGGGGTGACCAGCCCCTCCCCACCCAGCCTCACCCCTCCCACCCAGCCCCTCCCCACCCAGCCACTCCTCACCCTCCCCACCCAGCCCCTCCCCACCCAGCCCCACCCTCCCCAACCAGCCCCTCCCTCCCCACCCAGCCCCTCTGTCCCCACCCAGCCCTTCCCTGCACGACGGACACAAGAATCCCCTTGGGCTGGTGTAACCAGGAGGTTCCTCCCAGTAAAAAATAGACACGTGGCAAGCCAGATATGTGGAGGAGGCGTAGATATCGTCTGCTCATTTCGTGTGCTTGTAATACGACTGTTCATCAGTAGCCATGGTCATTCCACTGCTGGATCAACGCCCTCCGCAAGCCGCCGCGTTTCACGATCCTGCGACGAAAACATTCATCGGAAGCCGTTCCGCACAACAGCTGATTTAATCGCTCCATCTCCGCAACAGGCGTCCTCTTGGGAGCGGTATCGTTCCTAAAAAAAATTGGGTTACCATTCTCTCATTAGGGTCGACTGTCGGCCACAGTAACCCGTGTTGCGAGTACAGTACTGTTTCAAAATTAAATAAAAGGTTTCTAAAACGACACGATGGGGTTTTCCTGCACTGCCATCTGCTGCTCACTGACGTCTTATCATCCCCACCCTCATCGTGGTCACCATTCCGAGGCACTTACCCACAAGAGCTCAAGAAAAAATAAGTAATACAGTACAGTATTTAAATAGACTTAAAAAAACACGCTTTTATGAAATGTACCCTACTAGTAATGGCAGAACTCCACGACTCCAGGAAGTGGCCCCGAAGCTTGCCATGACGAAAGGGACCCTGGTTCTTTCGGTAAAGTGCAATATACTAAGAGGAAGCAAAATGAAACACCACCACGCTTTGAGCATATATTTAAGCTGGGTTGGAAGGGAGGAAGGGCGCCTTGACAAAATAATTTGCATATCAAGAGGAATTTAGCATTTTATGGGAAATGCAGGTATGTGATTAGTACTACTTTCACTCGACGGTCAATGGTATAGTGTATAGCAGATTGTATAATGATAAATAGTATAAAATTGTAATGTTTATACAATGTATAAGGCAATATATAGTATCGTAATTGTATAGTGAATATACAGCAGTGTGATATACAGTAGGGTGGATAGAATAATACAGTGTAATATTACACTATGTATTATTGTAAGGTATAGGGTGGTGTATAGTTATACAGTATATAATTAAATGTTGGGTTTGTCTATGGCAGCATATAGTACGGGGTAGACCCGTGTTATGTAAGGGAAAAAAGCTTAGCTGGAAGCATATTCTATTTTTTGCGATATAGAATTGTAATGTATTACTTACTGTTAGTAGCTCAGCTTATTGGAGAGTATATTTAGTATACTGATACTATGTAGTTTATACTTCAGTTTTTTACGTGGTTGTTTAGTTACTGCAGCTACATACTATTAACATTCCTTCCCTTTATTAATGCTACCCCTATCCCCTCCCTTTGATGCTGCTAATCCTGCATAATGCACGGGCATAATATGACTTTGAAACCCCCCGCCAAACCTACGCATTTCACAAGTAGTACTAATCACATACCTGCATTTCCCATAAATATGCTAAATTCCTCTTGATATGCAAATTATTTTGTCAAGGCGCCCTTCCCCCCCTTCCAACCCAGTTTAAATATACGCTCCAAGCATGGTGCTGTTTCATTCAGACGCTGTCTCCCCGCAAGACCTGTTCTTCACCTGAGGACGGCTGCTTGCGTTGTGGCCGAAACGTCGTGAGAATTATTTTATGATGTTTTATTTTTATTATTTCCCTTCTACGTGACTTTACCGTAAGAACCAAGAAGATGAATCCCTGCAGTCACGAAAGCTTTAAATCGAAATATACTTTGCACCCTTACGGTGTTTGTGTATCGTTGATTGTTGCTGTAACGTTAGGACCCAGCTCCTACTGCGAACGTCCGGGACAAAGAGCTTTGCAGCTTATCGGATTCTTCCGGGTTTGTCAACGCGAATGGAAATCGCACAGCGCATAGGCGCCACCCTCGCCGTACGCGCGCCGCCATTGGCCTCGGCGCACTCGTGCGATTGGCTGCCTCGGTCGCAGCGCTCGACCAATCGGAGACGGAGCGCGTCGATGCGCAGTGGGGAATTTGAAACGGGAGGGTTTGGGGGCGGGGGAGGTGGGGGCTGGGGTTTACAGGGGGCGGGGCCAGCGGGGGGGCGGGGCTTGCGGGGGCGGGGCTTGCGGGGGGTGGTGCTTGCGGGGCCAATGGGGGCGGGGCTAGATGTGGGCGGGGCTTGCGGGGCTAATGGGGCGGGGCTAGATGTGGGCGGGGCTTACGGGGGCGGGGTCAGCGGGGTCAGCGATCAGCTGCGGGGGGACAATGGCGACCGCGTCCGAGGCGGAGCGTGCGGTGCTGGTAACGACAGCGACGATGATCGTGACGATGATGATTGGTGGCGGTGATGGCGATTATTATGATTAACGACGACGACTTCCATGTTCTTGACTGGATGATGATGATGCTGGATTGTATTACGTCGGTAGAGCGTCCAATGCGGCGTTGTGCGTGAAGGCCGGACAAGTCGTCTTCGTGTGGTGGCTTGCTCGTTTAAATCATTGTACAGGGTGGTCCAGATGTCTTGTCACCCCCCCACCACCATTTAACTCTCTAAACCTGCGGGTGTGAAAACAGAAATCAGTCGGTAAGAGTTAGGGAGTGTTGGGCAGTTCATTGTGAGTGGGGGGGGGGGGTGTCACAAGACATCCGGACCGCCATGTGTCGACTACGATTTGACATCGAGGTGGTTATCCAGACGCTTGCGGCAGGGAGTCGGCGGAGTTTATCGCTCTTGTCGATGATGGATGCCTCCTCCGAGTTTGTGAATCGGGCAGGCACTGGGGGGGGGGGGGGGGTCGCATGTCCCCCACGGTTCTGCTCGGAGTGGCCTGGGTCTTGACATTTCCACTTTGTTCAGAGACGATGTATCCGCATCTGCCGGCGTGTTGTGAGTTGTTAACGTTGCCGACTTCCGAGCGCCAACGTTGGACGACTGTAAAGAATGCGTTGGTTCAATCTGTTAAACATTTCTGTTTGGCCGTGAATGAATGGAAGCATGGACGTCAAGAGCCGCATGGCTCACGGGGGTTATACCTAATGAATGAAACTGAATCTGAAACCTTCTTGGTTCTTTCGGTAAAGTCACGTAGAAGGGAAATAATAAAAAAAATACAAATAAAAAATATTTATTATTATTTTATTATTTCCCTTCTACGTGACTTTACCGAAAGAACCAAGAAGATGAATCCCTACAGTCACGAAAGCTTTAAATCGAAAATTGAATCTGAAACGTCGATATCTACGTTATGTGTTGAACTTTTTTCGCTCCCTACGTAGCCAACAGTGCTAATCGGAGGTGCGGGAGAAGAGGACGCGGTAGATTTCATTGACCCCGTTGCACAGTTGTTTGTGGATGCAGCCCCGCGGTGTGGATGGTTAGCACGCTGGAATTGTTTACAGAGGTCGCCGGATCGATTATATCGCCCGGCCTGGCAGTTGAAACAATGGGCAAGTTATGATAATTGTTTTTTTTACCATTTTATCTGGCAACAAAACTGACACTTTTTTTTACAAAGAGTCATGTTTGCATTGACCACAATACCTGCGGTCGGAATGCAAACAAAAACACAACTCTGATAATGTATGCACTGTTCTTGAAATTGATTGGTCCACACCCGAGACGGCTTTTCTTAGAGCCTAGTCTCACATGGTGTTGGACCAGATGACACTAAAAGGCGCACAACTCAAAGACAATGCACCATCAGAGTATGAGAGCTCAGGGTAAGCATTTACACCATTGGAACCTCCTTTGCCAGTAGTAAAATATGATAATAGTTTTTTTTACCTTTTTATCTGGCAACAAAACTGACACTTTTTATACAAGGAGTCATGTTTGCATTGACCACAATACCTGCGGTCGGAATGCAAACAAAAAACATGTGTGCACTGTCCTTGAAATTGATTGGTCTGCACCCGAGACAGCTGTTCTTAGAGCCTAGTCTCACATGGTGTTGGACCAGATGACGCCAAAAGGTGTCAGTTTTGTTGCCAGATAAAAGGGTAAAAAAAACAATTATCATATCTTGCTACTGGCAAAGGAGGTTCCAATGGTGAATGGGCAAGTTTCTTCAATTGTCCCACCATACCCCTTCTAAACACCTCTGCCCACCCTGCAGTAGACATGAGCACACCGCAGCTGATCGGCGTGTGGTGAGGTAAAGTGTGAGTTCTCCCACCTCTTTCAAGACGTCTGGCCAATGTGGAAGAGTAGGCCAAATACCCTCTTCGAGTCTAGAGGGGTCCATTAGTTACTCGTTCGTGTGACTTGCTGGCGGACGGGTCTCCACTACAGAGTACCTGTAGAGGGAATTTGGCCTACACTTTCATGTTGGCCAGATGTCTCGATCGTGGGAGTACCCACATTTTACCTTACCACAAGTGAACTGCCGATTGCCTAGCTGTGGTATACCCATAATCATTCTGTTGTGTGGACAAAGGCAGATGGATTTAAACAACTTGACCAGTGTTTCAGCTGGCATTCCAAGAGATTTAATTGAATTGACAACCCCAGTTTACTGCAAGTCCAGTGTCAAAATTATATGAAGCAAACATTCTCTTAACTTCATAACATTTTAAAACAACGGCATTATTTTGGTGGACACAAAGCTCGCAACCAATTGAGGATTGAATCATTAATTTAAAACAAAAAGAACGTTACATTTACAGTGCTATACCGTAAGACATTCACGGACACAAACCCCACTGCAAAGCTGTAAGTGTAAATGATTGTGTGTTGGTGTTTTTTGTTGTTGTTACAGCACGAAGAGTTCCAGTGGCTGTTGAGAGAGGAGGTCCATTCCGTGCTCAGTCACCTGCAGGACATTTTGAAGGTGATCATACTGTGTTGATGCAATCAAGCCTGTTTGCCAGTAAAGCGCTTTTTGTCATGTCAACCAGGACACAAGTTGTTCAGTGATGCCTGCTTTGTTGTTTATACAACACTGGCGGTGTAACTGCAGCATTGAATTATACCAGAGGTTTGTCAGTGGAAACAAATGAACTGAAATAAAATATACAGTATTTTTTCACCTATAACCAAATCACCCGCAATGTACCAAATCCTGTTCGATGTCAAGCGAAGCAGAGGTTGAGCCTGGATAGGGCTTGGATTGGTGGCCAGCATGCAAAACTGTTTGTTGTAGCCTGCCGCAGGATTACATTGTGTGCAGCAGAGGATATCGCAGCAAAATCTAAAGTACTCTACCTATATGGTCTCATATCCACTTTCACCAACCTGCGCTGACCAGCATGGTGAAGTATGGTGAAATAACCTCCACAATTTTCATGGTGATAAGAGGTCCTCGTTCAGTGGATTGACAAAGGGCTATACGCGCACAATATAGTTCGGTAAAATAAGTCTTCATTTTTAAATGTGTCAATGAGAATCAAGGTCACTGACTTGTGGTTATGTAACATGGGAAGGTGGCATTTGAAATATGGAATCCCACGTTGATTTAATAATACACTGCCATAGCACGTTTAGTATTCTGAAGCTATGAGCACTTTCCCACAGTAGTTTGAGCATAGAGACACTTTGACATTTTTACTTTCCAACTGCTGTGAGGACAGCATTGATGCATGAATTATAAAAAAGTTCTCAACGTGGAATGTCCCATGTGTTTATCTGTGTATTGCAGGAGGGATGTAAGCGGTTTGTGTTGCCAGGTAGGGAGGAAGACTGCCATGTGAAACAAGAAAACTTTATCCTCGGCAGCTCCACGTAAATATATTATTGTTTTTACGTTAATTAATACATTTCTATTGCAATAGCAAGAACGAAAATCAAACAGCGAGTGATGTTGTTTTTTTATAGTTTACCTTTTACGTTTTTTTCTCCACACAGATCTGATGCAGTAAAGGGTGTGCTGACTCTTAATGGAGATACTCTATGTCAGGCGGTAAGTCTGTTGATGAACATGGAGGGACTGACACGCAGATTAAGCTTCTATATACAGTAAATAAATAAGAATGTTCTTCAACGATATTTACTGGTGGGCCATGTAATAAAATAAGCTTGTGCCGGTGGGCCATATGATGTTATCTCCCACGTGGAACGCTGTCACGTCACATGGTGTCCTGACATAACGTTTGTACATGTGACCACTAATATGTACCCTTTGTTTACAAGTCTCTTATTGCTTGTTTATCTCCCTCAACTACATCTGCTGTTTCGATTTAAAGCTTTCGTGACTGCAGGGATTCATCTTCTTGGTTCTTTCTGTAAAGTCACGTAGAAGGGAAGTAATAAAATAATAAAAATAAAACATAATAAAATAAAATAATTCCCTTCTACGTGACTTTACCGAAAGAACCAAGAAGATACATCTGCTGTTATAACCATTATTTCTACTGACACATGACCTTTCCTGACCTCTATGTTATACCCCTTCTGTGCCACCAGAATAGTTTATTTGTGGTGATTGCTGCTGCTTTTCCTGTCGACCATACCCGCTCTGTCCTTGGCATTGTCTGCTTGTCTCCACCACTGCGCTCCCTTGTTCCTGTTATTCACATCTCCCTCCTTCACTTTGTCCACCTTCCCCACGCTTTCTGAGCTCATCAGCCTACTCTGGGCCCCATCAGCACACCCTGTGCAGTGTAGGAGGGAGGGGAAGGCAAGGATGAATGGCTGTGTTGTGTTTTATGCTTACTGTACATGCCAATGAAATTCATGTCGATTGATAAAACTAGGAGAGGTCTGGCAGCAGTGATACATGGCAAATCTCCAGATGAACGTACACCTCAAAGTATACGTAGCTCCTTTAAACAGTGTTTACGGAAGCGTCTGGTAGGTGACGTCATACCTCTTGACCAATAGGATTTCGCGTTTCTTATCGACAAGCCCATGTCTGATCAGCCCACCATCTCTACAATGTACTATTGTTGGCAGCAAAATATTGACACGTTTGTCCTATTCACCAAGGGACCCCCCCAGCAGTCATCTGAATAGTTAATGTTTGCTGGTAAAATTGATTAAATGAGCAAGCCAATCTTGAGGGAATATAGTCAGTATGCACTTGTTTAATGAATGTTAGGTTTACACTGCTGACAGTATCCCTTGGACAGATATTTGATATATACTTGGTGATACATTTCTTGATGTCCCACTCATTTCTAATCACCCTCTTCATAGATGCTTGAATAATTGTGATAGCAATGCCTCAATATCTTTCTGAAGAGTGTTACTATATTTAAATAATACACGTTTTGGGATTGGTGATGGACATGTAGAGACTTTGAAATTAAATGGTATTTTCTCTGTAGTTTCTCCCTCTTATTTTCGTGGGGTGTGTCTGTGTAAACGGATCACCGTGTACACAAAGAGAATGTCAAGCCAGAATTAATGGCAAATAAATGTTTTCCCTTCCCTGTGAATGGTGGTGCAGGATCTACACATAAAGCTTTTGAAGGCAAACCAGATACTACACACAGTATTCAGAGAAGATAAGCAGTGGAAAATGCAACAGGTTTGTGAGACATTTGCTATTTCAACAGTTTACATGCGTAGTGACTGACTTGGAGACTTAACTTCTTGGAGGCATACTCTTTGGTTCTTTCGGTAAAGTCACGTAGTTAGAAATAAAATGAAACAAATCACGACGTGATCATGACGACCGAAAGAACCAAAGAGTATGGATTCCTGCAGTCACGAAAGCTTCAAATCATTCTCGGAGGCAATTATTTAATTAGACACCGAGCACACTTTGTACACTTTATACAATACACACCCTACACTGTCACACACTCTCTGTCCCTCGCTTATACGCAACTCTACACTGGTTGCTAGCCTACACACAGCGCTAGCCATCTGACACTGACGCCGCTGAACCGAGACAGCCAACTACGTCTAGCAGCGCAATTATCAAGCGGACGATGACAGCGACGAAGGCGCGAGACGACAGCGGCGACGGCGACGATCTTCAACAGCAACGACGACAACGACAGGGATCCCACACCAAACAACAGCGCTGAGTGGGAGCTCGGGGTCCCCTTTTATCCTGTCAGCGTGGCCTCGCTCCGCCCCGGCCACGCCCCCCTTCCGGAACCTACTAGCGGGCTCTCGACGTGTCCCTTCCGTAACCTTTACCCTAGATCCCCCTCGGGTCTATCACGTGACCTGCTGTCAGTCAGGGCTGCTACAAGCTGCAGATCCCCTTCCCTGCCAGCAGCCAGCGCTATGCTACTTAGTGAACAATTCGATGCCACTCCACATGGACTTATAAAGCACTAATATTGAAATATGCACGTTCATATACACGCACAACACATACATTTACATGAATGCATATTGTACACAATATACGTTTTTTTTCGATGTTTATAAAACATCCCTTCCATGCTATCATGTTTGACATATTTCAGTACTTTAAATACAGCACAGCTAAGCTATTTACAACTCAAACTGCAATGTTATGCGCATGATTTACATGTACGCAGAGTAAAAAAACCCACTTGTTTTGCCGAGGACTCTCACATCATCTGTGACCAACACCTCTCTAGCCCTTGCGTTCTCTGCTATAAAGTATGAACCATGAATGAGAAGTGCTAGGAGATGATTTTCCTTTTTTACACAGGTGCAGGATGCTGGAAATCACCTTCATCAGGCATACCGGCTCGTCAACAGCAAGGACCAAAGCTACCAGTTCAAGACGGGCACTGAAGTAAACAAGGTGAAATAACCGCATACTAATCATTGACGCAGCTAACACTGCGGACTGTATCGATATTCTTGCTTGATTTATGTATTGTGTAACGTTTCATGTCCTCTTATGCAATGACTACAGCTGATGGATGCGGTGATGCTGCAGCTGAACCGTGCCCGCAACCGCCTAGCAACACCAGCCGCTATGACCCTGCCAGACCTCGCAAATGGCAGTGCTGCCGTAAGTCCTCACGTCAACTTGTTCTATATATGTTATGAGCAGTAGTGTAGAGGTCAGTGATAATTATTCACAAGCCATGCTGAGCATGATTTTGTTGACACTTGTGTTTTATGGAACACTTGTGTTATGTTTGTATATGATACGTAATTTCAGCATGTAACGTGCACAGTATTCGCTCACTTGAATATAGAGAATGACTCATAGGAGCGAGAGACCACAGGCAAATGGGAAAGGCAGCAAGGCAGTGAGCTGACACGAAATTGTCCTATTAAGGTAATATTGGCCATTAAATAAAGTGTTCACATGTGTGCCCGAAGAAAACCCATGAGTGTGTGGGACAAACTCTAACCCATACAGATGGAACAGATCGGTTACGTGCAAAGCCACCAAGTGCCCGGCACGTGTGTTTCGTGTTTGCGTTTGTCACTTTTCTAGTGTATGTTCAACCCTGCACTGCCGCAGGATCTGCTGGTTAATTTCTACATTCATCACAACAAGCTCTGCCTGGTGCTCTACCAAGTGCACACTCTGCAGCCAAATGCAAACAAGGTTTGGGAACACACGCTCCAGAAAAATTGTACCATTTAATATTTTGAAAAATGTGAACCTCACAGTTAAATGTTTTGTTGACATAAGATAAATATGATGTAGTATGCTGCTTTTGGTGAACTACCAACCTGTTTGATGTAGCTCTTGAATATGTATTTTTACTCATTGCTGTTTCCTTAGTAACTAATATTGACTTGTTTTTAGCAGGCAGGTTTTTAATTTAGAGTTGTTAACTGTTCTGTCAAATATAAAAAAAAAATGTGACCTTGTGTTATTTTACAGAATTTCAAGCCATCAGGAGGCTCGGTCTGTCATGCTCCTGGCTCCATGTTGTGAGTGACCTGGATAATATGACAAGTTAAAGGTTCATCAGATTTTCACATGTGGCGTCTACTCATTTTACATGCTCTTAACTGGAGTGTTATTTCGAAGCAAACATTTTTTTCAAAATTCATAACTTGCACGTAATATCTGATGTTTGCAATCAAAGTTATTGTTATTGATAAAACTTTGATGTCTACTGCTATTAGATTGCACCTTCTGAAACCCGATTGCAATTATTTGCTTGTGTGATGCTCAGCGAATTCATGGGGCAGAAGTATGAGGTTATCCAGACCCACAAGGTAGAGAGTGTTGTGCCATGGCTGGGAGATGGACTCCTGTTTCTCACTCTTGCCCTGCAGCTGTGTCAGCAACTTAAAGATAAGGTAAGGGTGGAAATGTTTTTCTCTGCACTCAAAACTTTGGATTAGGTGTTTTTTAAAATTAATATTCCTGCAAACATTGTTATTAAAGAACGTTTATTCCTCCAGGTTTCTGTCTTCTCAAACTACTGGACGCAGATGCCACACTGAGCCCTGTTTGCATGCCCTTGTCCATGGAAATTAGTGAAATAAAAGCAATGATTCATGATTTTTTTGGGCAGAATTGGGTTTGTATTATTGGACCACTATAAAATATTACTTGGACGTAATCAAGACAGTTGTATTTATACTACTTCGGTTTTTCCAGTTGTGTTGTATCGGTCTGCGATATGCTTTGCATTGTACGACGTGTTTTCAGAAACATGTCCGACGTTTCAATCCACATGCTGGGAGCGCATTAATTAAGTGTAGGACCCAACACATTGAACGAAACATATAACTGAAAAACACTTGAGAACAACACAGCTAATCCTTTAAGTTATGTATATTCTTTGGATAAACCCACTGGTGTGTTGAGTGAACGTTTGTGAGAACATCACATGTTCCAAAATGTGTACATTTTAATTTCGTTAATTCGTCAGAATGTGCTTTAAAATAACAATCTCCTAAAATAATAGTGCTCGACTTGTGTAATTGTTGTAAACATGTATGTCATGTCATTTTGATTTACGGTATTAAAAATAAAATGCACTTTAATGGGTTGTCTTGTGATGTAATTGTATACAAAGTAACAAAAGATAACATGTCTCATTGTATCCATATTCATATTTCCTAACTCCAAATTGAAGCTGGCATTTACTAATTGGAGTAACTGGCATCTTGTATACATGTATGAAAATCTTGACTTAAAGCTTTCGTGACTGCAGGAATTCATATTCTTTGGGTCTGTCGGTAAAGTCACGTAGATAGGTTCAAAGAAAATAACAAAAATCACAAAAACTAGGACGTTTCGATCGCAACACAAGCGGTCGTCATCAGGCTGATGACGTTTTTTGTTTTTGTTATTTTCTTTGAACCTATTTACGTGACTTTACCGAAAGACCCAAAGAATATACATGTTTGCAGTTATATCGTGAGTAAAAAATTGTACGCAGTAAAAACCGACCACTTTTTAGATTCAATTAACTCAAACGTTAACTCCTCTGATTCGTGTGCAGAGGAATCGGCGAGTAAAGTGCTGTATTGTTTTGCATATTTCCACCTTAATTTTGAAGGCGGCAATGCACGAGTTTGACCAGCGGGTGGCGTGAGGTTGCCAGGTGGTGGAGTGAGAGACCTGGGTAGAAACGTGGCGAAATAGCCGCATTATATTTGTGGATTTTCAGCCCATGGAAATGTTGAGAAAAGAGACCAGGATAGTGTAATTTGTTTAACTAAAATCACAATAATGAATAAGGCAAGGGAAATAAAAACTAAAACTGAGCAGAAACAACCGCATTACAGGAGAAATTAAGAAAATATACTTGACATCTTGATCTGTATTGCCGCCTATAGAACGCGAATATTGACGAATGCGTGAGTTGGAATCAATCTGGCGTTTGAATTAATTATCGGTCATGGTCATGATCACCATGGCGTGTCATCTAATTAGCTGTGGTCGCTCCACTGCTGGATGAAGGTCTCCCCAATCCACCCCCACCACGTACGATCCTGCGATGGGAAAACTCGACCCTGCACGTGAAGTGATTTCATCGCTCAATCTCCGCGGTGTGGGTCCTCTCGGACATGTTCCATTGCTTGGTTAAAATTGCTCGGTTAAAATGCAGTCGAAACCAAGGTTAACATCCATTCTAGATTAAAAGTAATCTGATGTTATGCCAGCTCAAGCAATAGATTCAAATTACTTGTCCAACTAGACAGGATGCAACTTAACATATTGGGGTTCTCATCCAATATGCTTCGTAATAGATTATTTTGGGCTCGGCCACGGAATGAACTGGCCAAATTTGATGTCGTGAAATTCCCTCCACCACCCGACGCAAGCGAGCAAAATAAAATCGTCAATTCATTTAACGCGACAAATTATGATTGTTTCATCTCGCTACGGGTAAGTTTGAAGTACAATTCTCACAACTGCGAATTTAATCAGAAGATGTATTACTCCTGGAGGGGGAATCCGATGACCTATAAAGCTCTTTGCCCCATGTTCAGTCGGGGCGGGTCAGAACGTTACAAGAAACAATGCAAAAACAATAGAAAGGTAAACAAATAAAGACATTCTTGGTTCTTTCGGTAAGGTCACGTAGAAGGGAAAAAAAAAAAAATTTCTCACGACATTACGATTGCAACACAAGCAATCATCATCAGATGTGAAAACCACAGCAAGAAATTTTAAAAAAAGTGGCGTTTTTTTCTTAACTAAAAAATACGCCACTTTTTTCAAATTTGATTGTTGAATTTTTTTTATTTTATTATTTCCCTTCTACGTGACTTCATCGAAAGAACCAAGAATATGAATCCCTGCAGTCACGAAAGCTTTAAATCGAAAAATAAAGACACGTTTTTACAAATAAAACTAAAATACTTTTTATTTATCAGGTAAAGCCCACTGAGCTATAAGCTTCTTTATCAGAAGCGAACCTAGCCACAAATGATAGCTCAACGAAGTGATTTATAATTTCGCAGCCAAACAATGAAAAATAATTATTAGAACTGTGAATTAAACGTGAAGAGAGATTGCACGCCAGGTTTCATTGCAGGGTTATGCACAGCTCCTTCAGGCAATGTTTAGGGAAGTGGCTTGCGCATGACGTTACCCATAGTAACCAATAGCAACCCTCCCCCTCTTCCATAGCAACCAATTGCAACCCTCGTCTTCCATCGCAACCAATAGCAACGCTCCCCCTCTTCCATCGCAACCAATAGCAACCCTCCCCCTCTTTCATATCAACGCCCCTCTTCCATAGCAACCAATAGCAACCCTCCCCTCTTCCATCGCAACCAATAGCAACGCTCCCCCTCTTCCATAACAACCAATAGCAACACGCCCCCTTTTCCATAGCAACCAATAGGAGCCCTCCCTCTCTTCTATAGCAACCAATAGCAACCCTGCCCCGCCCCTTCTTACATAAAAAACAACAGCTCGGTCACGTGCCCCGCGTTGCTAGGGGACGGCCTTACGGGGGGAGGGGGGGGGGGGCGACGACGTTTTCCCAGCTCGCAACGGGCCAAGGTGACTGGTTAGTTCGGCGCGGATCGATTTTTACATTTACGAACACCTTTCGCAAGAATCGATTACATCGCGAAGTGAAACGCGAACCGACAAGGTTGTCGCCTTGGGCGATGCGAGACGAGCTAGTGCAGACGAGAGCGGAAAGGAGACGCGGCGAGGTCGTAGCGCAACCACAGACAAGCCGTTGACAAACAAACAAATAAATAAAAACGAGGAATCGAATCGCGACGATCTTAGAGAATCGGAATCGTTTGGAATCGCTGGACCCACGTGACGCGCGGCGATGCCGCGGGCTCGTCCAATCGGACGCGGCGATCGCGAGGCCACGCCCCCCTCCCCCACGTGCGGCGCGCAGCGGAACCGGCGAACAGACGCGGGGGAGACTCGGAGAGGTGAGGTGAGGGGTAGGTGAGGTGAGGGGTAGGTGAGGGGTAGGGGGGGTGAGGGGTAGGTGGGGTGAGGGGTAGGTGAGGTGAGGGGTAGGTGAGGGGTAGGGGTAGGTGAGGGGTAGGTGGGGTGAGGGGTAGGTGAGGTGAGGGGTAGGTGAGGGGTAGGGGGGGTGAGGGGTAGGTGAGGTGAGGGGTAGGTGAGGGGTAGGGGTAGGTGAGGGGTAGGTGGGGTGAGGGGTAGGTGAGGTGAGGGGTAGGTGAGGGGTAGGGGGGGTGAGGGGTAGGTGAGGTGAGGGGTAGGTGAGGGGTAGGGGGGGTGAGGGGTAGGTGAGGGGTGAGGGGTAGGTGAGGGGTAGGGGGGGTAAGGGGTAGGGGGGGTGAGGGGTAGGTGAGGGGTAGGTGAGGGGTAGGGGGGGTGAGGGGTATGGGGGGGGGGTGAGGGGTATGGGGGGGGTGAGGGGTATGGGGGGGGGTGAGGGGTAGGGGGGGTGAGGGGTAGGGGGGGTGAGGGGTATGGGAGGGGTGAGGGGTATGGGGGGGGTGAGGGGTAGGGGGGGTGAGGGGTAGGTGAGGGGTAGGGGGGGTGAGGGGTAGGTGAGGGGTAGGGGGGTGAGGGGTAGGTGAGGGGTAGGGGGGTGAGGGGTAGGGGTAGGTGAGGGGTAGGGGGGGGTGAGGGGTAGGTGAGGGGTAGGGGGGGTGAGGGGTAGGTGAGGGGTAGGGGGGGTGATGGGTAGGGGTAGGTGAGGGGTAGGGGGGGTGAGGGGTAGGTGAGGGGAGGGTGAGGGGTAGGGGAGGGTAGGGGGGTGAGGGGGGGTGAGGGGTAGGTGAGGGGTAGGTGAGGGGTAGGGGGGGGTGAGGGGTAGGTGAGGGGTAGGTGAGGGGTAGGGGGGTAGGGGGGTGAGGGTAGGGTAGGTGAGGGGTAGGTGAGGGGTAGGGGGGGTGAGGGGTAGGGGGGGTGAGGGGTAGGGGGGTGAGGGGTAGGGGGGTGAGGGGTAGGGGGGTGAGGGGTAGGGGGGGTGAGGGGTAGGGGGGGTGAGGGGTAGGTGAGGGGTAGGGGGGGTGAGGGGTAGGTGAGGGGTTAGGGGGGGGTGAGGGGTAGGTGAGGGGTAGGGGGGTGAGGGGGGGTGAGGGGTAGGGGGGGTGGGGGGGTGAGGGGTAGGGGGGGTGGGGGGGTGAGGGGTAGGTGAGGGGTAGGGGGGGGTGAGGGGGGGTGAGGGGTAGGGGGGGTGAGGGGTAGGGGGGGTGAGGGGTAGGGGGGGTGAGGGGTAGGGGGGGGTGAGGGGTAGGGGGGGTGAGGGGGGTGAGGGGGTAGGGGGGGTGGGGGGGTGAGGGGTAGGGGGGGGTGGGGGGTGAGGGGTAGGGGGGGGTGGGGGGGTGAAGGGTAGGGGGGGTGAGGGGTAGGGGGGGGGGTGAGGGGTAGGGGGGGGGTGAGGGGTAGGGGGGGTGAGGGGTAGGGGGGGTAGGTGAGGGGTAGGTGGAGGTGTGAGGGGTGGGTGGAGGTGGTGAGGGGTTGGGGAGGTGGTGAGGGGTTGGGGGGGAGGTGAGGGGTAGGTGTGAGGGGTGGGTGGAGGTGGTGAGGGGTAGGGGGGGTGAGGGGTAGGGGGGGGTAGGTGAGGGGTAGGTAGAGGTGGTGAGGGGTAGGGGGGGGAGGTGAGGGGTAGGGGGTGGAGGTGAGGGGTAGGGGGGGAGGTGAGGGGTAGGTGGGGGGGGGTAGGTGAGGAGTAGGTGGAGGTGGTGAGGGGTGGTCGGAGGTGGTGAAGGATAGGTGGGGGGGTAGGTGAGGGGTCGGTGGAGGTGTGAGAGGTGATGAGGGATAGGTGGAGGTGGTGAGGGGTAGGTGGGGGGAGGGGTGGTGAGGGGTAGGTGGGGTGGGGGGTGGTGAGAGGTAGGTGGGGGAGGAGAGAGGGGAGATGGTGGGAATGGAGGGGGGAGATGGGGGAATGGAACGGAGAGGGAGGTCGAGGGAGAATGGAGAGAAGGAGGGACGATGACAGGTGAGGGGAGAGGGATCAGGGAGATAGGGGAAGGGTAGAGGTTGAATTAGGGGGGTGGAGAGGGGAGATGACAGGTGAGGGGAGATGGGGAGTGGAGAGGGGAGAGGTAGAAGAGAGGTTCGTGGAGTGGGGAGAGAGGCTGGGAAGGAGAGTGAGAAGGCGAGAGAGGCAGGGGAGAGACGCGGCAATGGCAGGTGAGCAGAGGGAGGGCGAAGAACGAGGGAAGATAAGAGACAATAAATAGAGGAGGGGGGTGGGTGAGAGGTGAGCTAACAATAGTTGAGCTTCGATTTAAAGCTTTCGTGACTGCAGGGATTCATCTTCTTGGTTCTTTCGGTAAAATCACGTAGAAGGGAAGTAATAAAATAATAAAAATAAAACATAATTAAATATTATAATAAAATAATAAAATAATATAATAAAATAATATAATATTTTATTATGTTTTATTTTTATTATTTTATTACTTCCCTTCTACGTGACTTTACCGAAAGAACCAAGAAGAAGAATAGTTGAGCTAACAATAGGAGAGAGTGAGGGGGGGGGGGGGCGACAGGAGGGAAGAGAGAAGAGAGGGATAGGTAAGGTGAGTTAGCGGAGGACAGGAGAAGACGAGAGGAAGAGTGAATGGGAGATGATGATGATGAGATAGGGACAGGGGGGGGGGGGAAGGGAGGAAGAGATAGCAGAGGTCAGGCGAGGGGACAGGGAGGGGAAGAGTGTGGAGAAGGAGGAAGATGATGGGAGAGGGGGGTGACACGCTTTGCGTTTCTGACCTTAGTTGTTATTGTTGTTGCTTTCAGGAAGACACAATCCCGTCTCATGAACATCAAAGCGTCTCTCTCATTTGTGGATATACAACAGTACGTGCCTTGATTGTGTGTTCCGCGCTGAATGCCTGGTAGATGTTCTCTTCGTAAGCGAGGGAAAAATAAAATATAAAAAGTACTTAAAAAAAAAACACGCTTTAATGAAATGTACTGTCCGAGCTGCCCATCCCCCTGCCCCCTTCCCCCATCGCCCCTCCCCTCCTTCCACATGCCCCGCCCCTGGGCGTGCCTCCCCGAGGCTTGCCGTGACGTAAGGGGCCATGGTGATTTACAGGCAACGTGAGTTGAGCGTGGACAATTAATAAAAGAAAAAGAAAATATTTTATTTTTAATGATAGAATATAGTATTGTCATCAGTATGACATAGCTATACGAAGTTTGCAGTCGATACGACATTGGGAATACGGTTGAAATTGAGTTACAATATGTTTGGATACAACAACACACAGTAAGTTAAATAAAAGCGTGTAAAAAGTAAAAAAATATGTTTTAGATTTTTTATGATTGAATATCGTGTTGTCATCAGTATGACATAGCTATTTCAAGTTTGCAGTCGATAGCACATTTGGGAAGTGTGTAAAAATTGAGTTACAAGATTTCTTTTTTGAGGATACAACAGACGAAGTGAGTTAAATAAAAGCGTGTAATAATAACAATTCTGCGCTTTTAAAGTGACTGGACAGTTTTCCAATACTCCAATATATTCACACATCTTCACGATACTTTTTGTGTCTTGTGTATATATATATATATATTTGATTGCATCGTTAAAGGCCCACCGGGTTGTGAAGATGACGTCTCGGATGCCCTCGTTCGTTGCCCCCACGGGGCCCTCCCGGCGTTTAAAGGGTCAGCAAGTTGGTCACAACGTGGCTGATCGATATTTGGAGAGGTCGACGTCAAGGCCACGGCCATGTAGAATTGCCGCAGCGGGATAAGGATTGGTCATGGTGTTGGCACTGCAGTGTTGTCCAGTCATTTGTTTTATACTGGTAGGAACCACCTGGTTCACCCAGCCCACAGGGGATTATTGTGTCCGTCCGTCGTGCATCAAAAATGGGACGGGTGGGGCTGGGTGGAGAGGGGAGGGTGGGGAGGGGCTGGGTGGGGAGGGTGGGGGGGCTGGGTGGGGGGTGGGAGGGGTGGGGTTGGGTGGGGCGGGGCTGGTCACCCCGTGGTGCCCTTATAAAACTCAACGTTTAACTTACTCACGCCGGCTTGTGCCCGCCCTCACAGTCGGGCATATTTGCGGAATACACCACGCCGCCGTTGACCCTGGCCATTGACCGAGCAACCCAACGTTCCTGTAGTGGTGGTATTGACGTGCGCCGACAGTGATGGATCACGGGGCGCGGGGTTGGGCACGCGATGTGGGCGTGGTATGGACGCGCGCGCCGGTGGTAAGGCGCGCTGACACAAGCTGGGAAAAGAGGATCGTAGCGAGTGCGCAGTGATTGGTCAGATAAGTGGGTGCTCTCAGCGACGTCCACAGGAGGGGTATAAAGGGAGACGCGCGAGAGCACTCAGGGTCAGTGTTAACCAGTTGAAGACCGAAGACGGGGTGGAGGAGGTAGTGGCCCGAGACCCCTAGTCCCGCCGTCCTTGTGAGGACCGGGGCCCTGTGCGGCTCGGAGCCGAGACTGGGGGACCGTAGTCCGACGCCCGTGTGGGTCGGGACGGTGGTACCCAGAGCCGAGACGGGCACCCCGGCTGGGTGGGTCCCGGAAGGCTACGGGGCGTAAGAGCCCGTGTCAGTATAGCTGAGTGGGTGTTAGTCACCCGAATAGCTAAGGAGGGTGTTGGTCACCCGTGTAGCTGAGTGGGTGTTGGTCACCCGTGTAGCTGAGTGGGTGTTGGTCACCCGTGTAGCTGAGTGGGTGTTGGTCACCCGTGTAGCTGAGTGGGTGTTAGTCACCCGTGTAGCTGAGTGGGTGTTAGTCACCCGAGTAGCTAAGTGGGGTGTTAGTCACCCGTGTAACTACAAGTTGGTGAAAATAAAGAGTGTGCTACCCGTGAAGTCGTCTCCTGCCGAGTTACTACTTTACATTCCTACCAGCTCCCTCCGCAGGAATGTGTTTATCCAGGAAACAATGAGTTCGCACGATTCATTTTCTTGCAATGGTCCTTGCGATGGGATACGGTGTTGGCCAGTTCTGTCTAAAATACAGGGACTGTTTTACTTCGGTTAGAGGAAACCGGAGCGGCGTAAATAAACCCACCTCGCAAATGAGGGGAGACAACACTTGAAATGACTGCACGGACAGGTTGACGAACCCACTTGGTGTACTTGCCATCATCTTATGGCCACAATTGCAGTATTTACCTGACACATCAACCGCATGCCTCAGGATTAGAGGCATTAGCCAACACGCCTGGCAGAGGGTTCTGCGTAATCAGATATAGTTATTCAGAGGCTGTCACCCGAATTAAATGGGGCTCAGTAGCCACAGCGTGCACCACAGTGGGATGGAATTAATGCGCAGACACAGCTGGCGATGCGCTAGGAGACACGGGACAAGGCACAACAGTGGCAATTCCGTGATGCAGTAAAACGTGCGCTGCCTGTCACAGCAGCCAGCCGCACGTGGCCTATACACGTCCTCCCAGGCGTGTCCTGTCATTTGCACAGAAAACAGCTGTGCCATAATTGCACCACAGCCCGCAATACTGTCAGCCCAACAGACGCTGACACATTTAAACAGTTGAACTAATTAGTCAAACCGTTAACGAAGCAAGGGTTCAGCATTCGTGACATTGAACTAAATTAACAATCCACTTTGTGTCTGCGACGCAGGTTTGCTCAGTGTACATGCTCACATGGCACGGTTGGAGTGGGTTCTGGCCAGCTGTCTGGCCCTGTTGGCCACAGATGGCTTGGTCAGCACGGCGGCATATTCCTGCGGATTCTCCGTCAACCAGTTCCGGAGAGATGTGGCGGACCCCAGCCCTGCGCGGGCGCTGCTTGACCTGTGGACGTTGTGCGTGTTGCGGGTATTCACCTCGCTGGTGGTGTGCCTGGGGCTAGCGTGTGGCCCCAACCGGACCACACACGTCCTGCGCAGACTTGTGACACTCTACACCGTGCTGTGTTGTGCCATGCCGATCTACGCCACTGTCAAGTTGCTCATTTGCTCTGAAGGGACGCGGTGAGTTTGAGCTGCCCGTGGTAAGAGTGGTCCCTAGAAATGTAGAGGCACAGCCCCACAAGTGCCTACTTGCTTTGTTGCTGGCGAAAGGGTATCAACTAAAGGGAGGCCAAGAGAGCCTTACAATAGGCCAAAAAAAGTTTATGTTTGTAAGTACTGCAAACATATTTTCAGTGGCATGTCTTAATGTTTCCCCGTTGTTAATCATCCTTTCGAGCAGTCATTCAATTATAACAAATATTGAGAGAGACGGGTGATTAATAACTTAGCCATAAATAGCATTGTCAGAGTGTTCTGATATTGCTTTTGAAATGTTTATTTTCTTGGTACGCCTAAAGAGTATGGCAACATCGATATCTAAATAGAATAATAATATGCAAATTGGTAAAATGTGCAGTGTGAAATTTTAGTAGCGACAAGACAATTTCATAATTTGTATTGATGTATAATTGCATAATATATTCGTGAAAAGTTTCCTAATTAATTCAAAGCTTTATTGATATCACGTAAAGTATACTGTGTCTTTGGATCCTTTTTTCTTCATTTCATGCTCATTCCATTAGTGTCTATCTTGCTTAAAAGTTTTATTGGATACTAAAATCCTTGCAGCTCTTTTAAATTAGTTCTTAGGAGGTGCAGTAAAAGTGATCTCACTTCAAATAAATTTGATATAAATTTGCAGATAATTTATGTGAGCGTAAATCGCTTGCAATTAGAGCAGAGTACTCGACTTCTACTTAATTCACCAAATAAGTGTCTGGCAGGCTTATTGTTTGACTAAGTCATTTTATTGTGCATTCCTTTCATTTTACTCCTCTAACAGCTGCTCACATATGGCCCAATAAAAACACCGCAATACATATTTTAAAGTCTCACACAGAATAAAGCGACATTCATCACTCTCCTGCATTTCGTTCACTCTCAGTAACATCGGTGCTGCCACTATATTTCCACAGGGACCTCGACCCGTGGTTCTGGGCACTGTATGTGTGGACGCTGGTTTCTTCGCTCCTGCTTTATGGCATGCTGCAGCTGGCCAAGGTCCATGGCGTCGGCTTGAGGTCGTCGTCCAGCAGAATCCAACGGCAAGGCGGCGACAGGCAGGAGGGAAGTGAGAGAGAGCGGCAGAGGCTGCTGGACCAGCATGGGAAGGGGGTGGATGGCAGTGGACTGGAAGGGCAGGATGTGGATCGTGGAAACAAGAAGGCCTCTCGAACCAACATTCAGCGATTGTTTTCCCAGTGCAAACCGGATGCTGTCTATCTGGCTGCTGCATTTATATTCCTGGTCATATGCTCTATAGGTGAGTTCACAGTAGATTGCCAACACATGATACAGAAATGAATTTAACATGAACTGCTTAAACAAAAAAAACCCCTATGAAAACAAGGCTGGTACTGTACGTCACATGCTCTCAATAACGATTTGACTAATAATAATGGACAAGCGTATGATAGAGCATACAGAGTGGTACTTTTAGGTTTAGTTCATATTCTATTAGAGATGGTTGGCTAACTCAGAGCTCAATATGTTGAGCTGGCGCTGCTGTGATCCTGATTTGCATCCTGTCAGGTGACCGCGATTAAACTGTTTTCTCAAAAGAGCCCGGAATTCTATTTCCCAAAAATGTTGCATTATCTGTAATTGTGTTTTTGTGATGTACGCTTTTCTGGAAGGCACTCACAATGTGCTTATTTATTTATTTATTTCCAGGATCCTTTAGATGATTGCTGTTTCAAAATCCACTCACAGTCAGCAGTCTAAAGTACACTTGTAAAACTGATAAATACAATTTACAACGTTTAAAAGTCATCTTGGGTGCGGCTTTTGTCAAATATTTTAATGAATGGAAAAACAGTAGGCGGCAAGGTGGCTCAGAGGTCAGAATGCTGAGCTAGCACAAGTTAGATATTCGGTTTGCATCCAGGCAGCCATCTGTGATGAAACTGGATTCTCAAGTGTATTTAGTAGATTATCTTAGTAGCCTGGTCATCCATGACTGCACAAAAAAGTGTCATGTTACATTTGGTTTCACACTTAATTTGGCTAAATTCCAGATCTGAGATTTACATTTTTATTAACTTGACTCCCATGTGACCAACGTTACTCTGTAGCATGGCAGATGTCTGTATCTTGAACTTCTTTCGCACCGTACGTGGCCAACCGTGCGCATCAGAGGTGGGAAAGTACTGCTCCCTAGTGTGAAGAAGAGGTCAATTGAAGGGATGCCAGCAGACTGTTCTTTAATACAGGGCGATTCGCTGTTCTGCGAGAGCTCTGAATGGATCATTGGTCTGGTGACATAATGCTGATAGCACGTCAGATAAAATTGGAGAAAAAGACAAGCCTTTTTGTAAATACATTTGTGTTTTGTATTTCACATCTTTTCGCAGCCTAATACATTTTTTATTACCATCGTTCAAAGAACATTGGTATGTTTTTAGAATGAAGAAATCTTACCTGTCATATTATTGTTGTTCACACTGTGCATGTTGTATTTAATTAGGAGAAATATTTATTCCTTACTACACGGGCCAGGTGATCGATGGAATTGTCATAAAGAAAAGCCAGGCTGCATTCAGCAAAGCTATCCTCTATATGTCTCTCATTGCCATAGCCAGGTAAGCTTGGAAGTCCACTCATTATATACAGTCAAGATTTACACTGATGGGAACAATGATTTAAGAAATTCCTCAGTATTTGGTTGAAACAAATACCTGACACCATGTATGTGCACTTACAAATATAGTTTGGAATTGTGTTAACTGTGTAGAATGCAAAAACAATATCGTACATTTTAACTTGGATATGTTTGATAATTGGTTCTTTACCCTTCTATCTGGCAACAAAACTGACACCTTTTTACAAGGAGTCATGTTTGCATAGACCGCAATACCTGCAGTCAGAAATACAAACAAAAGACATAACTCTGATAATGTGCACTGTCCTTGAAGTTGATTGGTCCACACCCGAGACAGCTTTCCTTCGAGCCTAGTCTCACATGGGTTGGACCAGAAGACGCCAAAAGGCGCACAACTCAAAGACAATGCACCATCAGAGTATGAGAGCTGATGGTGCATTGTCTTTGAGTTGTGCGCCTTTTGGCGTCTTCTGGTCCAACCCATGTGAGACTAGGCTCGAAGGAAAGCTGTCTCGGGTGTGGACCAATCAACTTCAAGGACAGTGCACATTATCAGAGTTATGTCTTTTGTTTGTATTTATGACTGCAGGTATTGCGGTCTATGCAAACATGACTCCTTGTAAAAAGGTGTCAGTTTTGTTGCCAGATAGAAGGGTAAAGAACCAATTATCATATTTTTACTGGCAAATGAGGTCCCCATAGTGTTGGATATGTTTTTTTTCTATAAAGTAACATGCCATACCACAACACAATATTATCATTGTGAAGATTGTAAAAAAACACAATAACTAATCCTTACATCCCATTTTTTTCTTTCCTCTTAAAAAGAAAAATCTTGAGAGACTGCTTGTTTAAACTGCTCCAGAGTTGGATTTTATTGAATAAGACATTGAATGTCGAAACCGGTTCAGAGTTAGCCTGTATTGAACCAATGCTGCTGATAAGATGCACTCCCAGAAGGCTGTTTGGTTGATGAGGTGTGTAAAAATATTTTCATTTTTTTACGTGGAGAGACAAAACATTGGAAGGAGGTGTAAATTATGTATTTAGGAGCAGCACAATGTGCCTTAACTGGCATTGTTTCCATGTAGTATTGCATGATCAAAGTCGTTTGCTTTAATGAATGAATGTTTTATTCTGTTTACAAAGTATATACTCTGTTTTCAGTGCAATACAATGCAAGTGATTTTCGCAGTGCTTCTTTGACCTTCCATGGATGTAATCTTAACCCTTAACTCCAGCTCCATAGCAGCTGGACTTCGAGGCGGCCTATTCACGCTGACGATCTCTCGTCTCAACATCCGCATTCGCAATTTGCTCTTCCGTTCGCTCATCCACCAGGAGGTGGCATTTTTTGACACCACCCGCACAGGTGTGTCAGCGTTGCTCGCCGCTCGATGAGTTTCGTACAATGTGTTGGTCTTTGTGCGCTTTGTTTGCTTCTTTTGAAAGAGCCCGGCGCATCTGTGCCTCTTGACGGCTGACGCATTTCCTGCTGTTTTCTGCGCAAGGGGACATAACGTCACGACTGAACTCGGATACAACTGTGGTGAGCGACGTCGTGTCTCAAAACGCCAACATTTTCCTGCGGAGCCTGGTCAAGGCGGGCGGAGTGTGCGTCTTCATGTTCGGTCTCTCCTGGCGGCTCAGTCTGCTCACTCTGCTGGGTCTGCCCATCGTCACACTTGTCTCCAAGTTCTACGGAGACTTCTATGAGGTATCATCTTTCGCAGTACACACGCAAGGTTGTTTGTGTAAAGTAATTTTCTTTCAAAAATATGAGGTCATTATTCACAGACAGTCGGCAGTAGGATGATAGGAATGTGTTCCTGGTTTTCCGATTAAATCATAAAGATGAAAAAATCGGGCACGGGTACAAATTTTAGGATCCCAAATAAAAAAGTTGTTTCAGATTGATCCAAGTCTATGATGTCATAAGAAATGGCATCACTTCAGAGATGTTTCACACCGACGGTGGTTCTCGTGTGGAATTGGGTGATGTCATTTTTTTTGCATGAAGACATGTTAAATTATCACAATGTAAATTTTCCATAATCTCAAAATCAAAAATTTTAATGTCACCTCTAGAAGGGAGCACGTTGGTCGGTGAAACGGTCTATTGTATAAAAAGCTGAGCACGTTATTTTGAAGCCCTTCGGATACTTTGTGTGAAGGTGTATTTTAACGTAAAAAAATGTCGACATTGTTATTTTGTGGCTGATTGTATACGAATGAAAAATAAATAATGTAAAATATTTCTTTTTGACGAACAGGGCACCATCATTCAGTTTGGAGTGTCCTTGTTAATAGCATCTGGCAGTCCAGCTACATTTGTTTGTTTAACAAGCCTGACTGCTGATGAGACACAGAAGATCAAAACCGGAAGAGAGTTTGCTTGCTTAAACAAATGATCCTTATGGTGGTACCCCGGGGTACCAAATAATACAAAATTGACACTTTTTTCCAGGGGTGTACTTAACTCCACGACTGGGGTACCAATCAATCCTAAATCAGTGCTACGCAGCGAGGACGATTGCGCTGAAACCCTGAACGCTCGTATACATCATAGTGCATCGTGTACAGCTCGTCGAGATGAGTCGATTGCCACATCACCGACCATCAACAGACTAAAAATTACTGCATCACAGACATTATGCGAGAGCCGGGGTACTATGGTACCCCGGGGTACCGCCATAAGGTCCAAATGCTGCTGGATTATATAGATAGATTGTATTTATTTCAGCACGAAGGACCTAATGAGCTGCTAGGCCATGATTCATTGGGACCCCGCGATGGTGCAAATGTTATCCAGTACAGATTTCAGTTATACAAGCATGGCCAGGTGATACGCTGATGGAATACATTTCTTTTTAAATGTATATGCAGAGATACAAAACTCTGTCCAGGTAAAAATTATCCTACTGTATTAACATAAAAGCAATACACCTTTGGTGATTCTTGGCGTGACGCTCACTCGAGTCGCCTCGTGGCGTCGCAGAAACTGTCCAAGGCGGTGCAGGACTCCTTGGCGGTGGCAAGCGGCGCTGCCGAGGAGGCGCTGGCGGCCGTCCGGACGGTGCGGAGCCTGGCTGGCGAGGAGGCCGAGTGCCATCGCTACCGTGACGCGCTGCAGCACACGTACCACCACAACCGCCGGCAGGCCCTCGCCTACGCCGGCTTCTCGTGCAGCAACAGCGTGAGTGGCCCGTAGGAGAGGGACGCTCGTTATGCACCGATTGATTTGCGTTATGGTCCTCTCGGGGCATTGGGCTTGCGCTCAGTAGGCGTGTAACGACGCGTCGGATTGTTGATCGAAAAATAACTACCTACCCCTCCCCCCCCTCCCCAACCAACACCTTGATTGGCCAGTGTGCTCTGTTCAGATAAAATAATAGATTACCACACTTTGTCAGTCAACTGCTGGATGAAGGCCTCCACATGCCATGTTGATATTGGGGGTTGTTTCTCCATACTTTACCGTGCTGCGCTATGCAGATTAATGAAGTTTGGGTGTTAAGGGGGGTGTATCCAGTACTGGTCCAGATATCACCACTGATATTCGCCATTGTTAGGAATTGAACTTGTGTTGTCGGTTTTAGAGGGCAGCGTGTAAATCACTGCACCATAGCTCCATCCCTTGAGCATGCATGCCATCAAAGCTTGTGTCCAGCGGTCATATAAAAATGTTGTTTTGTGTTTCCGTGCATGACAGTTGACACAGCTGGCCCTGCAGGTGGGCATCCTATACTATGGAGGACACTTGGTGGTGACTGACCGCATATCAGGCGCACACCTTATCTCCTTCATCCTGTACCAGATGGAGCTAGGCGCCTGTCTGGAGGTACAAACGGAGGAAGCCTTCTGCATGAGACCCATGGGACACAGGGCTCTTTGACGTTGCATTCCCACGCCCAGTTAATAGTCGCGGATTCCCACGGCAGCCTACGAGCCATAACCGAGCCACGTGGCTCAGTTTGTTTTGTGTCAAGTGGGGCTATCCGCGTTCAGCCGGGCAGAGCTTGGAAAAAGTTGTCTCGTCAGAACATCAGATCGAAAAACACGAAAGCGCTTTGCAATGTCTATCACGTATGTCAACTTGAGGGCTGTGTTTGTATTTATAAAAAAAACACAAAGCGTGAAATTTTAAAGCCAATTATTTCTTGGGATAGTGTATGCTAATAAACACATATTAAACTATTAAAAACTATTTTTATTTTACCAGGTAAGGCTCACTGAGCTATGTAACTATTTATCAGAACCGACCTGGCCACAAATGATAGCCCAATGAAGTGGCTTATCACATGGACATTTATAGCAGGCAAATACTCTTAAACGTATGTTTATAAATGTGGAGGGAAAAACCGGAGGACCTGGAGAAAAATCCACGGGGACAGAATGCGAATTCCAAATATACAGGCTTCAGGGTTGGGATCGAACCCACACCCTCCTTTATACCAGGCGAGGTAGTTAACATGTTGCCACCATGGCTCCCCATTTGACAAAAGGGAAGAGATGGGAGGACGTTGGTAGGTTGGAGTGGAGGGACTGCACCCATGGGGCCGTGTGTTGGGACAACGCTTGAGCCGTACTGATTGTATGTATGCTAGACTTGTTTCGAACCGTACGTAGCCAACCGCGCTACTGGATTGTTCCTGAAATGCATGACACGGATTGTAAATGCTCGTGGGAATGCAGCATTTATAACTGGAAGAAAGCATGAAAGGTATAAATAGAAAAAAACGTGTATCTGTTTTTATGGAGAGTAAAGGTTATTCCCCCAAATTAATATTCCTTATCTATCTTTGGCCATTGGCATTACTCGGAGCGTTTGTTAATAAGTCTATGGGAACTGCAAACTCATTATTCACTGCGATTGCAGAAGGCAGAAGTTAAACTCGCTAATGCAACTTGTGCCACTGAAAAGTAAAAATTGGCTAATTAGTTCATTTCACTTGAGAGTTATTATTTCTAATAGATGAAAAAAAAAGTAGGGACAAATGTAAAATTAATGGATTATAAATGCTGATTGTTAAGTCTCGGGAGTTTCTAGGGATTTACTTGGTCCTCAACGCCGCTTATTTGTACCCAGAACATGGGTTCGGTGTACACAGGGCTGATGCAGGCAGTTGGTGCTGCCGGAAAGGTGTTCGAGTACATCGAACGGGAGCCGCGCATGCGCACCGATGGAACCTTGGCACCTGTGCAGTTGGAGGGGCAAGTTTCTTTCAAGGATGTCACCTTCGCGTACCCATCAAGGCCTGACGCACCTGTGCTGAAGGTACGGGAGTGAGGCCTCGGTGAATGGTAAATTGTGTCTCTTTGTTGAGGTGCAGATTCAATCTTACTCATTCAGAATGTACAAGGTATGTCGACGGGATAGTTACGTGACGTTCACAAAGGACACCTAGTTGTGAAAGAGGAACGCATCATTTTTGTTAGGAATTTCAATGGAATTTAATTGACACTTAGCAGTATTTCAACCAGGACATTGGGACTAATGCCTTTTGCTGTTATTGAAATTTTGCTGCAGTGGAGACGGAGCTTCAGTTTGATAGAAATCCGATGAGACAATCAGTGCAAATTATCCGTGTAAAGCAGTGCCCATCTAAAAATAATTTAATTTTACTTTTGGATGCCGAGTATCGTTCACAGAGCAGTTAAAATATTGGCATGCACGGTTCATTAGGTTTGGCTTGCACATAACTCTTGCAAGGTTAGGTCATTGTGGACCAATCCATTGTCCATTTCCTCCAGATCAGGGTGAAACAACGTCTTCCACGAAGCGTAAGTGGATCACAGTATGTGTATATAAATAAATCCATTTACGATGTATCTTGTATCGTATGGCTTTTAAAGTAAATTTTTTACACGAGGGAAAAAAACTGAATTTAACATTTCAGTCATGGGAGTGCAAAACATTGTTTTCCATTCTCACGGTCAGCACTAAAAACTCTTCCCCTCATCCAGCTGCCCAACCCCTCTGCCTCCACGGCGGCTACATGGTGCCTACTTGCTCACATTCCCACTTCACAGTTCCTTGGCTAGGTCACTTAGAGGTGAGAGCGCTGAGCTGGGCACCGTTGAGATTCTGGGTTCGAATCCAGGGAGCCACCTTTGATTCAAGTGAGTTTCTCGAGTGGCGTGAGTTGATGGTCTCAGCCCGGTCACCAATTAAAAAAAAAACCAGTGCATTCAAATTTTTCTGCGCTCAATCTAGCAAAATTTCCAGCTCAAAGTTTGACTGCCATGCAACAAACATTACTCTCATATGGCAGGCAGGGTGGGAAAGTGCTGCGGTTTACTGTGTTCTGCAGGCGATTTGAACGGATCTCAGACGTGGCTCTGTGATATCCGCTTTCTTGGGCCATTTTCTAACATTCAGAGTTGCACTGCTGTGTGAGAGCTACAAATGGAGTCTTCGTATCGTGGCACCGACAGCACTTGTAACATTGGAGCAAAATTTCAGGTACAAAAACAATTTTCTCAATGGGAGACTAACTGACAATCCAAATTGTTGCGTGGTTATCCGAGCCACAGGGCGTGTCATTTGAGCTGCGGCCTGGGCTGGTAACGGCACTGGTGGGGCCGTCTGGGAGCGGCAAATCATCCTGCGTGCATCTGCTTCAACGTCTCTATGAACCTCTGGGCGGCCGCGTGCTGCTCGATGGCCAGTCAGTGCACAAGTACCAGCACCACTACCTGCACACTAAGGTACGGACGCATCACAGTCACCTGACTGGCATTTAACGACCTCACGCTGGCGTTATCACTCGGAGAAGGCTGGGGAGAATTGGGTTCTTCTTTGCGTTAACATTTGGCTGTGCGGCGGGGCTGCATTGCTTGTGGCTGTTGGCAGGTGGCGCTGGTAGGACAGGAACCCGTGCTCTTCGCACGTTCTCTTCGGGACAACATTGCTTATGGCATGGAAGACTGCCCAGAGGATGCAGTAATATCTGCTTCACAGCAAGCGAATGCTCACGAATTTATCTCTGACCTGCCTCTTGCTTACCAAACAGGCAAGTACTATGGTTACTCATGCCTGGCACCTTTATTTTTATGAGCCCTCCCACTTTATGCATCGATGTGCATCATACTTTGCACATGTGGTCTGGGTGAGCAGTGAAAGGGTTTCCAAGCATCCTCTTGCCTGGTAATGGCAAAGCAGAAGATAGATGGACGACATCAGAGAAGCACTGCATAGAGATGGGGCTCTAACTCGCAGCGGGAGAGAGTCTCGCCAGGGACAGAGAGGCAGACTCACCAAAGATGGATAGACATAAAGACAGACAAGTGAGAGGCAGCTAGATTTTCCAGAAGCAGAACCGTCATTGGATAAGATAGACTTGCCAAAGATAGACAGATAGACGCACCAGAGACAATCCAACAGACTCGGCAGGGACACACGGGGGTGGAGGGTGGCCGTGGACTGGCTGCCGACAAGCAGAGAACCTTCAGCGTCACCTCAGCTATTAAGTAACTTTGTGCAATGAAGTTTAAAATCATAGCGGATCAGCCAAAGTTTTTGAATAGCTCTTGTGAACAACTTTACACGGCGCAGCACTTGGAAGAAAGGTGGTAGGGTTACTCAGTGAGCTAATACTGTCAGGACTTAGGAAGCGCACTAATGAGATCCTGGGCTTGAGTCCAGACAGTCACCTTTGATTAAACCAGGTTCACAATTTTCGTGAGTTAATGGTCTCTGCCCAGTCACCAACGACTGCACAGAACATGATAATTGGTTTTTTACCCTTCTATCTGGCAACAAAACTGACACCTTTTAACAAGGAGTCATGTTTACATATACCACAATACCTGCAGTCATAATGCAAACAAAAAACATAACTCTGATGATGTGCACTGCCCTTGAAGTTGATTGGTCCACACACGAGACAGCTTTCCTTAGAGCCTAGTCTCACATGGGTTGGACCAGATGCGCCTTTTAGTCTCACATGGGTTGGACCAGATGCGCCTTTTGGCGTCATCTGGTCCAACCCATGTGAGACTAGGCTCTAAGGAAAGCTGTCTCGGGTGTGGACCAATCAACTTCAAGGGCAGTGCACATCATCAGAGTTATGTTTTTGTTTGCATTATGACTGCAGGTATTGTGGTCTATGTAAACATGACTCCTTGTAAAAAGGTGTCAGTTTTGTTGCCAGATAGAAGGGTAAAAAACCAATTATCATATTTTTTACTGCCAAATGAGGTTCCAATGGTGCACAGAACATATTAACCATAATAGAGGTTTTTGGGTTCGATCGTGTAAATATATAAATGTGTCGTTAAAACCCGCCACCACCCGACACAGCCAACTAGTAAGGGTTGTCACGTAAACAGAACGTGGCCAATTCGTCACTAGTACAGCACTAACCGGTGTGTTGGAGAGCCAAGCCACAACATTTGCAATCTGAGTACGACGTTTCGCCAGTAATTACAACTAGCTTCATCAGGCGACAGCCAGATTAGTGGAGAAGTCTAACTGTTTCGTTCCTTATATAGAGGCGTCGATGTGTTAACCACGCAGCTGCGCTCTTGCACAATATGGGGGGGGGGGGGGGGAGATTACTGAGGTAACATCCATTATGCATGTGCATTATGCAAACCCTTTTACCGCACAGAAATCTGCTCTTATCAAGACGCTCATTCATCGAGCTAACAAAGTGTTAGATGGTGACAGTTTGAGAAGGGAAATTAAACATGTTAAAAGAAGCGCTGCAAGTGAACGGTTACAATGATGCACAAATCAACAGGGCACTGAATACAAAATCAAATAAAATAACAAGAGCATTGAAACTGCCCAAGTAATTAAATCGATCAAAATACTGTACATTGCGGGAGTAACTGATAAACTAGCCAGATGTTTGGAAAAACAAAACATCCGAGTCAGATTTGGCATGGTACATAAAATACAGAAATGAATATCTGGTACAAAAGATGTATTACCGAAGCTATCAACAGAAGGTGCGTACAGGATTAACTGCACGTGTGGTAAATGTTATGTTGGGCAAACAGGACGAATGATAAGCACGAGACTAAAAGAGCATCAGAGAAATATTAAATTCTCCCAAATACAGCTGTCAGCAGTAGCAGAACACGCGTGGCAACAAGGACACTCAATTGATTTTGATAATGTTGAAGTTTTGTGCAAAACTAGCTACTACTGGCCAAGACTAATTAGAGAATCTATCGAAATTGAAAGAAATCAAAATAACTTTAACCGTTCGGATAGCTACCGCCTTAGTGTTGCGTGGAAGCGAATCATCAAAGAATACATTATTTAAATGCATTCCTACAAAGGGCAGCGTACTTCAATAGGGATTACCGTTGTTAGGGCTATTTTAATAAACAACAATAGACAGGAAGGACAAGATCAGAGGGCTCGCATAATGCATAATGTACGTTGCCTCAGTAATCCCCCTCCCACATTGTGCAAGAGCACGTGGTCAACACATCGACGCCTCTATATAAGGAACGAAACAGTTAGACTTCTCCACAAATCTGGCTGTCGCCTGATGAAGCTAGTCGTAATTACTGGTGAAACGTCGTACTCAGATTGTAAATGTTGTGGCTTGGCTCTCCAACACCGGTGTGCTGTACTAGTGACGAATTGGCCACGTTCTGTTTACGTGACAACCCTTACTAGTTGGCTGTGTCGGGTGGTGGCGGGTTTTACCGACACATTGATATATTTACGCGATCTAACCCAAAAACCTCTTATGGATGATATTGGTTGCGAAAGCTTACGTGTTAAACAGAACATATTAAGTTGTAATTTTCATTTAATATTTGTTTTACCCTCTCAGGACTAAACAAGATTAAAAATGATACAAATGTTGATTGATTGCCATGTGGTGAACACCTCTATAGTAGGGCCAGTGAGAAAGTGCACCAGCTAATATTTGGTGAGAGGTCAGTCCCTATCCTTGGGTGATGCACTCTGCAAGATTTACAGATCAACGATTTTTCATGCTATGAAGTCAATATCACAATTGAATTCGTAATTTGGGGGAAATAGCAAAACAAATGAGAAAATGTGGAAAGTCTGCATTCATGCAGTGGCTACCTTGCATGGACCTTTCAAGACTTAATTAAAACTGTGCCCGGGCGAAGCCGAATTGTTCATTGTGTTTTTATAGACCTTGTTCAACTTGCCAGGGGTACTAATTTTTTTCCGGCATTGCCGCTTTGTGTAACAGAGGCTGGGGAAAAAGGAGCCCAGCTGTCGGGCGGGCAGAAGCAGCGCGTGGCGATAGCGCGTGCGCTGGTGCGGGACCCACGCGTCCTCATCCTGGATGAGGCCACCAGTGCTCTGGACGCAGAGAGCGAGCACATGGCCAGTCTTCACACCACATTCCGCATTGTCACATCAACTCACTGTAGATCAAAGTCAAATGGCTTTATGAACTTCAGGACCATTCACTTCCAAACCAAAGTGTTTACAATCACGTTTATATTATTTGTCACTTGGCAGGCAGCGAAGAGCAGTGCACTAAGATCCACTGTTGTGATGATGTGCTTGTATGCTGCATATTGTACCAGCCGCACTCGCTGCATGCATGCCATGTTCATGAACTGCACATGCCACAATCGTGTGCATATCTACATCAGCCCTTTTTTCAATGCACTGCTAGATGAGGGCCTCCCAATACTGGGTGGGTCATAGGGGTTGTTTTCTGTTCAGTAAAGATCACGAAGGGGGGCCCAGAACCAGTTCAGATATCACGTGCCGTTGATGTTAGCCGTAGTCAGAAATTGAACTAAGGTTGCCGGATTCATATTACAGTGCAATTCACCGTACAATTATTCCGTCACAAACTGCGTAAGAATAATACAGGCAGGGAGCAAAGACACGGGGGCCGTCAAAGGAAAATCCAACAACGGGAATTTGCTGCACTTGTATACTTCTCTGCCAGTATAACCGGGCCTTAAAAGGCGATCTCTGTCTTCATGTACATAGGTGCAGCAAGCTCTGTACAATGGCGAGTTGCGGGGCCGCACCGTGTTGGTGATCGCCCACCGGTTGAGCTCTGTGGAGCGTGCTGATCATATTGTGGTGCTGGATCACGGCCGCCTGGTGGAGCAGGGACCTCACGCTCAGCTGATGCAGCAGGGCGGTTTGTACGCACGCCTCGTGCATCGCCAGATGCTGGGGCTGGCCTCCGCCATTGACCCCAGCGAGAAGGAAGTTGTTGGCGCAGATGAGGTAGGCTTTGCACAATTTCTGTACGTCAATTTTTTTTTCATTATCACAATCATCAAACAGGCATGATCAGCGCCCTGCTGAATGAAGGTTTCCCAAAACCGTCACCATCTCTGATGATCCTGCGATGCAGTTATCCATCTTGCCGATTCTTCACTCTTGGATGTGTTCCGTTCCTCGGCTGCCACTCCACCACTGTTGTTGACCAGCATGCACCTCTCCATATGCAACTTTTAAAATGTGCAATGCGAAATAAATAATTGTACATCACTTTACGGATTGTAAAAACTAATCCACTGTTGTCATTGATGTGTACTTGACTTAACCAGGTAAAGAGCGCACACTTGGATGTGGGTGCTGGATCACAAATGGCCAGCAAGTGGAGCACAAGACCAAACCTTTTCCCAGGCACCCCAATCTTCACTCACGTTCAGAACAAGAGTTTGAATGGAACGTCTCGCACACGGCATGGCACTTCCGTGGAGGTTGTCACATCAATTCCTATGGGAAACGGGGAAAGAGCACCCGCCTCGCATTCTCTGTAAGGCTTGGTTTGTTTGTGTGTGCGCAAGGCAGTGCCCTGTTTTTTAAGTCTACGGTGAGAGGGTTGCAATGTGGTTTTTTGTTGAAAGTTGAACGTTTGATTCGTGCACTGCCTTTCTTTTCATCAAAGAGTATCCTTTGATGCTGTACTCAACTATTGTTTATGCCCCTTGCCAGAGGAAAGAAGGGATTATACTTTATGCCTGTCCATTGGCAAGACAATCCTAATTAATGTTTACTCACTGTCCTAAAGCACTGCTGAGCATATTCCTGATTGGGAATGATAGTGAATATAAGTGGACAAGTGGTAAGTTGGAAGTCTGTTGAGATAATTTCACATGAGTGTTTTTTACCCTTAATTTTTTGTGTTATGTTTGAAACGTATTTTTTTTCTTACATCCATTGCTGGCCTTTTCTGTAGTGATGGTGTGAAGTCATATATACTGTATTGCCCTTATTACTATCGCTTGTTTACTTTAGTACAGAGAACATTCCATGCAGTTTGCATTATTTATTGAGGTATAACTTAAGTGCAATATATAGTTCAATAATTGCATTCGCATAATACGGTTAAACCATCATACATACTTCGATGCTTGTGCTGTATTTCACTGCATATTAAATTTGATGATTAGTGTCTGTGGCTGATGAGACTGCCCGTAGCAAAGTCATCAGGGACGCAGTCATTCACGAACCTTCCCTGTGCCAGCCAATCATCAGGATGGCAGCTACAAGCAAGCTGCGTTTTTGTCAACATGGATTCACTAGCAATATAACCCGTAAAAACAAAGTTTTTCACTATAAATCCTTTATATGCGTGGCGGCTAGAGTCCTCTCGTCCTCTGGCTTGAGATGGCTGCCACCTATGGGTCAGATGATTGTCTGCCAGTATTAAGCAATTGGTAATTACATATTTAATTTGTTTTCCCTAAACAGTGTAAAATTTTGGATTTTTTTTCACGAACATAAATTGTCACGCACAACGAGTCTGTGTGCAAAATGTCAGCTCGATTGGATCACGGGAAGTGGGTTAAAAAACGACCGAAAGATTTGTACGGTCGTAAGCAAGCAAGCACGCAAGCAAGCAAGCGAACTTAATATAAAGGATTTAAAAAGCACTACAATGCGTCAAACACCAGATGAAGCAGAAAAACGGACTGGACTTGTCAGTCAAGTGTAAGGATGTTTTCAAGCCATGACCCCTTAATCAAAGGTCAAAGGTCAAAGTATCTTTTTGGATTTGCCGAGTCAGAAACCTCACTTGTTCCTCGCATGAATGGCTGTGATACCGCAGCGGAGACCTTACGTCAGGTGCGTTTCACTGGACAGATACACGAGGCAGATTTAGACTGTTGTACATGGAAGCGTGGATTCTTTTCATGTGTCGGATTACTGTATGCTGTGAATTTAAGATAGTGTCTGCCAGTTTGTATTTGGGGGTAATTGATATACTTTTGCATTTGTGGGAGCGGTGGTTTTTGCACCATTCTCTGCCATGGCTAACATCTGGGGTCATTGATAACGAAAACTGCACTGATCAAAGTGGTAAAGTATGGTCAGAGAACTTCCATGACCAAAGAAAGTCCCAACACTTGTTGTCTCGCACGCTCAAACGAGTCCAGTCCATCACGGATGCACACAAAGGTGTGGACGGGCCTTCTTCCAGCAGTGGATTGACGGAGGGCTGTAAATACATATTTATTGTTTGCAAGTTTTTGTACGAAATGAGCAATAAACAAATGAATGTGTCTCATATGACAGCACTCAAAAGTCGTACGAATTTCGCTAATAACCAACATCTCATATACTGCATTTTATTCTAGATTTGAAGTGTTCGTGACTGCAAGGATTCATACTCTTTGTTTTTTTTTGGTAAAGTCACGGAGGTAAAAAATAAATAAATGAAAAAACTAAATTATTGACGGAAGCTTGTGTTGCCTCCGAAACGTGATTTAATTTAGTTTTCATTTATATATTTTTTAACCTACGCGACTTTGCCGAACAAAACAAAGAGTACTGCATTTTATCTTTGTTAACATGGGGTTTGGCATAGCTGATGTAACAAGGTGGGCAACTTTAGTTTGTCTACTTTGCAGTATAGAGGTCAGTTACTACTCTCATCATCAACATAAAAAACACGCTGCACTATGCCTACAAATTGTAACAAAAATGTAATGGAGAATTACATTGTTGAATCGTGAGTTATTATGAGGGATGACACGTGAGGTTTAGGATGCTTACAACTGTCTTCATGTCGGGCCTGCTTCGAACACGGGGTTATGCATTATATAACTTCATACACAGCGCTAACGGACACGATATAATGGCATGTGTAATCGCTGTTCATGTCGGGACATTTTGTATGTTTAAGTGCAACAACGTGAAATAAAGGCGTGCAATACAAAATGCACACGGTTGCTTTGTGTGTGTGTGTAGTTAGGTAACGAAAGGGGCACAGGTGATGGAATGGTTTGCAATGATGTATGCATGTTGATTTCCACACACCAGTCGAAAGCCTCGTTTAAAGTGTTAATACCTCTTCTAAGCAGCAATAATGAACACGTTATGTCCAGAACATTAGACGTAATACCCTTGATATTTCTTAAACAGCGGGATGTTGATGTGGACCAGCGCTTGCCGTGAACCCGATGTTTGAGAGAACTCGACCGCGAGTCTTGTCAGAAAACATAAAAAAAAACACACGGACTCTATCCGCTCATCAAATAAAGTAACTCTTGCTACAAAATGTACGGGAAGGTTTGGCTGTCATAGCATTTGAAATTATCGCCCCCACCCCCACTTATGGAGATTAGAGCGTAAACTGCACTTTTTCCTGCAGCAATGCCAAGACTTGGCTGTTTTTACTGGTAGGAACCTCCTGGTTACACCAGCCCACAGGGGATTATTGTGTCCGTCCGTCCGTCGTGCATCTAAAAATGGGAGGGTTGGGGCTGGGTGGAGAGGGGAGGGTGGGGAGGGGCTGGTCACCCCGTGGTGCCCTTATAAAACTCAACGTTTAACCTACTCACGCCGGCTTGTGCCCGCCCTCACAGTCGGCCATATTTGCGGAATACACCACGCCGCCGTTGACCCTGGCCATTAACCGAGCAACCCAACGTTCCTACCAGCTCCCTCCGCAGGAACGTGTTTTTGCTTTTTAAATCCTTTATATTAAGTTCGCTTGCTTGCTTGCGTGCTTGCTTGCGTGCTGCTTGCTTGCTTACGACCGTGCAAATCTTTCGGTCGTTTTTTAACCCACCTCTCGCGATCCAATCGAGCTGACATTTTGCACACAGAATCGTTCTGCGAGACAATTAATTGTCGTGAATTTTTTTTCCAAAATTTTACGCTGTTTAGGGAAAACAAATTAAATATTTAATTACCAATTGCTTAATACTGGCAGACAATCATCTGACCCATAGGTGGCAGCCATCTCAAGCCAGAGGACGAGAGGACTCTAGCCGCCACGCATATAAAGGATTTATAGTGAAAAACTTTGTTTTTACGGGTTATACTTATTTGCTGTTGTACACCGAATGGACAACGCGCGTTGCGGAGTGCAGGTTGGGCATGAGAACCCGACCGACGTGTGAGGCTCGCTGGACGAAACCGTAAATGAGAATCACCGATCCCCAAATGTGGCTAAGCGAGTCGTCTATAAATGACGTCACGCACCTAGGGAGCGGGGGGGGGTCAGACATTTGTGACGATGTGTGACGAGGGGGGGGGGGGTTGAGAAATGTGACATCACATCAAAATGCGCAAATTTAAATAAATATAGACAACACGTTCTACTTAATTAAATAGACTTTTTAATAAATGTTTTCTCCTACAAAATCAGAGTGCAGCGGCACATTAAATACGCACTACAATGACAATAGTTTAAAGCGATTTAAAGCATGTTTTATTTGGGGGGGGGGGGCAGAGCTTTTTGACGTCATATTTGAGGGGGGGGGGGGTTGACTTTTGTGATGCTGGGGGGGTAAAAATCGCATGACGTCATTTATGGCCGGCCCCTAAGTGAGTCGTCCAGAAGCACCTAACGGGTGCCGTCATCGCAGGCTTGGGTGGATGTGATGCACCCAATGAATCGAAGTCGACCTATCCTACACCCCTCGGATGTCTAATGTAGAGAACCGGTATTTAAAAAGTGCACGTAAATAGAACTACGAAATTATGGGGGGGAAAATATTTTATCTTTCATGAAAAGTTAATTTTATACTAACGGAAGCAGGTTCGATGTGTTCGGGCTTAGCATGTTATATAGAACATAGGGAAGTGGGAATTTTCAGTTTTTCACGTTAAATAATTGAAATGCTACAGTTTTACTTTTGTCCAAAGGTTAATGTTTCCACTGTGTTCAAACTTAGTTGAGCTCTATATGAACGTAAACGTGGAGATTTTTCACAATAATTTTTTTTCACCCGGAAAATTCTACGTGATTTTTGTTAGTTATCAAAAAAAGCCGTCGATCCTTCATTGCGTTCAGGATGTCTATGTCCTCTATTAAAACAAAAACTGGAACTTTTTCGAATCAAAAATTTCACCAGAAAAAAATCAACACGCTCAAGCATATCGGTACTTTGGTCCAATAAATAGCCAACATTTTCTTGCTTGATTCTTTCAATCTTTATTTGAAGCTTTCGTGACTGCAGGAATCCATCATACTCTTTGGCACCTACGTGACCAAGGTTCTCTGCAAACCTCCTGGCTACCATCAAAGGTTTGTACACGAAACCATACAAATATACAAACACAGACATAATTTCAACCGTGATGACGGTTACAAACTGAGTAATCATTGGAAAGATGTGATTAACCATGCAAAAAAGATTTAACTACACTTATTTGCCAATCTTATTTGACAGACAACCATTACTGTTTTACCATGTTTAGTGGTGGTCTCCCTGTCGCAGGTTGAGTCACAAACCGCACCTCTCCATAACAAAGGCTCAGCCTTTGTTATACAGTCTATTCTTAGTCTCAAGCCTCACCTTACCATATTAATAATAAGTATGCGGCCCTTGCCCCACCACCTTCTCCGACCATTATATAAACGGAGTGGTAGCTCCTGCAATCTCTCATTTACTTGATACAGCTGTCGTGGCTGTGACGGTACCACCTGAAGAGGGAAGCTTGTGTTGCCTCCGAAACGTCGTGATTTTTATTTTATTTTACTTTTTAATGTTTTTACCTACGTGACTTTACCGAAAAAAACCTAAGAATATGAATCATTGCAGTCACGAAAGCTTCAAATCTAGAATTTACCGAAAGAACCAAAGCGTATGATTCTTTCAAGTCAAATCAATTTTATTTCTACTCAAACGCCTGGTGCTTTTCTAGGATTTTACAAATCTGCCACTCAAAGTGCCTTCATCATCACATTCATACTTAGAAAAAAATAGAACATTCTATACAATGAGGAAAAACATTTGCTATCTCTGCAATAAAAGCCAATTTCTCCCTTGTTGCTTTGGCTCAGTTTTACTGAAACTTAAAGTTTTATATATATAAAAAACTAAAATTGGCCTGAATAGCATTTCTTCAAGTTTATTTGGTAACAAATCCATACCACGACGCCGCTGTTTGAACTCTGCTTCAGAGCTCGCATTAAAATATTGTCCAATAAATAAACCCAATCACCTCCTTACACTCATTGCAAAACAAACAAACACCCACTTTAACAGCAATAGCAGCATCATCATCATCATCACACACGTTCTCAGTTTGACCTTCGGAACAAGATACACCCCTTCTGTGTGCATGGCATCCCCCCCTTTAACCCCTCGTTCTCAACCAAACACCCAACCCCCCCACCTCTTGCATCAACCCAGCCAGTCCCTTGCTCACACCACGACCACCACCACAGCCAAACACCAACCCAGACTCGTCTTCTCCCCACGTCGATCCAACGACAACGCAAGCTTACTCGCCTGCCCTGTTGCCTGCCCTGCCCTGCATGCTGCTGCTGCTGCACATTGGTCATTCGAATGGCGATGACATCAGCTGCTGTTCGGTTGGGGCTCGCTTTCATAGTCGTGCAATTTGCGGCCATGGGTCCTGTCAAAGCAGGTACAGTTAAACACCGACGTTTGTGTGTGTGTGTTGGTGTGTGTTGGTGTTTGTGTGTGTGTGTTGGTGTGTGTGTGATAGTGTGTGTCCTGGTGCTGGTGTGTGTTAGTGTGTGTTTGTGTGTGTGTTGGTGTGTGTGTGTGATAGAGTGTGTCCTGGTGCTGGTGTGTGCTGGTGTGTGTGTTAGTGTGTGTGTGTTGGTGTGTGTGTTTTGGTGTGTGTGTGATTGTGTTGTGTTTTTGGGGTGTGTGTTGGTGTGTGTTGGTGTGTGTGTGATGGTGTGTGTGTGATGGTGTGTGTGTGATGGTGTGTGTGTGCTGGTGTGTGTGTGCTGGTGTGTGTTGGTGTGCGTGATGGTGTGTGTGTGATGGTGTGTGTGTGATGGTGTGTGTGTTGGTGTGTGTGTTGGTATGTGTGATGGTGTGTGTGTGATGGTGTGTTTGTGCTGGTGTGTGTGTGATGGTGTGTGTGTTGGTGTGTGTGATGGTGTGTGTTTGTTGGTGTGTGTGTGTTGGTGTGTGTGATGGTGTGTGTGTTGGTGTGTGTATGTGTTGGTGTGTGTTTTGGTGTGTGTGTTTTGGGGTGTGTTGGTGTGTGTGATGGTGTGTATGTGTTGGTGTGTGTGTGATGGTGTGTATGTGTTGGTGTGTGTGTGTTGGTGTGTGTGTGTTGGTGTGTGTTGGTGTGTGTGTGTGTGTTGGTGTGTGTGTGTTGGTGTGTGTGTTGGTGTGTGTGTGTGTTGGTGTGTATGTGTGTTGGTGTGTGTTGGTGTGTGTGTGTTGGTGTGAATGTGTTGGTGTGTGTGTGTTGGTGTGTGTGTGTTGGTGTGTGTGTGTTGTGTGTTGGTGTGGTGTTGGTGTTGTGTGTTGGTGTGTGTTGGTGTGTGTGTGTTGGTGTGATGTGTGTGGTGTGTGTTGTGTGTGTGTGTGTGTTGGTGTGTATGTGTGTTGGTGTGTGTTAGTGTGTGTGTGTGTGTTGGTGTGTGTGTTGGTGTGTGTGTGTGTTGGTGTGTGTGTGTGTTGGTGTGTGTTGGTGTGTGTGTGGTGTTGGTGTGTGTGGTGTGTGTGTGGTGGTGGTGTGTGTGATGGTGTGTATGTGTGTGGTGTGTGTGTTGGTGTGTGTTTGTTGGTGTGTGTGTGTGATGGTGTGTGTGTGATGGTGTATTTGTACTGGTGTGTGTGTGATGGTGTGTGTGTTGGTGTGTGTGATGGTGTGTGTTTGTTGGTGTGTGTGTGTTGGTGTGTGTGTGATGGTGTGTATGTGTTGGTGTGTGTGTGTTGGTGTGTGTGTGTTGGTGTGTATGTGTGTTGGTGTGTGTTGGTGTGTGTGTGTGTTGGTGTGTGTGTGTTGGTGTGTGTGTTGGTGTGTGTGGTGTTGGTGTGTATGTGTGTGGTGTGTGTGTTGGTGTGAATGTGTGGTGTGTGTGTGTTGGTGTGTGTGTGTGTGTGTGTGTGTTGGTGTGTGTGTGTGTGTTGGTGTGTGTGTGTTGGTGTGTGTGTGTTGGTGTGTATGTGTGTTGGTGTGTGTTAGTGTGTGTGTTGGTGTTGTGTTGGTGTGGTGTGTGTTGTGTTGGTGTGTGTGTGTTGGTGTGTGTGTGTTGGTGTGTGTTGGTGTGTGTGTGGTGTGTGTTGTGTGTTGGTTGTGTGTGGTGGTTGTGTTGGGTGTGTATGTGTGTTGGTGTGTTGTGTGTGGTGTGTGTGTGTTGGTGTGTGTTGTGCTGTGTGTGTGGTTGGTGATGTGTGCTTGGTGTGTGTGTTGGTGTGTGTGTGTTGGTGTGTGTGTGTGGGTGTGTTGTGTTGGTGTGTGTGTTGTTGGCTGTGTGTGTGTTGGTGTGTGTGTGTGTTGGTGGTGTGTTGGTGGTGTGTGTTGCTGTTGTGTGTGTGTTGGTGTGGGTGTGTGTTGGTGTGTGTGTGTAGTTGGTGCATGTGTTGGTGTGTGTGGTTGGTGGTGTGTGTGTGTGGTGTGTGTGTGTTGGTGTGTGTGGTGGTGTGTGTGTGTGTGTGGTGTTGGTGTGTGGTGTGTGTGTTGGTGTGTGTGTGTTGGTGTGTGTGTGTTGGTGTGTGTGTGTTGGTGTGTGTTGTGTGTGTGTTTGGTTGGTGGTGTGTATGGTGTATGTGTTGGTGTGTGTGTGTGGTGTGTGTGTGTTGGTGTGTGTGTGTTGGTGTTGTGTGTGTGTGTTGTGTGTGTGTGTTGGTGTGTGTGTGTTGGTGTGTGTGTGATGGTGTGTATGTGTTGGTGTGTGTGTGTTGGTGTGTGTGTGTTGGTGTAGCTACAAACCCGGCTACCTCACCCCGGCCAGTTCGATCCCCGCTCACGGCCACCAACAATCCGTGATGATTATTATCTGAACCGGCCCTGGGCATCCTCCACCTAGGTCGACTCGGCCTCAAATGAGTTCCCGGTGTAGCGGCCGGGCGTGGCGCTCGGCCACCCACCCTCTCGTGTGCCACAGTGCCGGTAGCCTTCATTGGAACTGCTCGCTAACAGCACTTGCCCCAATAGTCTGTTGCAGACAATACGTGGGGTGGGCATCTTTGTCTTTGTTGTTCTGATATCCTTCCTTGTGTTGTGAGTATGGTAAAGTGACACAGATAATTCGCTGTGTAACACGATTTTGTTCCTGGGGAGTGAGTGTTTTTTTCTAATTGCGTATGCCTCAAAAGTGCAGAAAATTGCCATTATTCCCCACAAACTTTGCTTTTGTGACCAGACCATTATGTGAAGGAATGACACAAAAGCACACGTTTTCTCATTGAAAATAAGCATATTTAAAAATGTCACTGTCCATGTCACAAAAGCAAAGTTTGTGGGGAATAATAACCATCTTCTGTACTTTTGAAAATAACACTTACTTTTTGTTACACAGTTAATTATATGATAGCAGTAGGTGTTGGGGGAAGGGTTGGCATTAGTGTCTGACCATAACCGATGTGTCCTATGTGTGTGTGTCTTTATGTGTTTGTAAATATTCTGTAGGTGGTGTGTAAAGTGTGTAAAGTGTGGCATGTGAAGGCAATAAATACCTCATAGCTCTTCTTGTGTACAAACAGATTATACTGGTAGGAACATCCTGGTTACATCAGCCCACAGGGGATTATTGTGTCCGTCCGTCGTGCAGGGAGGGGCTGGGTGGGGAGGGAGGGGCTGGGTGGGGGGGGACGGAGGGGCTGGGTGGGGAGGGTGGGGCTGGGTGGGGAGGGTAGGGTAGGAGGGGCTGGGTGGGGAGGGGCTGGGTGGGGAGGGTGGGGCTGGGGAGGGTGGGGCTGGGTGGGGGGTGGGAGGGGTGGGGCTGGGTGGGGAGGGGCTGGGTGGGGAGGGTGGGGAGGGGCTGGGTGGGGAGGGTGGGGAGGGGCTGGGTGGGGAGGCTGGGTGGGGAGGGTGAGGAAGGCCTGGGGCTGGGTGGGGAGGGGCTGGTCACCCCGTGGTGCCCTTATAAAACTCAACGTTTAACCTACTCACGCCGGCTTGTGCCCGCCCTCACAGTCGGGCATATTTGCGGAATACACCACGCCGCCGTTGACCCTGGCCATTGACTGAGCAACCCAACGTTCCTACCAGCTCCCTCCGCAGGAATGTGTTGAAAGTGTTTGGTCTGTCTGAGCATAGCTTATGTGCAGCAGGGCTGTGTGAAGTTGCTTGTAAATAAAGTAGCTACTACTGTTCCGTATGCGGTTGTGAGTGTATCAAAGTCTCCCGTGAACACACAAATCAAGACACGAAATATCACTTGTGCTCCGGAGAGAATGTATACGCGAGTGTTGTTGGGAGAGTGGGTTACCACCACTGATGTGGGTGAGTGATTAAGTAGCGTGTATTTCATTCTCTTTGTGTGTGAGCGTGCGTCATGCTGCTTGTGAACACACAAAACGTGCAAAATAAGAAGACGTTTTAACCCTCTCTGGCAATAAAACAGATGTGTTAAGATGTTCAAACACCAAATTTTAACCATTTTCGAAGGAATCACATGCAAACACTTCTCAAGGAATCAAATGCAAACAAACATGCTCTGATGATGCATTGTCTTTAAAACTGATCGGCCTCCACCAGACAACCTTCATTAGAAGGCATATATTATCAGAGCATGTTTGTTTGCATGTTCACCACAAGTAATGTGAGGTGCTTGAACATCGTAACACCCGTTTTATTGCCAGAAAGGGTAAAAACGATTCTTATTTTTCACACTTTGATACTGACAAAAAATGTCACACAAAACAAACTCGCACATCTGTGGCCATTCGAGGTCTCTACTTATTCGTGTATTTTGGGAGGAAGACTGGCGATGTTGGAGAGAGTTGGCTCTGTCAGATAAATTTGGCACAGATTTCTGTCCAACACTGCCCATCACAGCGATCAAATGCAAACCCATGAGAACACCGCTCATCCACGTTGAATCTTGGGGATTCCATTATTCGCAAGGCTCTATCCGCGGGTCACAATTCTTGGACAAACCCCGCAGATAACAGGATGGAATTGCAACGCGGACTCCTCTTATCCACACACACACACAAAAATCGCGGATTATAGGAGTGATGGCGTAACATTCGTTAACCTGTGGATAACCGACGGGGTATTAAAAGTAGTGAGTATTCGGAAGCCACTTTGCTGCGCGTTAAGGGTAAAATCGCGGATAACTGCAAATAAAACGAAGAAAATGGCCACAGAAAATGGGAGTTTTCGTCGACCCTACAGCCACCGCAGATAATAGGAGTCACGGGTAATAGGGTTCCAGATAAGAGGAGTTGTCCTGTACGGTTTAAGAACGACCAGTGCACATTTTAGACATTGCCTTTGCACAAGTGGCACATTGCAGCTCTAAAAACACACAGGCACTTGCAAAGCTTTATCCCAAATGCAAACATCATCATGGCCACCAAACAACTAAATAACCTACAATGAAGTAATTAATGCATGTCGAGTGAGAGTTGCGACTTTGTAATGGGCGACATCAATTATATCAACGTAACAATACATGACTTGTGTTTTGTACCATATTGATTCAGTCATTATTGCAGGTCTGACCAGGTTGCAATGGCAGAATTAAGACGTCTATTGTTTTTCTGTTGATTTCCAGGCTCTACGAAAGCACATTAGTAAACAACCCTTGTTGTACGCAAACACTGCACCCCCTCACACACACACACGCACGCTGCTATTTTCGATTCTTACTGACAAGGGAGGCTGACAAGTCAGGGTGACTGGGTAGTCAACATAATACCTATATATCAGGGAGAGAGCTAAAACCCATTACATCAGAGGGTGCAAGGGTTTGACAAAAATCGATAAGCGTTTACCCGAGAATGATGCTGAAAGGGTGAAATTAATGTGTTTTTAATATGCAAGCATGATCTCATTCATTGTTGGTATCTGTTGAATTTAGTTGAACTCGAAATAATCTACGTTTTTTTTTCAAGTACATTCGGTTACGCCTGTTTAAGTGTGATAATTTTGGAAATGGTTACTTTTAATTAAATCTGTCCGGTGCGTTTTAAGGCATCTTTCGCATTCGCTCTAACACTCATCTCTCTTATGAAGCCTTAACATGTACCATGTAAAAAAATAAAACTAAGTTTGAAATCTTCCAAATTCTGATCACCTTTAAACTAAGGCGACCCGCATCCCAACAAAGTTCATTTAATTTACCTCGGAGCACCTTTAGGTGTTCATTTTGAGTGACAGGATAATAACAATGTGAAGATATCCACACGATCACCACTGAAATTGATCCAGTCGTTGAATTATAGTAGCCATCCGGTAATTTCCTCAGGCAATTATCAACCGACATTACTTGTTGTAAACTGGACAGTAAGAGTGAAGACTGTGTGACATTGCTTGCAAAATTACGAAATTGTGTAACATTGCATCGATCCCATATCAGGGTTCCTGAAGAGTTTGGCAATCGTGGTTAGATGTGAGCGTCTATGCCCCAAGAAGCCTGGGTCATATTTTGAGGCTCCCTGTTTTCCATATAACTCGCAACTGCCTCTTCTAACCGCCGCATCTGTCTATTCAGTATTCATTCTGTTGGGTTAAGCCACATGGAGCTCTCTTTGGTTTCGCATAGGGTTCATCACAGTGGGTTCATCACAGAAGATCAGAAGCTGTGCTTTTGCGAGTCTCCTGCTGAGCGAGACCAATGCTTTGCGGTGAATCTCGTGGAACAGGAATTATGTGATGCTCGAACGATGAACCGCTGTGTTTGTTGCTGAACGAGTTTGGAAATCTATTACCAGATTGTTGCATTATCTGTGAGCGCGTTCGTGTAATCTCGCGAGATGCTTGTTGGCCTGATTGTTAATTTATTTTGTTATTTATTTGCAGGGTCCTTTACATGATTGCAGGTTCAAAATCCAATCACACTCAGTCGTCTAAATTACTCGTGTAAAACTAATAAATACAAATCGCATTGTTTAAAAGTCGACTGAAGCACGCCTTTTGTCAAATATTAAAAATAAATGAAGTGACCTGGTGACTCGAGATGTGAAAGTGCTGAATTGGCACCCCGAAGATTCTGGGTTTAAATCTGGACAGCTGCCTGTGATTTTTTTTTTAAACCAGATTTTAAGGTGTGGCAAGTTGATGGCGTCGACCTGGTCACCAACGTCTGCACAAAGCGTCACGGATACATTTGCTTCTGCACTCAATTCGTCTGAAGTTCAGTGATGAGGATGAAAAACAACGGTTTAGCTGTCATGCGATGAACGTTGCTCTCTGCGGCACGGGGTGTGTGGGAAAGCACTGCCCCCTTACTGTACGGGGCAAAGGTGACTTAAAGGGATATCAGATGTGTCTCTGTGGTATCCTCTTCCGCTGCGCTGCAATACATCCTCGCGGATGCTTCATCTCATGGCATGACACAATTGGGATAAAATTGGGGTGGTAAAAATGAATAGACCTTCTAAGTTCGCTAAAAAGTACACTTAAATTTCAGATTCAATTTGAGATCATTAACTTGCAAATAACGTCTTTGCTCCCGACAATTTATACCACAGGCAGCTGTCCAGCTCAGCTCAGAAGGCCCTGTTCCATGCCAGAAGAGACAAAGAGATTATACATCAATTATCATAAAATTCAATTATATTTTAAAGTAGTAATTGTAGATTCAAGGCTTTGCATAAGGCTTCGCGAATATGCCAACAACGGCCTTTTATGAGAATTATGGCCGATCGCCTGTTGCCAATTTGGCAAATATTTTTCATTTCATTTCATTAAAATGTGGCCATACCAGCGTGATGACCGCTCCAGTGAATAACTGAATAGAAATAAAGGTGCTTATTTTCATAATGAAATTCATTCATTTGCGTTTGTCATTGTTACAACAGTGAGTGTTTGCGTCTGTCATGCGTAAACTGCTGGCCACTATTGTGCTAATATATCACGGCACGGACTTTTCATTACCCCCACAAGCCATTGATTGTGATCGGGTCAGTACGTTGTGCTATATTCAATTTAGAAATTTAATTTTCTGGACACATGCTATGGGATTTTTTGCTCCGGTGGACTCGAGTGGAGTTATTTTCCTGCTTGCTACTAGGCAATAGCAGTGAAATAGGTGTAGAATTTGTCATCGTATATATGTAAACACAATAGTGCAATAAAACTAAATTACGCAGAAAGTTGATGATGTTGCAACGGATATGTCAGCACAGTCAGATGAAGCAGGGCACTTGGTTTATGAGTTCACTGCCCGGTGAAGCTCAGAGCAGTTTGAATGAGATGTCGTGTGTTGATGTTGAATTCAGTCATGAGAAGGCTTATGCCACTGGTGAGCTGGAGCTTTATTGTTCGAAATTTTATGAATTCTGGTCACGTATAAATGACATCTTTCCTCTTCTTGGTTCTTTCGGTAAAGTCACATAGAAGGGAAATAATAAAATAATAAAAATTAAACATAATAAAATAATTCTCACGACGTTTCGGCCACAACGCAAGCAGCCGTCCTCAGGTGAAGAACAGGTCTGTCAGACGCTGTCTTCCCGACAGACGCTGTCTTCCCGACAGACCTGTTCTTCACCTGAGGATGGCTGCTTGCGTTGTGGCCGAAACGTCGTGAGAATTATTTTATTATGTTGTATTATTATTTATTTTATTATTTCCCTTCTACGTGACTTTACCGAAAGAACCAAGAAGATGAATCCCTGCAGTCACGAAAGCTTTAAATCGAAAAATGACATATTTGTAAATGTGGTGGCGGGTTACTGAAATAAATTTCGCCACAAGACAACCACGTGGCCAAACCCAAACACAACCTCGGATCATATTGACTATAACAATATTTTTTTTTATTAATAGCATAATTTTATAAACACGTCATTCTGTTGACATTGACATTTGCAACGGCATATTGGATTAGGCATAATTCAGTTTCAAGTTTGATTTTGCTCGCCCCCCCGTGTGTTCCGGTGTGCGTCTGTTGTCTTTCAGAGGGAAACTGCGCGGGTCGTTGTGTGCAAGTTACCCTCGGAGACTGCTCCTGCACCTCATCCTGCCAAGCCCTGGACAGCTGCTGCCCTGATTTTGCTCATCGTTGTTTGGAAATTTCCCCAAAATCAGGATGTCACGTGGGCGGAGACGACTTAAAAATCATCAACATTCGCTTCAATAGGACCCAAGGCGTCATCTGCCGGTGTGTAAATGATCAACAACAATAATAACAACAACAGTCCAGCACGTGTAGTGTCAGTCACAAGCGTTGCATATTAAAGAAAAAACTGTGGTATTTCAAGCACCTGCAGTCAGAACATTTTAATTCGTTTGCAGAAACAAAAATCAAGTGAAACATGGCCCTCCGATGAGTTTGCGTGTTCGGCACGATGCCCGATGTTTTACTATCGTGTGGTGGGTGCTTCTCCAAGTCAGTTTCTGAAGTATCTTGAGTTCAGTTCGTGAAGAAGTTCTAGGCACGTGGAGCGAAACGTCGAACATCGTGCCCAACAACTCGAAAACACAGCAGAGCTGTAGGGCACAGGCATGATCACCTCTCTACGTGGCTTTACCGAAAGACCCAACGAATAGGAAAGCGATACGTGTTAAATTGAAAGTATTACTACTCTATCAACACGTTTCTTTTGTCAACGCAGCTTCGTTGATGAACATTCCTTTCATTAAATTTAGACTTTTGCCATCGGACAAACTGTAGAATGAGCGTAGCAACTGTATTCTTTTTGCCATTTCATTGTTGGTCGAAGATTTGTTTTGATCCATCACGGTTTTAAATTGAAAACTGTTACGCACGCAACGCCACATTTTCCTCGTACCCGCACCGGCTTAAGCGTTCGAGTGAATCAAGGGCAGTCTCACATTGCCCATTTTTTTGTGACAGCGCTCCCCCAAACCGACGACGGTAATTTCACTTGCAACTCTGGCTTGACGTCCACGTCGCACTCACTCGAAGGTTTGGCGAGGACAAAGTGGACGTGGGCGGCCACTTGGACGGAGATGGACACGCGCACTGCGTCTCCCCGCTCGTCTACGAGACGAGACGCATCACCTTCCAGCTGTCCGTGGACGGGGGACTCAGTTTCCCTCACGAGGGCACCTGGGTGGCAGGTGAGAAACCTGCCAGGCCACCTGGGTGGCAGAGGGTGCCACGGTGACGAGATGTTAACTGCCTCGCGCCTGGTACGCAGGACGTCTGTATATTCGGAGTTTGCGTGTCTCTCTTTCTCTCGCCCTGTGGTCGCGTAGATTTTTCTCCGGGTCTTCCGGTTTCTCCCTCCACATCGAGAATCAACGTGCATTTAAGAGTGTTTGGCTGTTATACATTTCCACGCTACTTTGTTGCGCTATCATTTGTGGCCAGGTCGCTTCGGACAAAGAGCTATGTAGCCCAGTGGGCCTTGCCTGGTAAAATACAAAATAGTTTTAGTTTAGTTTATTACGTGGTTAAGAGGTAGGTCACTTTAAGGAATCTCAACAGTAGTTCTGTGTTCTGTTTCCACGGACTATCCTCTAGCACGGCTCTGCGAGAGTTTTGAATAGATTCTCCGTCTCGCGACGCCGATATCACACTCGGAGTGAAGTTGAGCGTGAAGGTAAAGGAGCGAAAAAAAAATTGACCCGTAAAAACAAAGTTTTTCACTATAAATCCTTTATATGCGTGGCGGCTAGAGTCCTCTCGTCCTCTGGCTTGAGATGGCTGCCACCTATGGGTCAGATGATTGTCTGCCACCATTAAGCAATTGGTAATTAAATAAAAAAAATTTCCCTAAACAGTGTAAAATTTGGGAAAACATTTTTCACGAAAATGTATTGTCACGCACAACGAGTATGTGTGCAAAATGTCAGCTCGATTGATCACGGGAAGTGGGTTAAAAAACGACCGAGAGATTTGCACGGTCGTAAGCAAGCAAGCAAGCACGCAAGCATGCAAGCAAGCAAGAAAGTGAACTTAATATAATGGATTTAATGACTCAAAGTGACGCTCAGAACGAACTTTTGATCACATCGTCAAAATTCGGCCACCGCTCGTTCGCCAAAACATCTTCACTCGCACTCTGCTCGTCGCTCTCCTTTTCCCACGTGCCGCAGTGCATCCCGGCAAGGTGAAAGGAGGTGCTGCCGCGCAGATGCACAACTCCACGCACTGGCAGTACTACGGCACGCCGGGCGTCGGGGGCAAGCTGACTCTGAACTGGAACGCGAGCAAGTTGCGTTCGCCGGCAGTCAACGTGGAGGTGTGGGGCTACAGGGAGACGGGTACGCACGCATCGCCACCCGACAGACCGAGTCCGTGGCCCCGCGCGCATGCAGTTTATACAAATGACGCCTCATTTAACCCGTGTGTGGGTGTGTGATGGATTATCACGGTCCTGCGTGACTATCGGATGTGCGCTTCACGCGGAAAAGAAAGCTAAGCGCGTCATTATCCGTCCCATCTGTTGGCTCGTGAGCAAACGATGGGGCCCGAACTAATTTCAGCCACGGGTTTCTTTCCTTTTAGCGAGTTTCACAGCTTCGCTCAGCCTCAATCCATTCTCTTCCTGATCCCTCGCTGCTCTGTCGGGACACCTGGTTCACTGTCTTTTGCCTACTCCTGCTGCCTTACGCTCTTGTGTGTGTGTGTGTGTCACAAAGTAAGGGTTCATTGGCTGGGCTCATTCACGTAAGTGTCCTAACCACTGCAGTCTAAATCTATTTATGAGGTCAAACAATATTTTTCTGCTATTTTCCCAAATATATCCAGCCCATGTGTTAAAACGGTGTTTTTACATTGAGATATTTTTGTCCTCCTATATGGTTGTGCATACTCAGTTGACCTTTGAATCCTTATATTCATAAAAATCTAACTCGTGAAAACTATGCCAAATAGTTGTTATTGCAATTCCAGATTGAGTAAATGTGTTTATATGTTACACACACATACACGTGTATGCGTGCATGTATGAATATGTGTCTGTGTTTGAGTAAATTTGTGTATGTACAAGTATATGCGGTCATAGAAGTATGTGCAGGTGAATGTGAGTACGTCGATGGGGAGCGGTAGTGTAGCGGTTCGTGCGCTGCACTCCAAACCCGGTGACCCGAGTTCGATTCCTGCTCACGGCCAACCCCACTGATGAATCGATTCTGGGCCTCCTCTAGGTCGACTCAGCCTCAAATGAGTACCTAGTGCGGTGTGTAAACATCGTCGCTAGGCAGACAAAAGCGGCCGGGTGTGGTGGTGGCCACCCACCCCTTCGTGTGCCGTGCCGGCCTTCATAGGTGCTCGCTAACAGCACTTGCCCCAATAGTCTGTTCAGGATATACAGGAGTCTTTTTTTTGTCTTGTCGATGTAAGTACACGGGGGTGGATTATTTAAGACATGACCCCTACACCAACCCCTATCACGACCCCTACCCCAACCTCTATCACGACCCCTACCCCAACCCCTATCACGACACCTACCCCTATCACTACCCCTATTACTACCCCTATCACTACCCCTACCCCAACCCCTATCACTACCCCTACCCCTATCACGACCCCAACCCCTATCACGACCCCAACCCCAACCTTTATCACTAACCCTACACCAACCTCTATCACTACTTCTACCCCAACCCCTATCACTACCCCTACACCAACCTCTATCACTACCTCTACCCCAACCCCTATCACTACCCCTACACCAACCCCTATCACTACCCCTACCCCTATCACTACCCCTATCACGACCCCTACACCAACCCCTATCACGACCCAAACCCCTCCGTCACCACTCCCAACTGTTTTCCTGTCACCATAACTACACCACTTTTAATAATTGTACCCTACGTAGCCAACCTTTCCAATCTTTATCTCAACCACTATCACCTTATATCTAATTTAATAATTGCTGTAAAGTGCCTTGGAATAGGGCGCTATGTAAATCTAGATAAGATAAGCTTAGCACTGAGGAGGCAAAGGTGGTCAGGGTGGGACCAGCCGCGTCACCCCCCTCCTGCACCATCACGGTCTCAACAATTGCTCGCCAAGAGCGGTCGCTCCAACATGCCGTTATAGGCTATACGTGGGATATTTGCCGTTTTCCTTTAATGTCTGTGTGTGTGTGTGTGAAGGTATAAGTCTGTGGGCATCAAGTTGAATCTCGTCAGACTAAAAAAATATAAAAAGTGACATATCACGTGCGCATTTTCTATCGCCGCAATAATCGCCGCAATAATTAAATTACGTTGCGTGACGCTCCGCGCGAATGCAAGTAACTCTTTCGTGGGCTCCACGCGAGCGTCTGTCTCCTCCTCAGGCGAGGCGTACGGCGCGGCGTGGGTTGCCCAGTGGCTCTACCTGTACACGTTGGCTCGGGACGTCGCCAACAGCGGCTCGTTCACCTTCCTGCCGAAACCAGCGCTGCCCGAGTTCTCCGTCTACGAGTTCGGCATGCTCCGGATCGCGTCCAGCAATTACAGCGACGGGCAACCGTAAGCGGCGTCTCGGGCAAACACCGTTCGTTGCAAACGCTGCCCCGTGGCCGAATCGCCCTGAATCAGAGGTCGCAAACGGGTTTTGATTCCTTACCCGTACCCGTACCCGGCCGCACCAGGGTCGCAAACGGGTACCCGTACCCGTACCCGGCCGTACCCGTACCCTACCCGTACCTGGCCGGGTACGGGTAGGGTAAGGGTATCAGATACCTGATTGCGACCTCTGGGATGAAGCCATGTTGCAGGCGTGGGTGGGTTGATTCTAGGAACTTGAATTGTGAGAAGAGACAAGACGTTGGGAAATGAGTGACAAACAGTTACTCACCAGTGACTCACGGCCTACCCGTACCCGGCCGCACCAGGGTCGCAAATGGGAACCCGTACCCGTACCCGGCTGGGTACGGGTAGCCGGGTATCGGGTAGGGTACGTGTATCGGGTACCCGGTTGCGACCTCTGTTTATTCTACGGCCCATCGTTTGGTATTTCATGGCTGCAGTCACACTACTGTGGCCTGTCTTTAATGTTCCGTGTATGAAGGGGACGTTTGCGCATCGGCCTGGTGATGTTCTGATGCGGTTAATAGTTGCATGCGAGACTGAGCATAACCAGACGTAGCTGGCTGCAGCTGTCAGGTGGGCAGGAGATGTCGGTGCGTTTATGCACAATACAGTATATATCCATCATAGAAGTTGTTTGGGTTAGATCGCGTACATATAAATGCGTCGTTAAACCCGCCACTATCCGACACAGCCAAATAATAAGGTTTGTCACGTAAACAAAACGTGCCAATTCGTTACTAGTACAGCACACAGGTGTGTTGGAGAGCCAAGCCACAACATTTACAATTAGAGTACGACGTTTCACCAGTAATTACAACTAGCTTCATCAGGCGACAGCCAGAGTTGCGGAGAAATCATCCTGTTTCACTCGTAAAGTATATTTACATCTATTTGGGGTCCTACAACAGTCTCATCCTTCATGGCCTAGTACAATTGAGGTGTTTATGACATGACGATTATTGTGATGTCAGTTACCCACGAGTGTGTGTACGTAATCGTATTTCTCAGCTTTCTTGTGTTGTCAATTCCTCGCCGGTGTACTACGCTAAAGTTCTTCAACAGCGGGGTTCACTCAACACAACGCCTGCCCTGAGTATTTAAATCATTGAAACTTCACAATCGAAACGTTCATGACGCTCACGCTGGCAGTTAAGCAATAATTTATCACGTAATTAAGGTGAACCATGAAACTGACGAGGCCATAAAATCACCATGCTGGAAATATATTTTGCCAAGCGCCAATGAACCTGAACTTTTGTGCTTTTGTTATGGCATACTTTTTTGGGGAATAAACCATGAAAAACAAATCAGAAAAGCCACGATAATCATGAAAACAATACTTTCTGCGAAATACTCCATAGGTGTATGCTGCACCTGGTATTGTATGACTGCATCGTAGTTATCACCAGATTGTGACAACCCTGCAATCAATCTGTGCGGAGCTTGAAGAGTTGCAACCCTCTGGTTTCATGGCCCTTTTTTCCTCCAGGGTACTGCCGTTTTTTATCTACTCATGAAAAACACTCAGCGATGGAAACGGCCAAACCCTTCAAACGAAATAACCTGCTCCCGAGAACAGAGTCTTGAGACGTAACGAGGCTTAGCTGGGTGAACTAGGGTTCACTCTTATTTACTTAATGTCGAAATGGCACTGGTGGTGCTGTGCACTCGCATCAGAGAGTTCAACGGTGAGCACATCTCATGAAAGTGCCTGTTAAGTGGCTGGCTTGCCCTGACATGCCACTGCATGGGTAAACGATCGGTGTGTTTGCCGAAAAGTTCATACAATTCGGCTGATCGCGTATCTCTGCTGCACCGTTTAAGAGGTTCAGTCGGGGTGGGCCTGGGCTTAGCAATTAATTGTACGCTCTCCTTTGACAGCCAAATGTGTGCTCTTAATTCAACCTTGCTCTTGAGACACTTGAGTGTTATGGAATAAAAAAAAAATTAGCTCGCCGCGAAGATGCGATGTAATATCAGTCACACTTGTCAACGCGCATTTATTTGACGGGCAACATTAATTATACTGAGAGGAGCAAGTTTAATTACTTTTGTCAATAGGTAGATATGAGGTAAAGACCTGGATATTATGTGAAGTAGTTGTAACAATGGCTAATGTCTTTCAAATGTCCCGATGCCAGAGGATTCTAAGAGTCGTGTGACAGGACCTATAATAGACTTTGACAGGCACTACTTAGTGTAAATAATTCAGACAGGTGACTTCATAGGGTTATTCACTTCCTTCGAATTTCTCTACAAGGTCACAAGCACAAGAAGTCAACTCGGAGGTGCCACTAGTGCACACGAAGGGGGCAGCCTTCTCATGCCGGTGCTGTCAAAGGGGGCCTCCGCTAGAGGGAGTTTTAGAGTGCCCCTCTAGAAGCACATTGGGATTATTTAGAGTATTTAGCTGCTGTCAATTTCCACATCATAATCCACTTCGTTGAGCTATCATTTGTGGCGCGGTTACCTCTAAAAAAATAAGCTAATAGTTCAGCGGGCGTTACCTGGTATAATAAAAATATTTTTTTTTTGCGCTATTTACTCACCTGTTCTATCCTAAGCACTTCTATCTTGTTTTTGTATTGTTTGTTATTGCAACGTTCTGACATTCTGGCCTGCCCTTCCACGCTAGCTAGATGTCTTGAAAGTGGTCGGAGGACCCAAACTTTACCCCAACACACATACCGCTGAGGGGGGAGGGGGGGGGGGCAATTTAAGAAAGTTTCACCTTTGAACTGCCGCGTTGGTAAAATCAAATCAAACCGGCGACCTTTGGATTTCAATTCCAGCGTGATAACCATTAGACCACGGGCAGCATCCCCACGGTGCATATAACAAGACAGATTGACTAAATCTTGACTTAAAGCTTTCGTGACTGCAGGAATTCATATTCTTGGGTCTTTCGGTAAAGTCGCGTAGATAGGTTCAAAGAAAATAACAAAAAATTACAAAAAACTACGACGTTTTGATCGCAAAACAAGCAATCGCCATCAGGCGGAAAAAAAGGAGGGTGAAAGGCTGGAAAGCTGCTGAGGCAGGCTGTTACAGAAGGAAGAGGAAATCTGCTGAGCCAGGCTGTTACAGCTGTTACAGCCTGGCTCAGCAGCTCCCTCCCTCCTTTTCTTTCCCTCCTGATGACGATTGCTTGTGTTGCGATTGAAACGTCGAAGTTTTTTTCTTATTTTTTGTTATTTTCTTTGAACCTATCCACGTGACTTTCCCGAAAGACCCAAGAATACAAATTAGCGAAATGCGAGCTTTTAGTTTCACTAGCTTTTGGCCAATTACTACCGTGGCATACGCACGCAAGAATAAAACTTCCCACCCCAATGTGCGTAACAGGAATGTGCTGGCGGCGTGGAGTGACGATCACGCGATGGCGTGGCACTTGGAGGAGAAGTTCCGTGCAGATCCAGCTGCCTGGGCGCTGCAGAAGTGCCTGGCTTGGAATGAGAATGAGACGTCCATACTTCCCCCTTTCCTCCCCGAGATCGCCGACTGTCCTTGCACTTTGGCCCAGGCGCGGGCGGACACTGGCCGATTCCAGGCAGGTTTTTTTTCTTCCTCCCATAGTCCCGGCAACAGGTCTGTGATCAAACTAGTTGCCGCAATGATGGAATTTTTCACGATGCGATATGATGTGCGATTTCACGAAATGAGGACTGTCGCGATATCAGTTTTTCATAACTCTGTTATTGTATTTCACATTTTCGTTGTGTGTGCTTTGCTGTACGTCTAGTACATAAGCCTGTCACGAGTATTTCTAAGCATGAAAATCTAAACGGCACATGCTGCGAGTTACAAAATTAATGTGTACATTCTATGAGCTACACAAATGATCACGTGATGTAATTGCGGTGCCATCAATTACTCCGAATTTTTTTTTTGTGGGGAGCGGTAGTGTAGCGGTTAGCGCGCTGCGCTATGAACCCGGCGACACGGGTTCGATTCCCGCTAACGGCCAACACCAGTGACGATTATCTGAACCGGTCCTGGGCCTCCCGTAGGTCGACTCAGCTCAAATGAGTACCTGGTGCGGTGTGTAAACATCGCCACTCGGGAGACAAATGTGGCCGAGCGTGGTTCTAGCCATCCGCCGCCTCGTGTGCCGTGCCAGCCTTCATAGGTGCTCGCTAACAGCACGTGCCCCAACAGTCTGCTAAGTCTATACGGGGGGGATCTGTGTCTTTGTCTCGTACACATAAAGATTAACTAATTATTCTTCAACTGCAGATCACTTATCATAAGCCTGTCACGAGTATTTCTAAGCATGGCAATCTAAACGGCACATGCTGCGAGTTACAAAATTAATGTGTACATTCTATGAGGTACACAAATGATCACGTGATGTTATTGCGGTGCCACCAATCACTCCGAAATTTAGAATTTTTTTGCAAATCACTTATTTTACAGCTCAGGGGGATGACTATTTAAAAGTTTGTTGGGAAATAAAATTTTGAAGGGTAATAAAAAAACTGCGATGGTAAAGATGACGTAACGATACTTTATAAAACGGATGATTAAGATTATTGGTGCTCGTACAAGGTGCAATATCACAAGCACCCAGTATTAAACACCGTCTCTCACGTTCATTCGCGACGTTTGTTTCTGCGTGTGTAGCGATAGTTTTAACGAAATTCATTTCAATGCATTTCACTCCTGTTTACGTTTAAGAAAAGTAATATCCATAGAAAACGAATCTCCATCATCTCAATTGACTTTCAATTATGTCAAACACAAATGATAATCATCATCATCATGACAACAGTCATGGTAAAGTTCGTACCGAGTTAATAGAGAGTATATCGATTAATCTCGTCCCCTCATTGACTTGATGAGGTCACAATTTTTGGTCGCATTTTTATTCAAGAATCCGTTCCTTTGGTCATTGTTACCATCTTTGAATTGTTTGCTGCGTTAAACCTAAATATAACTTTAAAACACGATACTAATTTAATTTGCATGAACGGTAAATAATCGATTCGCACGCACGCGATTCAATGCGTGTATCATGAGCATGAAAATGGACTTTGATTGCTGAATCATTGCATGGTTACACGTGCACCTTTTAACGACCTGTCCACCTGACCATGTAAACGCTCACGGCGGATACCCACCCACCAAACAACATTTTCAGAAAGGCGTATTTTATCGCTATCTGCTTCATGACCTATATACGTAACTGCCAACTCGTTTGACGTATTTGCTTATCTTCTACCACGAATGCGTGCCAACCTGCCCGTGTCCGCATCACGTCAACTGCACATTTTTTTTCCGCGTTCCTGGGCACCAAAGACAGATACTCGATGACGCTGCCCTCGTGGTGGGCAAATCCCATTAACGGCTTGTTTCGGCGCACTGATTTAAATGTACGGCAATACTACTTGCCAATCTCAGATAAATCTCGTAATTAAGCTGTGTGCTGTGCACTGCTCTTTAATTACCCACCTTTGCCCCCGTGTTGAATAATTACTCTGATGTGTTTTTTTGTTTTTCCCACCGTGTCACGGGTCCGCCCTTTGGCCCCCAACGCGGTGAACTCCGCTAATGGAAAGTGTGGCCCTGTGTGTCGCAGGCGGACTACGGATGTGACATTGAGAAGGGCAGCAAGTGCACGTACCATCCAGGGGCTGTCCACTGTGTGAGGGCCATCCAAGCAAGGTGGGAATGTGACACATGCGTGTCACGTACACGAAAGTACTCGCTACATGGGCGCTCTCAGTCATGTCCGCTTATCGGCACAGCGTTTTTTTTAAAAATCACATTAATCCCTTATTTTGGCAGCCGGGTGGCACAGTGGTAACACTCGTGCCTGGCAGAAAAAAGGACCCGGGTTCGATACCAAACTAGATTGCCTTTCTGTGTGGAGTTTGTATATTCTCCCCCTGTTGTGCAGAGGTTTTACTCCAGTTTCTTCAGGTTTATAACCATAGATAAAAAAAAAAATAGATAGTAAAACGTAATTTGTATTGGCCAAATAACCCGACGTTGAAATATTGACTGCGTATTATTTATATTGTGATCACGCGTAGCAACATTGCTCCCTGCTGCGAAAATCTTGGCGGGATCATTCCGATAAAGAGCCTTCCATGGGCAAATGACAAGCGTGTTCATAACAACAATGCACTTCGAGAGTTTTGAAGTTTGTTTTCAGAGCAGGGAATAGGCGATAGAGATGATTGTTTACGCACGATGATGGAAGTGCATAGATACGAAAAGACTTCATTGAGAGAGAGGCAGTTGAAAAGAGCAAGCCAAATAAGTGGCAATGGCATGGCTGAGTAAAATAGTAACAGTTGGCACTGCCAACTTAAATAAGCGAACACCCCTTGCTACTGAGCCAAGACAAATATCGTCTTTGTGCAAGGCAGAGCTGCGCTTCTCTGCTCACGCCACTCTCCCACACTGGGTGGGAGCACCCACACTTTACACCACCACCACCTCCACCACACGCGCCATGCCTATCGACTAACTGTGGTGCGCCCATTTAGACTGCCAGGTGGACATAGGCGGCGGAGGCGGAGGGGATTTAAACAAAAAACGTTCCCATCGTTTCAATTGCCACGGCGTGAAATTCGACCCGGCGACCTCCGGAACGCAAGTCCAGTGTGCTAACTGTTGAAACAGCAGCGCCATTCCCGTTAGCTTGCCCGATAAAAAAAAAAATCAAAGAACGATAAACGATTGGGCCTGGCCACCTTTTCGAACCGGGCGACACTTTTCGTATCGCCGTTAAAGTCGCGCGCCGCAGGAAATGCGAAGCCGGCCGACGTTTTAGGAGGACCTCCTCCTCGTCGTCGGCATCGGAGGAGGAGCGCGATGCGGTCGACCGGCGTGTGTTGTGTGACCCTCGGGCGGCAGCCCCCGCTACGCGGCGGGGCAGCAGTGCTGCTACGACGCTCGCGGCGTGCAGCTGCTCACCGTGGACTCCGTGGGGGGCGGTACGCCGGACCGCGGCCACGACTGGGGCTCGCCGCCCTACCGGCGCCCGCCGCGAGTGCCCGCCGCCTCGCACTGGCTCTACGACGTCGTCACCTTCTACTACTGCTGCCTGTGGTCGGACAACTGCGATTACTACCTGCACCATCGGCCCTCCAGCGACTGCAGAGCCTACGTGCCTCCAAAAATCGGTATGCGCCCTGGGCGTCTTCGAAGTGGTGCCCTGATGGCTGTACGATGCTAAGGAAGAAAGTTTCGCTGGCTGGATTCCGTGGCTGTCTCGCCTGCCTGGCTGGCTGGCTGGCTCGCTGGCGCGTGAGCGGGAAAGTGCGCGCGGGCGCAGGCGGTGCCACCGCAGAGCAGAGCCGGGTTCGTCCAGCGTGCTGACATCACGCTCCTCCACCCTTTACTCCAGGTGTGGATCCCGCGGGATGATGGCGAGATGTTAATTACCTCTCCTTGTATGCAGGAGGTCGTCGGTTCGATGCCGACCCTGACGCCTGTATATTTGGAGTTTGCATGTTCTCCTCGTAGTCGCGTGGATTTCTCTCGGAGTCCTCCGGCTTTTCCCTCCACGTTTAGAAACAAGCCTTGAGAGTATGTGGCTGCTATAAATTTCCACATGATGGTAAGCCACTTCATTGAGCTATCATTTGTGGCCAGGTCGCTTCTGAAAAAGAGCTATATAGCTCAGCGGGCCTTACCTGGTAAAATTAAAGTTGAATTTAAGTGCGCAGCCAGTGGCATATATGTTCAAAGAAAATATCAAAATAACAAAAAACTACGTTTCGATCGCAACTGATGATGGCCGCTTGTGTTGCGATTGAAACGTCGTAGTTTTTTTGTTATTTTTTTGTTATTTTCTTTGACCCTATCTACGTGACTTTACCGAAAGACCCAAAGAATATGAATTCCTGCAGTCACGAAAGCTTTAAGTCAAGATTCAGCCAGTGGCAGTTATCATTTATATATATGCTGTAAAATCACAGTTGCTGAGCATGTGCCCAAATGGCTCAAAATGCCAAGCGTCCAGCAACAAACAGCACGATCAGAGTTGCAACAGGTCAGAGTGAGTCTGTTCGTTCAATCGAGCAGGGTTATGAAAAGAGCTGGCGATGATGCCAGCGTGCTGAATGTCAGGTGGGGGAGACCACGCCGCTTGGGAAGATTGTGCTCCACGCGCATCACAATGAGGACATCCGTCCACTGTGTTCTTCCTGCCCTCCCCGTCACGAGCGAAGGCTCGGCTCTGGGGGACCCTCACTTCCTGACGTTCGGCAACCTCAGCATCACGTTTAACGGGCGTGGGGAGTACACGCTGCTGGAAGCCGCCTCGCATTCCCTCGTGGTCCAGATCCGCACCGACGTGGCCCACGACCCGGACGGTACGTCGCTCATCTCTCAGCAATCAGACGACAGACAGACTGGCAGATGCACACTTGTGGGCAACCCCCCCCCCCGCCACTCTTCCACGGGTCGGAGGCCACGGAGGCCTTGGGGCAATATGCCTAAGGCACATCACGCTCGCATATGTCCGTGGAACTCTCTGTGCCCCGCAGGCAACGCTGTCAATGCCACCGTCATCACGTCGGCGGCCATGCGGGAGAACGGCTCCGATCTGGTGGAGGTGCGGGTGCAGCGCGAGTCCGTGGCGCTGCAGGTGCTGCTGAACGGGGGCGCTGTCACCTTCGATGAGCAGGACTGGATGGACCTGCACGGTACGGCGCCCGCCCGGGGCGATGGCTGTTGGTTTCGAGCGATGCTGCAGGCGGCAGCGGGCGGTGCCCTGGCCTATTGGGAGGCCCCCTAAGTAAGAAATTGTGTCGGGGGCCCTCGTCTTTCGATGAACGAGCTCCTGGTGGGATGACGGAAGCGGTGTAGACGAAGAGACGGGGATGCAGCGAGATGAGAGAAATGTGGACAGAAGGTAAAGCAACGTGTGATGAGACGAGAGATGCGGACGGAGACGGGAATGCGGTGAAATTTAGGAGATGATGGAAAGAGACAGAGAGACGTAGTTTGATGACAAGATATAGCTGCGGACAAGTCAGAGATGAAAGATACATTTCAATGAAAATGTTAATTGCCATTTACATTTATTAGGATCTGAATCTGGGCTGATGTTGTGTGAATCCATATTTTTTTCCTGCGAATCTGGGGCCCCTTGAGCTGCATGCAGTCTCGAAGCTTCTACTTGGTTTGCTTGGGGCCTAGCGCCACCGCTCTTGTTCCCAAACAAGTGTAATTTAGTCACAGATGTGACCCTGTGCAAGTTGGACTGATCACAACACTGATGTGTGATGAGTTAGACTGCAATTAACCTCCAGTGACCTTTCACACGACTGTGGCTGGGGAAAACTTGGCCCCTCTGGTCTACTCGACTCTGTGTACGTGAAAAAGCCGAGGCCAAGTCTTTCATAATTGTGTCTTGTTTACATTTGGCAACGGCTATATTACACCTTTGCAGAGATTTCGGTTTCATAATAAAACGCGGATTGTTTTGGAGATATGATTTTCACAATAAGCTGACCCTTTTCTAACTCGTCTGTTTTTGCACATTCTTGACGTGTTTTTCGCACGCAATAAAGCGACAGTGCTGTGTAGGCGTTCGTGCTTGTGCTCTATCGCGGCTCTCCCATTATCCAGAGAAGAAAACGGCTGTTTCTCTCTTGTGCTCAGATGAATTTTCGGGTCGTACTACCGCTCGTTGTTCGGGACTGTGTCCAACGTTTCGCTCCACGTGCTGAATATAGAAGCTCCCACGTTGTGCGGAGCGGAAAATCTCGACGTCTTGCCTAACAACGCGCTGTAGGCCAACCCGAAAATGCGTCTGAGCACAAGAGAGAAACAGCCTTTTGCTTATCTGGAAAAGTAGTTTTTTTTCTACCGAGAAATCACTGTTGAATGCATGACCAAATCCCTGCCTCGTTTGGTTCGAGTTGCGTGCATTTCCTCCGACTGCCCAGGTGTGTTCGTCAACTCGGTCGTGATGAGCAACGTGACGGTGATGTTCCCCTCGGGCGCGGCCGTGGAGGTGCGCCTGATGCCCGGCTCGCTCGCCGTCAGTCTGCTGCTGCCCCGAAACTTCTCGGGACAAACGCGAGGCCTGCTGGGGGTACTGGATGGTGGCCTCTCCTTCCCCGACGGCACGACCCTGCCAGAGGATGCCTCACCCGAACAAATGTACAGCTTCGGCGCCTCCTGTGAGTCAAACGATCAACATTTGCTCTCTTTTTGTTTCTCTTTCAATTAATGCAGATGGCGGGGTGGGGTGGGGTGGGGGTGGGGGGGCGAATTTAAAAAAGATTAGGACAGAGAATACAAGAGAGCCTCTTTACTCTGCAGGGACTCTGCACAGCCCCACAGCAGGATGCTCTGGGCACATTTGAGTAAAACAGTAAGGGGAAGTGCTCATGCTGATGCCATTTACGGTGTGCCAATGAATGAATTAAACGCGCAGTCATTTGCGTGGCAATCAGGAGCACACAAGTTTGACACAAGGTGAACAGCCTGTGAGCGATCTACATTGTTACTTTTGTAATTGCTGTTTACAGTCCTTTACTAATCAACTGCTGGATGAAGGCCTTCCCAGGCGGCCTTGTCGTCATGGGGGTTGTTTGACCTTATTTCTCCACGCTGGGCAAGTATGCACGTATGCTGCACTTCTTTCGCACTGTAGGTAGCCAACCGTGCGAATCGGAGGTGCGGAGGAAGGACAACAAATAAGACAATAAGCAGTTCCAAACAAAATGAAAATCTTGAATTAAAATTGCATAGCTTCAGTGGCTTCCGAATATAGGAAGGAAGAGCGTTCCAGACGGCCACAGCAGCGCACCTGAAAGTGCGTGATGCAGTGACCGTCTTTGTGGCTGGCTAAAAGCCGCCGTAGCGAGGATATCCAGAGTTTTCGTGATGGTTTATGGTCCTTGATGAGATCAGCAAGTGTGGGGTGATGAAGGAACGGGGTTGCCAGGACCAGTTCATGGAAAGCTCGCCACTCACTCCTGATGTTAGCCGTGGTCAAGACCTGGAACACAGGCTGCGGGATTCATAGTGCAGGAACCAATGGATCATTGCTCCACTGCTTGATACCAATTGCAAGTGAGAAAAGCCAAAGGCTGGTCGAAACATGCCAACATTCGCTATTGCAGTTCAACAACAAATTTAAATGAATTGGGAAGTGATTAGCTGTAAATTAGTTAAATTAGATAATTACAAAGCACTAGGAAACACTTTCAAAAATGCGAGACAAAGGCAATCATGGGAATTCCTAATAAAGCGAGATAATTTTGCTGAAGAAACAAGGGAACTGATGAGAGTAAGCAAACTGAACTCTTATTTATTTTCTTCCATTGATAGGACAGACAGGAGCAAATGTCTCAAGGAAGACAACCGCTTTGTTACCCACAGCCACAGCCGGGAAGCGAGCCAGCTAAATTTGTACAAATCGGGCAAACGGCCAACTCGGCTCGCAAACCCCGCAGCGGGTTTGCTGGGCCAATCAGACTTGGGTTTCAGGGCCTCCTTTCACCACACTCTCAGGCAACCCTTGGAAACTGTCGTGATGTTTTCACAGGGTCAGCATCGAAATTATACGCGCGCTCAAATGGCAAACCTTCACTTATATTTACTCATGCAAGGCCCGAGACTGGAGGACATTTTCAGATTTCTCTGGCAACTGCCTGGTGATGCTGGTTGTAACGTCGGGTTCATAGCGCAGCACGCTAACTGCTACACTACCGCTCTCCTCTGCACTTACACACACACACGTGTACATTTAAATATATCCGTGCATCTTGTACTTCACAAGTAAAAAAGATTAGCACGGCCGGCTACGTACGGTGCGAAAGAAGTTCAACATACATACAAGTAAAAGCTTCTCCTTGTCCATTCAAGCAATGCAACTGTGGTGGAAATTCCACATTCACATGACCAGGGCCATTCTATCAATGATGATGAATGACGATTATCAATGATAAGGTTGTCTGTGAGTGCAATCAGCATGCATAGAAGAAGTTCTATCGGTGCGGGCGAAGCCTGCATGAGAAGGAGAGTGTGTGGCATGGCCTGTGGTGGAGTAGATGCCGGGTTTGTATGAATGGAGTAGAGGTTGTTAAATGTCGTGAAATTGCTCTCCAACACACCAGTGTGTTGGGTGGAGGAGGGTTTACAACACATTTTTATTTTTGCGATCTAACCCAAGTATCAATTATGAATCGTCTTTTACTCACGACGTTCTAATAAATACACAGCCCCGACATTTTTGCACAAAAATTATATGACTATGATCGTTGAACATTTTTCAGTTATTGTTCCATTTTCTTCATGAATGTCAATGCGCCTGATCGAGGGAGTATGCATTGCTTATGCACCTTCTTGTTCAGGCACAAATGTCTCATGCGTTTCATTGTCAAGTTCAGCTTTCCAAGAGCGCTTCAACTCACTCTCATCCATCTGCTACCAGTACACTGAGAGACAGAAAGAGAAACGCGTGGATTAGAGAACTTACACGGGTTAAAGACTAAATTCCAACCGTTTCAAATATAAGGAATATCCTAGGAATGGAACGTGTCTGAGAGCACGCCTACCGAGGAGATGGAGTGATGGAGTCAGCTTCTTGCGTACAAGTGCCATTTGGATTATTTCATCGCAAGGCGGTGAAAAACGGCGATGGCTTGGGGAGACCTCCATCCAGCAGTGGATTGATCATGTCTGATGGATGATTGGGGCCAAGCATCCTGGGCTAGTCCAATTTTTCTCTTATGTTTTCATTGCGCATGATAATAGGGAGCTGTGGGTACGGGTGCCACTGGGTTCACTGTGATTATGGATTCCACTTGTGTCCATTTGTCACAAGGGCTATAGACAACAGTGCAGCGTAGATCGCTTCCCTCAGGCTATGGAGAGGAGGAAGGTGGGGGGGGGTGGTTGAAGGGGAACATACAGGAGGGGCTGAGCTCATGGAGCCAAGCAAATCATGAACAATTGGGACAAGATCCATGCCGTGCTGGAATGGGCCAGGACCATCCATGGGCCAACCGTCCTGTTGCCAAATGGTCTTTGGAATGTAGTATGGACAGGTCAAATTTGTTTTAATTGTATACGGTCACAGGAATACTGTAACCGTATGGTGTAATGGTTAGCACACTGGACTCAAAATCCAGAGGGTTACCGGTTCAATTAGATCTGCCAGCACGGCAATTGCAACAATGGTTCACGTTTGATTAAATTCACCTGCCTCTGTACAGTACAGTCAGTTAATTAGCAGGTTGTTTGTGGTTGGATAAGCTATGGGTACTTATCCACGTTCCTAGACCAGTGTGGAACAGTAGGCTTAAGATATCCTCTAGAAGGCTCTCTCTAGAGCTCCCTTGAGTGGAGGCAATTCCACTCGCACTGGTGTGAGCAAAGAATTGCATGGCTGCACATTTACCTATTCTATCGTTGCAAGGTAACAGTGAACTGAGGTTAAGCGTGCATTTACTCGGATGTTTCCCGTGACCTCTGGATGTCCACGCGCGCGCGTGTTTGTATCACAGGGGCAATAGACAACTCCAGCACGCTCTTCACCTACGACTCGCAAGATCTCTTGGATCGCTACTACCACCAGCCGCGACACGACCCGGCGTTCCGTCCCGAGTTCCGGCCGGTGGCAGGAGGCGGCGGCGGCCCGTCGCCTCCCGTAGTGGCGCAGCTCTGCGGCCCCGACGAACTGTGCAAATTCGACGCGGCCGCCACCTCGAGCCTGAGCGCCGCCAACGCCACGCTGCTCGCTCATCGGTGGCACCAGGGCGTGGTGCGAGACCTCACTCCGGGTCAGTGCTGCCCCGATAACGGCGATGCCTTCCAAAAGGGCCCCCGTCGCTTGGGCCCACGAGCCCGGGGCAGGCGTTGACACTGCAACGCCCGATCTGCCGAGTCCCTGGCGTCGTTCGAAAAACGCTCTCCGAACTGCCGGCCTCGTCAATCTGCCACGAGCGACGCTGCATCTGTTTTTCGTTGCAACCGGGGCGCATGACGGACGTGCAATGTTGGTGCCGTGCGTAGAGCACCCCTTGTCGTGGCTTGCCATGTTTAGAGTACGCATGGGATAGTCAGTTGGCATGTTGCGTGTGGTGGGGTAAAGTGTGGGTCCTCCTGTCTCTTCTGAGACGTCTGGCCGGGCTGGAAGAGGGGTTCTCGATTGTTCCTTCCTACTGGAGGCCCTCCCACCAGCAGCGGCTCAAGCAGGCAATTGCAGGGCTGAACTTTTACTTGACAGAGACGACGTTTGCTTGGCTCGTCGGCTATAATGGCATTTCAGCTTATTTAGTAGGCAGTGCCTAGCATTGCCATTTTACTGAGCCTTGCCATTGCTCACACGATATTGGCTTTGCTCTTTCCAACTATTTCTCAACCTATTACTGATTAGCCAGAAGCCTTTGCCTCTCATTAAGCATTGCGCTGTCATCATTAATTGTGGTGTAATCATCAATTCGCATTCCAGTCTTCTCAGCCAGGTCCAGCCTCACTAAAATACAAACGCAGTTAACATCTCCCCGCTAAATTCACGTACTCCTGTGACATTTTCGAATTTCCACTCAACGAGTGAGCCTTGAGCATAGGAAACACATTCTATGTAAATGAAAAAAGCACGGTAGCTCTTTTAAATTTTATTTGTATTTTCAACAACAGCAAAGGGAGCAAAGCAGAGAAACGGGTTGCACAAATTTCCGAACGACCGGCATAGACACGTGTAAAGGTGGGTGTCACTAGTTGGCAATCTGGAAATAAATTTGAAGAGCGAGGGGAAGAATTGGAGAATTGGAGAAGAGAGAAGTAAATTGAAAGAGCGGCAGGTGGAAAGTAAAGTCTTGGCGCAAGAGGGCCAAGCCATTCGTGCGGGTCGTCAATCGAGGAGCAGGCGTCTCGGACACGCCGTCACGTCCCCAGTGACATGGCCGAGCAGGTCGTGCGTTCGACAGCTTGTTTGCAGACGTTCGGGGTAGGAATGCAGCAGCCACCCTAATTAATATTGCAGGTCTATTAACCAAACGAACACACACCGTCTGCTTCACAGTGGCACGTTAAAGATCCCGTGTCGCCATTTGCAAGAGTATGCCATTGAGTGCCCGTGTCGTCGAATTTTTGCCAAATTCGAAAATTGCCCCGCAAATTACTCGCTTAGGATTACGCACAGCAAGTGTGCTCCTAACTGCAATTGTTGGCGCCGGTTTCTGGCAGCCTTCTAGCTCGTCTGTGATTTCCTGCCCGACCGAGCCAGATGGGGCAACACTGTCCCCCTCTCGTCCTCTCACCGTTCTGTTGTTCTGATCAGCGATCACTGCGACAGAGCCCCAAGGTGTTCTCCAGAGTGGCTTTAGATACATTGTGCATGGGAATCAACCAGTGCTAGAATAGTGTGATTAGTTCACGGGTCTTCCCCTGTTACGAGTCTTAAGGGCACTGAAGGCACTTCTCAATTGGGGCACGGATGAGGTTGCGAGGCCCGAACGTGATTGTCCGGTTAACCGTGGCGAACTAACGCGTGTGCGGTGCGTCCGTGCGTTGCGCAGTGGTAAGCTGCGGCGTTCTTCTGGCTCCGAAGCACGGCAGCAAGGAGGGCACGGTGTACTTGGAGGGTGGGCGCCTCACGTTTGCGTGCGATTCCGGCTACGTGCTCAGCGGGTCCAGCGCGCGCGAGTGCCAGCCCCACGGGCGGTGGTCTGGTCAGGACGTCTCCTGCGTGACCGGTACGGACAATCAGGAGGGGATGTGCTTCGTGAATCGGCTTTGCTTTGATCAGCGCGAAACGACGTGCTGATTCCACGTCGGCAGCGGTGCACAAAATAGCAACATCTCAATATCCATCTGGAAATAACATTGCCTCTAAAAGGAAAATGGTACGTGTAGACGCAACGTTTCTGGCAAGGGCCCTTCTTCAGGGCGGAGAGATCAACACGAAGAAGCGAGTTGTTTTATCGTCGCCATTTTTTTTTTCTCCAGAATGTGCCCATGTTGCATCACTAGATGGGAGTTGTTAATAATTTGCTGTTATTTCAGTGCTCATTGAACTGCACGTAGATTTATTAATTACTTATATGTCGCTGCAGCTGCTGATGACCACGACGTAACATTTTCAAAGATTGATTTCTTGTTGTTCCACAGACAATACGCTGGCGATCGTGTTGGGATGTGTCTTCGCTGTTCTGGTGCTGGCCATTGCAGGATTTTTCATATACAAGCAGCTTCGGATGCGGCACAAGTGAATCGACGACAGAGTGTTGCGGACTTCATGGGTGGATCCATACTTTCTTGCCAAGAGGTTTTCGGCCGCACGGTTGCCGAGATATATCAGCGGGGCTGCGATGGCAGCATTGTAGCGGTGACTCGGCCTGCACATCACTACGTGAAACAACGGAATGTGTAAATGAAAGCATTAATTGTAAGTGTTAATTCAGTACGTGGGATTCTGTGTGGGGGAGGGGGGGGTTGGAATTGGGAGGGTATAAATGATGCATCAAATTGCGGGCGCGGGGGAATGGATGTTTTTCGATTCGTGTGCATTGTACGCCAAGGGTGATTGTGACCTCTGGAAGCTCCTGGAGGACGTTACAATTTTCAATTGACCGCATGGTAAAAAAAACAACAACGCAACATTGCATTTCTGTGGGAATTGTGGGGTGAATTTTTACACTTGTAGAGCGGGAGTGCATGGCTGGTGGGTAGATCGCACACAGCCGCTCCTGGGAAAAGTGCCTCTTACTGTTATTTTAAAGGCAGTGGGGGGGGGGGGGGGGGGGGAGCCAGGCACTGGATATTCAATAATGGAGGGGGAACTGTGGGTAGAAAACGTGCTCTACCTTGTGCCAAACCTGTCTGCTTGTCTGTGCATAAGTGCCAGACAGATTATAATTTCAGGAGCACCACTGTGCCACGAACCCATTTTTGGGATGCGTTTCAGATTTTAGGATGAATATTCCAAAAGTCTGGCCTAGAATACTAAAGTTTGAACGACCCGATATTGTTTTCAGAATCAATCAGAAAGCCTTAAATAACATCACTGCCACGCTTAGCCAAACATGTGGCACTGGGTGACATCACGATTGTGATCTTTGAGGCATTTAAATTAGTAAAAAAAATGTGAATGATTAAAACCTCAGAAAAAGAGATTCGAAACTGTTATTGACGATCTGACAACATCCAAAATCAAAAATGTTTAATCCAAAACCCATCCCCACCACTTACTAATGAACAAGTGTTGAAATAATGTAGAGGAAATTATCCTCACCATAACTACACCTACAGGTTTCCTTATTTAGCATTACATTGTAATAGCAAATCAGTGTTTTAGTGACAGAAATATGAAACAAATACTAAATCAAAGGAACCACATATTTTACGATGAAAAATAACCTGTAATAAAGCCAATGGATTGCATTTCGCAGATGGATGTGCGCTGTTTGCTGTGTCCTTCATGCTCCCTGTAAGGTGTCGTTTAAGGTTAAGTTATTTTATTTTATTCATAGATATTTGCTCTCAAATGTAAAAGTGCAGCCTTGAGATTACTCGCTCGGACCACTGCGGCTCGAAGGGCACTACCACTAGACTGAGTTGTCGAGCACCCCTTTAAGGGGGTGTTTTGGCCTACTCCTTCTTCCCTGACCCAGACATCTAGCAAGAGGTGGGCTTATCCACACTGCACCCCACCAGATGCGACCTGCCGATCGACTCGCTCGCTCTACCTCACCAAGAAAGAAAAACATTGCTGACAATTTTCGGAGAGAAGTTATTTTACATTTGTTATGGACGTTTTATTTTTTCAGTCATCCTGCCTGTACACCAATGGGCATGGTGAAAACAACGCACTCCATTGGCGGGCAGTGATTCAGTGCATTACACCGAATTACACGGCACTTTGATGGACAATCGGTTCAGAGCGCCCCCGAAGCTGCACGGACGCACACACGACTCATCCCGAACCTTTTAAGCAGCCCGAGGGAACGTCGAGAATGGCCCAGCGATATCGCGTTTGCCGCGACCTTCATTGATGGGGCTGGGTGGGTGGGTGGGTTGCGGTTCTAATGCAGCAGTCGCCCCAGTGCCGGATGAAGCTCAGTGCGGGGCCTGTAGCGAATGTTATAAAGGGGCCCTAAATATATTTAAAAAACCATTAAAACACAAAAATTGTTACTTGCGTAGTAAAGTAATTATATTTTTTCATTTGCTATACACCCAGATAATACGAGAAATCGCTAACCGTAAACACCCAGTCGTTCGTAAAAGTGGAAGGCGGTATAGTACTATAGTAATAGAGCAAGTGCAGAAACAGTGAACCGGAATTGATAGCTTGAAAGCATTTAGCGGGGGGCCCTTGAAAGTGCGGGGCCCGTAGCATATGTAGCTACTTTTGCTACTTGGAGAATCCAGCACAGAATCGCCCTGATTATTACTGCGGATGTGTGAATCGTAATTAACACGAACGCGCCCGTTTGCTTCGCTTTGAACGTCAACGATTCCCTGACGTGGGCCAATTTTGTGCCGGTGTTGGTGGGGAGGGGATGGTGGGGTCCAAATAAAAAAAAATTCGCCGGCAAATCACTCAATTGGGATTACCGTATACGCAGCAGCAGCAGCAATCATTGCCCCCTACTGGCAGTATAATGTCCCAAGGTCGCTCTCGAAAATGAGACTATCGCGGTCTCCTGCGTGCTCACCCTCTAAAACAAAACACAGCTTGAAACTGGACTCCAAGCCCAAGTCTCACGTTGGCCAAGAGGGGTCTTGTCATCCTCGCTGCTTCACAACGAGGATGTGTAATCTCGGCGTCGGGAGCACGAGCGATGAGAGTTGTGGAGTGGTGAGCGGCTTGCGTTTGTGAGAGGCGCGTGTTCTTTGCGAGCATCCCCAGCTGTCAGCGCTACGTTCGTTTCCATGGCCTTTGCACATCTCCAAGTAATGGGACACGATGCACTGTCTACTTAAAAACAAACAAACATGTTTCATTATCGAACGCTCGTCTTGTCGAGCCAGGCGACAGCTGCTGCTGCTGCTTCATCAGCAGCATTGTGGAGGTACGGGGGGCCCTCAGTCCAGCACAGTCGAGGCCGGTGAGTGGCCAACCCCAGATTTTAAGCTTTCGTGACTGCAAGGATTCATATTCTTAGGTTTTTTTTTCGGTAAAGTCACGTAGGTAAAATGTTTTAATTAATAAAAAAATCACGACGTTTCGGAGGCAACACAAGCTTCCGTTTTCAGGTGGAACCGTCACAGCACGCTTGCTACGTGACTTTACCGGAATAAAAAAAACCTAAGAATAAGTGGCCAAGCCGTCAAAAAATGTGCGACGCCTCGGTCCGTCGCCGACCGTATCCACGTCGTGGGTTTGTGGTCACGTTGGCCTCGGTTGTGTAGAGGTCGTCTGCTGGCGGGGCAACTCATTATTTAAAAATCCGTAACCCTATATTTTTGGTTCTTTCGGTAAAGTCACGTAGAAGGGAAATAATAACATAATAAAAATATAAAACAATAAAAAATCCGTAACCCTATTAACCGCAGCGCCTGTTGTCTGCGTAAACTATTGTTATAATCAGAAGTCGTGTTATTTTGTGCATCTGACATTGTCCACGATATTGCTCCCCCACATCATTGCGGATAAGAGAAGTTATTTTTGCATGTCATGAAACGTCAAGATTGCTGATATATGCACTGTATATCTAATCAATGCCCCAGTTCAACCGGACACTAACTCATCCTGATGATGTTTATCCACTTCTGGCACCCCGCTCGAATGAGTCTCCACATTTTCCTTACCGCCGCAGTTACATAATGCATCACAATGACATCCATACACCCACGATGTCAAATCAATACATGACAGGAGGCGTAGGTTCTGAACTGGCTCAGCCACAGAAATTTCGAGTGTCACTTGTAAAGAAGCTGCGTTCGGGAAATTTGAGTTGACCCTGAGTGCAGAGGCCATTCCTGCATGGTAACCTCCATGCAGGTGCTGCCAATGAGTTCCCAAACCTCTGAAAACCAAGCTCAACTCGGCCAGTGCAGAGCTAGGAAGAGAACCTTGTCAAGAGGACACCTTGAACAACACCTGAAAACAGAACGCTGACTTGGGTTGACCGCACTCCACGCGAGTATGAGTGTGCCCCTGTTGCCAAACGGACCCGTCTTTAATGAGCCAAGCTCGTCCGCAGGTATGTCGAAGACATTGTGAATTACCATTGAACTGTCCGCTGTGACGTCCAAGTCCTGCTGATACGCGACGCTTCAGACACTTCGTTCAAACCGGCGTGGCACACCTCGGAAGTGGCTGGTCAATCGGTCGCGGAGGTAGTATAGGTGTACGCGGCCCCGTTCTCCCTCTCAAGGCTGTCACCAACGCCAGCCCAATTTGCGTAAAGATTGTGGTAGGCGGTGCCACGTGCTGAAATTGCATTTTTTTAGGCTCGATTTTCTCTACCGGGTTGGCCTTCTCGTGCCAAGGGAGACGGGCTAAATTTGCTTAATTCCGAAAAACCAACACGGGGTGCGTCGACAGAGAAAAACTTAGACAAACACTCGCTCTGCAAAGGAACATCCACGCGTATGTTATACCACAGCGTGCAATAGGGCACTTGGCAACCGATGTAGGAATCTAAACCGGTGTTGCTATTGAAGCCATAACAAGTATTACTATCCAGTGCAGCACACACATAAACACAGTTGAACACAATTGAAGTGTTTATTGTTATAGTAATCAATATGATTAAACCATCACTGAGAATAACGCACATAGCATACCTAGTAAACATGTATGGCATATGATTAAGTCAATGCCTTCAATGTTTTACCAGCGAAGCGCACATTTGTAATTTAAAACAGAGTGGACTTGGAACTCAATTACAGTTTGAGTATTTATTAAATCCAGAAATCATGTGAGGATATAGGCTTGTCGGACAGAAAATAAATGGGACTTTATTTCAGTAATGCAAAGATTTACACTTTTAGCCAGGTGGTAAAGTCCTCACCGTAAATCAAAGTGCATTAAAAGCTCATTTTGCATGACTTTAACGAGCACCTGCAATAAAATTGTGAATTTTTTTTCCTTCGGAGATGAATTAGATTCAAGGAGATCTCCCCAGCTTTAACACGCCCCTTGTGAAATACAAGCCGAATGTTTCAAGCGCACTACATAAAAAAGAGAGGCAAGCTTCATCGAGTGCAAATACATGTCACGTGGCACAAGGCCGGATTAAGGTTCGTGTAGGCCTTAGGCACTTCTCTTTCGGAGGCCTTCAGTGATCACTTTCTGCAGTTGGTGCTGCTGCTGCTACTGCCCCCGGTGTCACTACCGCCGCTGTCACTCCGCTTGTGTCACGTCGTTACTTCGTCCAGCCGCTGGGCAGATGTCGTTACTGCTGATACCGTTAATTGTTTAGTCTGTTGCCCTAATTCGATGGCAGCGCACTGTGCGCCGCAGATAAGCAGATTGAATTTGAGATTATTGAGAGAAGAAAAAAAACAAGGTAGGCCTAAAAATATTAAAAGCGAAAATTACTTCAACAATTTTTTTTACCTCGATAATCATATTGAATTACGCAGCTTTAAAAGGATGCCGTTCATTTTCATTGATAACATATTCAACAACAAAAAAACATGGAAAAAGGTTGTTTTCGTAGGCCCTTCAGTTTTCGTAGCTCCTAACAAAGTGTCTCCTGTGCCTATCGGATAATACGGCCCTGACGTGGCATGTCCAGCGCACTGTAAGTGTACGTTTATTTATTTAAAAAAAATGTTACTTAAAG